GCATGATGCGGTTGTCGCAAACAAGGCCAGCAACGCCCCGGTCCATCCCCACTTCATCGTGGGTGGTGGATTTTGTTCGCTGCTTCTGAGCAATGCGGTGGATAAGAATATGTGGGAATCGACCCATGCACGGGAGGGGGTATCACAATATGAATATCGTTAAATGTACAATGTGCTCTTTTGGCGACTTTCAGTTCAGATTATGCCGAATCTCTCCTGCAACTTTTTCTTCGTTTTCCGTTTTGAATCGTGGATGTCGGATGAGCTGCTTGTTTGTACTGATAACGAGCGATCGACAAAGGCGATAACGGCGGGTTGAGAAAATGTAGGGAAAAATGCACAACCGACGAAACGAAAGGCTGGATGGGAAGCAAGTGAGTATTCCTCTCCAAAAAAGCTGAAACGACAGAAACGACTGACAACGAGAGACAGAAAGGGGATGGGGAGGAGGAGGGGAGTTTAGGAGGATTGAGGATAGGAATAAAAGAAGAAACGAGGAAGATCAAAGTTTCTAAAAAAGAAAAGAGATCAAACAAATAATCGGGATTTCAATGGGGAAATAATAATACTCAGACAAGACAGACAGACAAGACACACTGACCAAGTGAAATTGCTGTCAATAGACTATTAATATCATGACGAGCTAAGATGGTGATGGGATTAGTGCAGGCAGTAGTATCTTGTCGTTCTGGTCTGCTCCTACACTATCCTCTCCTATTATTATGCGGATCCTCCCAGAGGCTACGACTTGTCTCTGCAGCGAACTGGATATTAGAGTCGTTATCAAACTGGAAGTAGAAGTACGGAGTAGCAAATAAGGATTCAGGCAAAAGAGGGGATTATTTCAGCACATGGTGATGATGTCTTTCTTATCTCACTTGCAACTTAAGAGCTGTCCTACTCTCCATATAAGATCTCATGGACCTTCTGTTCGCCTCTTCAGTCTTCATGTGCATCGTTACAGTCCTTGAGTTTTCAGCCTCGTTGGGTCCCTCTTTTCTCGTTCCCACGTTTCTTTTTTCCCCTTCCCTTTTTTTCCTTTACTTTGTTTTTTTACTGGATTGGATCCTGTAGCGTGGGAGTAAGCGGCTCGAACCGTGTATCGGTCTAGTTGATAAAAGTCGTGGACCAGAAAGCCACAAGGCAGAGCCCCAGCAGACAACCAATCCGACTGCTCGGAGCTTGGAAAGTATCTTACAAAAGGAGGCAGTGGCTTAGAGCTGAATGCTCAATCCCAAGAAACAGAGTTGCCAAGACCAAAACCAAGCAGAAAAGCAAATCGGTGAGCCCAGCATTTCTCAGCGAATACAGAGGCCATTCCATCTCGTAAAGCTTACTCGGTAACAGCGTGACAAGATCCATCAACAGACCCTTTGATACATTATTCCATGGGCCAGGGTGGGGACCGAGTGGAGCCCAACGGTGATTTCCTCGAGTCTGGTCCGCGATTTGGTACTGGGACCCTACGTTGTGCCCAATGAGCTCAAGCCACTTATAAGGCGTTGAATCGCTTCTCAATACCAGATCGGGGCGACAATACGGATACTAAAAATAATCTTTTTTTTTTTCAGCTAAGATACTAGAGAGGTAGTGGAGTGTGCTGTTTGTCCTCCGTATCCATTCCCCTTTGGTGATGGGATGAGTGATCGCTAAATCTTCGGTAATGGCTATTCCGGCCGATCCGTTTGTGTGACTTTTTCCGCCAAGAACGAGAAAACTTTTTGCTTTAGCTATGTTCTTGATACCCAGTCATTATTGATTCTATCGAGCGACTGTGGGCTTTTTCCTCAGTTCGTTAAAGTTGATGGGTTGAAAGTTGAGACTGTAGGGAATAGTTCCTCTCCCATGTCCACTACGAAGGATAAAAGAGGATAAAAGATTGAAACAAATGTCTTACAGTAATGTCCCGGAAGGGAAGTAGGCTTTCCTATTGGACTTTGGCGTACGAATCTGCAATGACAGCGCACATATCTTGGACGATGGATGTCCGCTTGTCTCATTATCAGGTCAACAATGACGAATTGCAACGAGCGACGGGGTTGAACAGCATCCTCGGGTTTCAATCAGGGGCATTGCTGGTCGAGCAGTCCAATGAGAATGGTGAGAACCAGGTCTGCCAAGACTGTTATCTTGCTATGGTTGCATCACCTCGACGTATCGGGCCAGATGTCCGTATCATATTATGGTATGGATTAAGAAGAGGCCTTCAGAGGTACCTCAGTTTTACAAGAGACCAGGTTTATATCAAGCTTTTCCCTCTCAGCATACCATGTCAAAAGACTTCCATTTGTAGAGGCATGGCTTCATGATTCATGAACCATCTGAAGCGAAAATTGTTTATCAACTGGATCTCGTCTATCTACATAGTACAATAAAATTGTCATCAGGGGCCCCAGTGACTAATTCACTAGTGCTTCCATGGCGTGACGGTGGCGTCGGAGTCGGTCAAAGTGTCAACTCCAGACCCTGGTCCTTAGAGTCTGTTCGTATCTTGACTTCGAGGATGGTGCCACAGAACTCGATTCTCTCTTCGACTTCGATCCGGACTTCGTAAGGATTTTCCCGCTAAAAAAGCAACCATTGCAGTGTTAATTTCCCATCGTTGTGTCGACAGGTCGACAGGTACAAACCTACAGATTTACAGAGGACGTACCATGGATGTCAGCGATGAAATACGAGATCTCTGGTTAACAACCGAGAAAGCCGAGCATCGGTCCGAAGTGGACCTGCTGAATCCATCTCAGACATTTACTTAGGTTGCAAGTAATTGCTCAGAATTTTTCCGTGGTCGATATGTTAGACTATTGGAAGCTAGGGTCTGGAACCGAATCTGCTAGAACAGGAGTGGAAAAAGGGCCCCGTAGGTTACCATATATTTACCGGAGACAGTTACAGACGGTAAGTTACCTCCATGATTATTCGCGGTCCTCTCTCTGTACCTTAGTTTTTCAGCTGATACAGAGTAGACGAATCATCAATCTCATATTTTCTGGTATTGTACTCTGTATTGTATTATATATTCAAAGTTATTATTCTTACAGTACTTATCAGGAATGGAACAAGAGGATTGGCTAGCTTGACTGAGCTTAGCCTGGTAATTTGGTCTTGGCCTGAGAACAGTTTCTCCCCTGCTGGGGGAACAGATTTCTCAACCTAGCAATCATTATGCGCCTTCTGTGATGACAGGTGACAGAGATGCATCATCATGTCAAGCTCTCTAGATATGTTGAAAATAAGAACCCACACAAGATATATATTTCTCATATGCAGTTGTTAACTGCATTCATTTCAAATTGGCTCAAAAGAACTATGCCTAATCAAGACTGCCTATGACTGATCGTCTGAGACATATTTTCTTGTCTTAATGTCTATGGTGAGATCACATCCAGGTACTTAACTGCCTCCTTCCAAGTTATTATTGCTCCATATTTTACTCCTCTTTTCTCCTTTTTAGCCAATATTTTTGCTCCTGGACCTCCCATCGCATCCCACAATGGTGCGCTTAAATTCATGTGACGATGTGATTCCTTGTGTGACACGGCTGTAGAGCTTTCTCCCCTGATTGACTGCCACCAAGATGGTCAGACTTCAGGGCTCCGACGCAGCTAAGCACTCGGGTCAGGTCAGGTACCAAGTGCTTCTCGCCACAGTGGACATCACCGCACTCCAGCCACTGACATGCTGCATCTGGAGTATGTAGTATCGATGTAGTAGACTATTATTTGACCGTCGTGTGAGGATAATGACTTGGGTGTGTCGAATAAGCCGGCATAGGGGAATTGCCTAGCTACAAGAGGAAATGTGGGCGCGGGGTTTGAGCCATATGAACGACTGAGAGCTCGCCTGAAATTCGGACTTGAAGGCGACTCTGATCTCCTGATGTGGTTAGGATCTGCCATTGGACAATCGGTGGTTCATGAACACTGCAAGGAACCTAAGGCGGAGGACCCCCTCACGAGGACAATCAACAATAATCGTCAGGTTGTCCTATATTATTAAATACAATCAATCTATTGCTTCTCTCTAATTTCTTCAGGTGCTCATGGAATTAAAGATCTATGCTAATTCTGCGGAGGTGCTCCGAAGCAAAATTGCTTAAGACTATATTAAGAAATGCGACGGCACTGGTCCAGTGGTCATTCATGGTCTGGTCCGGCTATGTGCGGGTTGCACCCGGTAGACCCAAGACATGTCCTCACAAACGCAGGTACCAGGCACCGCAGTGTGCCGTTGGTTGTCTTTTCAAATTGCACCTTACCTCTAGGGAGTAAATTCAGTAGACATCAAATTGAACACACCCAAGTGCTCCGTACTATGTAAAAGAAAGACTGAAGAGGCAATACAACAACAACCTCAACCCTGGCCAAAAGATCACATGTCCATCATCGGCCGTTTACCAAGGAGAATCCTGGAGAAAAATGGATAGACTAGAATCACTAGAGCTGCGGTTCTGATGGCTTCCCCCACAATTCCACTCTTTTAATCTAAAGTTTCTGCAGCAAAGCAGGGAAATCCTTCCCGCCTGACTCTCTCTCCTTTCTGCCTCCTCCCCTCTCTGTCGCTACTCCCTTCAATCTTGAGTTCGAGGCCCTTTCTTGCTGCTCCCCTCGTTGGCCCTGTTTAATCTCTGTCTCTTCCTCCTCCTACCATCGTCATTCGTTCTATACCCTGCCTGCGATCAGGCCTGTCGTTCTTTACCCTGTCGTCCCTCGCTATTTTGAGTTTATTCCTACCAGTTCCCTGTTCTTTCGTCTTTTTTCTCTAATATTCTAGCCTTCATCGCCATTCTCGCTTGCACCAGCGGTTCTGGGGAGTCTCGACGAAAATTGTTCCCTATCTCGTCAACATATTGCATCAACGTATCTGGAACTTGCAAAATCGCGGGTGATTTGATTCTGTTGTGGGACTCTAGGATTTCAATCCAGACGAGACACCATTGTGCCAAGCTGGGATCCGCACTACCCCATCACTGAGTCAGCCTTCAGCTCAATGTTCCGATCATGAGTTCGCCTTCGATATCACGGCGATGCATGCACATCGTTTCTCTTTTCCTCCTGGTCGCCTCCTCACTCGCAGCAAACACGGCGCAATGGAAACCCAGAGCCATTTATCAGACCATGACGGATCGGTTCGCCCGCACTGACGGGTCGACGACAGCGCGATGCGTGGCGGCCGAGAACATTCGTTGCGGAGGGACATGGCGAGGAACAATTGACCACCTGGATTACATCCAAGGTATGGGGTTCGATGCGGTCATGATCTCTCCCGTCGTTAAGAACGTGGAGGGCCGCGTGTGGTACGGCGAAGCCTACCATGGATATTGGCCCGAGGACATCTACAGCCTCAACCCGTACTTCGGCACGAAACAGGATCTGCTGGATCTGAGCGCAGAAGTGCATAAGCGGGGGATGTTCCTCATGATGGACACGGTCATCAACAATATGGCCTACGTCACCAACGGCAGCGACCCGGCCACACATATCGACTACTCGACGCTGAAGCCGTTCGACAGCGCCAGCTACTACCACCCCTACTGTAAAATCGTAAACTGGAATAATTTCACCGAAGCGCAATGGTGTCAAACTGGTGATGACGTGGTGCCACTACCCGATCTCTACACCGAACATGCCGAGGTCCAGAGCACGCTGGAGAAGTGGGCGCAAGACATGATCTCAACCTACTCGATTGACGGGCTGCGTATCGATGCGGCCAAGCACGTCGACACGGGTTTCCTGGCCAAATTCGGCAAGGCCCTCAGCGACACCTTCATGACTGGGGAGGTGTTCCAGCCCGAAGTGGACATCATCTGCGACTACAAGAACAACTACATCACCAGCGTTCCCAACTTCCCCGTCTACAATTCCGTCATAGCTGCCTTCACCACAGGCAACACGAGTTCACTGTCAAACATTGTAGAAGTGATGAAGAACAGCTGCCACGACGTCACATCCATGACCATCTTCACGGAGAGCCACGACGTGGACCGGTTCGCCAACATGACCTCAGACATGGCGGTAGGGACCGACCCCTTCCCCCAAGAACCCTCCGCTCCCAGCTGATGAACTGAACCCCTGTTTAGCTCGCAAAGAATGTAGTCACGTTCAACATCCTCTTCGACGGCATCCCGATCATGTACCAGGGGCAGGAGCAGCACTTTCACGGCAATTATCACGCCAACAACAGTAACCGAGAAGCCCTCTGGCTGTCCGGCTACAACACCGACGCCGAGCTGTATCAGCTGGTCGGGAAACTCAACCGCATCCGCAAACACGCATACAACCTCGACAACAACTATCTCGATATCGAGTCCTACCCGGTCTACCAGGGCTCCAGCGAGCTCGCCTTCCGCAAGGGTGTCGAGGGCCGCCAGACCATCATGCTCCTCTCGACGCAGGGCGCCAACCAGAAAGCGCCGTATGACCTGAACTTGCCCGTAAGCTTTAACCCCGGTGTAGTAGCGATGGATGTCCTCAACTGCGTCAACTATACCGTCGACGGGGCCGGTCAGCTTGTCGTTCCCATGGACAAGGGCGAGCCCCGCGTTTTCTTCCCCGCAAACCTCATGGCCGGCAGTGGGCTATGCGGCTACTCCGAGTCAAACATCAGCTATGTAGAGCTGAAAACGGGCAAGCCGGCAGCGTCAGGGTCTGCGGGTGTGATGTCGATGACGCCGGCGGGGATACCGCTGACGATTCTGTTCTCTGTTTTCGTGTCAATAGTCACTGGGTTGGGGTTTGGGGGTTGACTTAGCAATTTTTTTTTCCTTGTGCATACCCTATCTATTTATTCTTTTTTCACGTCATTTCCATGGGATGCCAGTATCTCGGTAATGTTCTGTAAATGTTTATATATTTTGGTCCGAATGTACATAGCTTGGAATATCCGTCTTTTCAGCCGCACCGTCGTTGCCTAGGCGTTTATTATTGGACAAATTCTCACCGAGGCTCGTATAGAAGCTTTCATCGGCAACCTCTCGCATAATCAACCCGTATTCCAATCTCACCGCACGCAGCCTCGTCATCGCTGTGATAAGGATTGAATATGGATTGCTCCTCTAGCCGCCGATTTGACTTCGACTATTTTTCCCGATCAGGCTGTCGAATCACAGCAGAGTGATACAGTCTTGCATATTGACCAATCAGGCTTCCGAGTCCAGATTTTCGATTGTCTCAGGACCGGTGTTTGAGTTTTGGTACCTGATACCATCCCTATTCCGTATACGTAATATATTCCTGCATTGGACCCTGGCAAAACGCCCCCGAACACGACAATATTCTCGTGTTCGACAATACCCGACCTAGCCGCACAAAACACCTTGGTTTTATGGCATAGGTTTCGAAATGGTTACGTAGACTGAATCCTGCAATAACTTCCTCATACGGAGTACTACGTAATGTGTCAAACTACATACATCCCTGCACCAGGTAACGCCTTGCATGACGCCTTCAAACACAAGTCGTACCTAACCCAAGGTATCGACAGTATCTACCATACTCTCCGTATGGGGACATAGCACAATACAATACAATACCAACACCAGCAATCATTGACAATGTGATCTATCAGTCGCAAAGTGAACACGCAAGGGCAAAAGCAAAAGCATTGCATTAATTATGGGGTACTGATAGTGATAGTGATGATAAGGACAGACAGTCTAACAATGCGAATTGCAGATCCTCATATACATACAAAGCAGTACACGTACACGTCCAGTACACGGAGGGTGTTATCTATCTACTTTGTAGATATCTGGCTGCGCGAACCGGATCATTCGTTTCTGAGATGAGCGTTCACGTTTACAGAGCCAGGACGGCCAGACCCAGGAGGAGGGTGCCGGCGGGGATAGCGAGCGAGCCGGCACCGTTGGGGGTGGTGCTGGCGGTGCTGGTGCCGGAAGCGGTGGAGGAGGCGTTGTGGCTGGCGGTGGAGGAGGCAGTAGTCTTGGAAGCTACACAGGGAGAATGTTAGTAGAGTTCTTGAAGACGCCAGGACAGGCGACTAACCAGTGCCGGAGGCGGAGGTGCTCAAGGTGGAGGCAGAGGCGGTGCCAGAGGCAGTGGCAGTGGCAGTGGCAGTGGTAGAGACCGTACCGGTGCTAGAATGAGAGGCCGTAGACGAGGACTCAGTGGCAGTGGTGCTAGAAGCAGAGTCGGAGGTGGTGGTGGAGCCGGAGGACTCGACCTTGAACTGCTGGGACTGGGCGAGGATGCCGGTGTTCTTGGGATCCTTGGAGACAAAGTTGACCTGGTAGCCGGATCTGAGATAGATCAGTATATGAAGGGTGTGTTGCGGGAGAAATAGACGTACCCGCTGTCGACGGAGACACCGTCAATGGTGTAGGAGCCGTCGCTGGTCTTGACGTTCTCGGCGACCAGCTTGTTGACGGGAGGGTAAGAGTTCATCTTGACAAGGTAGATGTCGAAGGAGGAGGGGTCGGAGCTATCCTTGTCAGTATGCTACGCATGGTAACAGTGTCTAAAGTTGAGTACCTGACAGAGCTCCATTCGACCTTGGTCTTCTCGCTGAGGTTGACATCCTGGTCCTTCTGGGGAGAGGTGATGGACAAAGCGGCGGCAGAGCCGACCAAGGCAGTGAGAGTCAGAGCGAAACGCATTTTGATAGCGAGTGATTGAAATGTAAAAGTCTACCGAATGTATTAAAATTAAATATGGCTGCGGAAGTCAGACAAACGAGTGACTGGTAGTGAAGTGATGAATGAAGATGAAACAGGGAGCGCCGAGGACACAGGGAATTGATATTTTATATCTAGCATCGAATCTCACGCGTAGCAGTATCAAATTTATAAATAGCAGAGACACCCCATATTATCTGGCCATGTCTTACTCTTGCAGAGCCCTATCACAGCTTCAGGAACCAAGGGTGAGTCAACTGTGAACCACTCCTCMTATCGGTCAGGTATCCATCCATTGTGATAGCTGAGATGCAATCGATGGATCTGGTCGAAACCAACCAGATCAATAATGCGAGTTTATTCTCAGTACGTTTAATTTGCATACACAGTAGCCTTACTCGGGTTAATGCAGTGAACTTCTATTCCAGAAGCCGCCTCATGCACTACAGGACCTCCATCAGACCCTGATCGTATCCACAGGGCCAAGATCCTTGCTTGACGCCCCTCGGCCCCTTCAACCTCCTTCAATTGCATCATAGTTACCAGCTTTCAAACTCTCGCGCGTACAAAATCACCCCCTGTTGTAGATAGACAAAATTTCCGGTCCTTCGCCGCCAAGTCACAGCAGAGCTGCAGGATTTCGTGTAGCTGTAGCAAAGGGTCGGGCCATTGCGCCTTGACCTCTCCAATCAAGAGCAGTGCAACAAAACATGTCTTACGGACTACCTTACTATCAACAAGGGCAGTCAATGCTCCACAGTATCCTGCGCCCTGTTGTGTCCACCAGAATCCTGATTAAGGATTCGCCTCGGGTTAAGTTCCAGCCCGGATTACCGGATTGGTGTACTGCGCACTAAGGCTCAAGGAACCGAGGGATTTGCGTAATAATGGTGCAATAATCAATTCGCTTGGTTTTTCCGAACACCATTAATGGATTCTATGACCAGTGAGACACGGCCAATGAGAACTGTCACCCGCTCGGTTTTTGAGCTGCCAAGAGTCCGCTATTGACCGACCCAGACTTTGCTTTTGCAKAGATTTCTTAGACAATACGGAGTACACAGTATTGTACCTTACCAATTTCAGAATAATTACCTTACGGAGTACGCCGTACCGTTTCTAGTTTGTAATCATAGTCCTAAGCTAACACGAAGCACTTTTTATCATGCTTATGCAGAGTAAAAATCTGTTGGGCTGCAATCACTAGTCAGGAGTATCATTCGGCTATTGAAGCCTATTACTCCGTAGTGACTAATGCTTTATGATTCTTACGTTGAGATACCTCCTTAGCAGTATGGTGGATAAACAGAAACGGTGTGATATCTGCCATAGGGCACACAACGGGGTCTTCTATTTATGGAGACGATCTTCTGGTTTCCGAAAATCAAAGCCCTTCAGACCCAAGGCACATCAAGTGGCTCGGTACTGTTATTGGGTGGTCCGGATCTGATGTGCTGTTCGGGCATGCTCTCCGAACATGAACCTCCAGGTACATCCACAGTTCTTCGGGCCATCCGTGTGGCAATTGCACCTGGCGAATTTTGAACCATCTCGTGTGCTGGTTCCATTTCGGCTTATTCCGCCTTTCCAGCAATAGTTATCTGCTTGTGACCGAGATGAACCCTTCGGAGTACGGAGTAGACTCGGCAGCGTTCTAGCTCAGACATGATACCGAATAGATGTACAGCAACTAGAGTATGCTTTTTTTTACCATATATGATTTCTTCAGCCACAGTGATACTGCAGAACTGAACGATCCTTCGAGGTGCTTGTCGATACACACGTAGAGTTGTTGACGGATTGAGAACTACCAGCAAGGCCAAGCCTGTCATGGAACTGCGGAACAAGTATTCCAGAATTGATGATGACTGTGATTTGATGCCATCTTCAATGCTCACCTTTACCGACCGGCCAGTTGAACTGGATATCAATATAGTATTAGATTCTGCTTGTTCTAGCTGATGTAGAGATAAACGAAATAACGAATCAAAATATTACAACTTCCTCCAGAAAGCAAATTGTGACTACTGAGCAGTGTTCTGGTACTGAAGCTATGGTGTTAAATATATATTGATCCATCGTCAAGACGCTACCTATGAATGCTGAAAGTTTATCGCACCCATGACCGCTCGAGGGACATTTAACATGATAGTTTAAATGCCTATACTGGTAACTGTGTCTCTATATAATAGATGATGAAGTTCTTAGTTGTATTCGACGCAATTGAAGGTATTCTAGATGGGTGAGGCTTAAGTGCGTATCTCGGAACTGATTGACGGGCTTGCTGCCTACTGTTGCCTGCTGTCTTCGCAACATTAATATTCGATGCGCAACACTCATCAAGAATACAGATTATCTGCTTCAGACACCATCATTCTAATAACAGCAATCAAGAATCAAAAATGTCTTCATCAATTCCACCACTTCCTCCCAACTACCGTCTCCATGACGGCTACCCCGCAGTCCCTGATTATCTCCACCTGCGCGCCGCTTCAGGCCTCACCCCCAAGACCAAGGCACAGGCGACCGCGGTGGCTCAAGGCAGCTGGTACGGCTGCTATGTGACATTCGAAGATGAATCATCAGGAACATGGACTCCAGTGGGAATGGGCCGCATTATCGGCGATGGCGGATGGTATTTCCATATCGCCGACATGGCAGTCCTGCCTGATCATCAGCGAAAAGGATTGGGAGATATCATTCTCAAGACGCTTCTGGCGAAGATCCGCAGTGAAGCACCAGAGGGAAAGCCGTATGTGAATCTGCTTGCTGATGCACCCGGGAGAAAGCTGTATGCGAAGAATGGGTTTGTGGAGTCGGCGCCGAAGGAGCTCGGGATGATGATGGTAATGGAAAGGGGTGAATCGAAGTGATTGAGAGTTCTTGATGTGGGTATGCCTATGAACGGGAATTGCGATGTTTGCTTGTCCTTACGGGCTTCCTCGACGTCTCCCATCTTGAGCTTCAAGGTCCACGAGCGGAGAGTGGCAATATCGCATTCTCAGTATGTCCGGGTGTGACTGTGCTTTGTTTCTAATTGGTTAGATTAGAAACAATATGGAATGTCAGGACTATGGTGTAGATACTTATTCGGCAGGTTCTGGGAAATATGGACGGCTTGCTGTCAAATTGGCCAGTGATGAATAGATACGAGAATCCACAATCGAGACTATCAAGGCAAAAGGGCAATAACAAGACACTGACATGGATATGACCAGTTAAATTGCTCGAGTCGGCGTCAGTGCTTTGATGGTGTATATAAGCTCATAATAACACCATGCGGATAAAAATCAATGCTCATCATCTTTGCTCAATTCCTCTAACGGCCATTCAATTTGCTCGTTTGCCTGCCTCACAATATAATGGGCCATTCTGTCATCTCGCCTGCCATCTTCTACTGGGGTACCCCGGTCGTTCTTGTCACAACAGTCAACGAAGATGGAACACCGAACATCGCGCCTATATCATCTGCCTGGTGGTTGGGAAATCGTGCCGTCCTAGGGTTGGGACGGAGTTCACAGACAACCGCCAACCTCATCCGCACTCGACAGTGCGTGCTCAATCTCCCGAGTGATGACATGGTCCAAAGTGTTAATGCTCTGGCCCAAACAACCGGCACCAAAGATGTGCCTCCAGGCAAGGTCCGGCGAGGCTATCGATACGAGAAGGACAAGTTCGGCATCGCGGGATTGACTCCAGCGTCTTCGGATCTTGTACAGCCTCCGCGGATCCAGGAGTGTCCGGTTCACATGGAAGCTGAGGTTGTCGATATCCATGAGCTTTTCAAAGACGGACCGGTGGAGTTGAAGGGGTGCCTCATGGCGATTGAGGTTAAGGTCGTAAAGACTCATGTTCTGGATGAGCTGCGACTTTCTGGGTATGCGAACAGGATCGATCCTGATAAATGGAAACCGATGGTCATGTCGTTTCAGAATCTTTATGGATTGAAGGATGGAAAGCTGGCTGACTCGACACTTGCAAAGATTGACGAGGAGAGTTACCGCGTATAGATTAGAAACTCTGAGTTGTTAATTTCCGTTGCCTGTCTTAAGTGAAGTAGATGAATACCATGAGGTTGCGTCGTTATTGAGCACTACTGCGAGATGGCATTCCGATTGTGAGAAAATCGTACGGTTCAATCAAAGCTGTCAGTCACCACGTATCTCGGTTACGCCTCGAGGCCATCAACAGGCTTCACCGTCTGCAGACTCTTCCCGGGAGCGAAACAGATATCAATGAGTCGACGGAGCGCCCTTAATGCTTCCAGCGTCATTGATGCTGAACAGACCCTTCCCGCGTAACTCACCTCCATGGAGGCGGTTCTCTCTATCCACGCCTTGCAGTGGTTGGATGTAGCACAACGCCCGGTTCCTTAATCGTATATTCTGATGGATGAACAACCCGATTCGGCCAGAGTATTGTCCTGAGTCTGCGACATATGCCCACCGGCAGTTCAGTAAACAAGCAGAATAATCTCGCCTGTATCGAGCTGCAATCCACTCAATACGCAGGTCCAACAAATTGGACGATCTGCTGGCAAACATATACACCTATACCCCCTGGAATATGCGATACTCACAGCGGCCAATCGCGCCATCCATGAGCCACCGGAACGTAACACCAAAATTTGGTTTGGCGGCTCCAGGATTTCCTCCCAGCAATCAATAGAGACTATTTCGAGTCCTAAATTGGTGAAAGTTGAACCATGCACACAGTTATTACCCTCCAGTCCTCGAACCTCAAGCCGCGGGCCCGCTAAGCCTCGCAATATATCAAGATCAGCGACCCATTCTCCCTCGTCATTCATGGCTACTTTTGTCTCCAGGTAGTACGCCTCCATCTCACGATAACTGGAGGATGCAAGTGTGACCGGGGCTTCGAAACCTGTAAACGACAGATGGATGGATGTGCCTTCGAATCTCCCGCCGGACGGGTCCCCATCAAAGGGATAGTGATTGATGAAACGCCATCGCTCAAGATCATGCTTTCGGATTTCCAGCTCGAGTGGTGCAGTTAACAATGAGATACCGGGCTTACCTACATTGCCGACCACGTGGGCCACGGCGCATGAAGCCATCTCAGTCGAAGGAATGGGGTCCTGAAGAAGTCGTTTGGCAATGAAAAGGGAGTTCCCACTCGAGATTGCCATTACGCGGGTAAGGTCTGTACTGTCGACGTTGACTGTGCCAGACTCGAGCTGCAAGATCGCTGCGAACGCATGCTCGCGGGACAAAGGACTCGGGTAGATTGTGTCTTGGACGTGGCCATCACGAGCTTGTTGATACGCCGCTATTGGCAGGAATTCAAGTTCGGAGACGAGCGAAGCCGTCCACTTCCATGAATTTAACGGCTTCTTGATGACGTTGATTGAGATGGTAGCCCGTGGTAGATGCCGCTTGTAGTAGTCCATGATTCTCCCAAGCGTGAGTAAAGAATAACCATGAGAGGTTCGCTCTGTGTCGAAGTAGTCATAAAGACAACGAGCTGCAATGTCCGCACGTATAAGATTCCTCTCCAGCAAGCTGTGAATGAAGTCTAGAGGAACGGTGGTTGGCGTCTTTCGCTGCAATCGCATTTCGCCCTCTGGCCGTCTGGAGTACACCGCCGCTAGATTGTGCACGCCCATAACAAAGTCAAAGTACACATACCGACCAAATTCCGGATTGCCGTCCAATAATTCGTAGAAGATAGCATCACTCAGAAGGGGCTCCCTTAAGTCACTCTGACTTGCTCGAGGCTCTTCTGCTGCTTGTCCGTACGGTTGCGATTCAGCAAGTTGTTCCACATTGGCATAGAGCTCCTCAAGGGCCACGCCGTGTTGGCCGCTACTCAGGTCTCCCGAGGGAGGGAAGCAGATCCAGCTCTCACCGTCCGGAACGTGAAGTTGCTGGTCGATACCTGGCGTCTCTCCTTCGTATTCGCTACGCTTTCGTTTCGCACCGCTCCGAGTGATGTCCGGGTTCGCTGTCGCCTTGATGGATACGTATACCCAGCCATCCTCTGCTGTACGAAGACGAATGATGTGATGAGCACCATCCAGAGAGTATTCTAAACACATCCTTCGCAGAATTTCTACCCGGACCTCCAGGCTGCTGACCATATGGAGAATAGAGGGCAGATTTGCTAATCCGAAGAATGATTGCGTTGAATTGCCTTCAGCTCCGATCCACGATTTTCCGTAGTTGGCTCCATACTTCAGGAGCTGAAGGGCAACTTTTCTTTGGGTTTCGTCCTCTGAGGATAAAAGGTCTATTCCGTCCATGAAGACATATATCAGCTGCAAGACCTTCATGTTTTGTTTGAAACCGAGGACGCTCCCATCCATTGTATCCGAAAATTTGTCGGATAATGGCAGCGCGTCGCCCTTGCTCTCTCGCAGTTGCACCTGATAGCGACTGTAAAACATGGCCCATAATAGCTTGAAGAATTTCCCGGCAATTGATGCATGCGCAAGCGAATCCAAGGAAGCCCCCAGGACCAGCGCCTGTAGCTGTGCTATGGTCAACCTAGAGTCATGCATGGTTGAGCGCTCCCGCTGGACAGTTCCATAGTATCGAAGACTGGCCAGGGGCAGGGACCAGTAGACTCCGTTTGGAGACCTAGACTGGTCTGAATCGGAACGGGGAGCGATGGATATGGTGACGATCCCCCCGTCTTGGACTAACGGATCCTTCTGGCGAATCTCTCGCGTAATTGAGCCCAGGACTACTAGGTCTGGGTAAATATGCCAGCAAGTAAGGCCAAGAAGAACTCCACCGTCAATGATCCGTTGAGGCTCTCCCCTGATTAACTTGTCAAGAGCAGTCAAAGCGCAGCTGAGGTTCTGGATCACGCTATCATAAGAATTCTCCTTGCTGGATGCAGTCCGGCCTTGATGACTCCCGGCAGCCTTGACGGCCACCGACAGATTATTCACGATCAACCTAATTTGATCTTGCTGTCGGACACAGGCTCTATCGGCCACTTCAAGCCAAGCACGAGCACTGGAGTCCCAACTGCTCAGCGATGAGCGGCTGATCTCGTGGGATGCCGCTGCCTGCGCCAAAGTATAACCCGCGATGTCTCCCGACATGGCCGCCTGCTGTTTGATCTCCATCTGTCGATGACTGACTAGCTCGGCCCAGATGGCCGTCGCTTCCTGCGGTGACCAGATCCGAGCTAGCATGCACGCTAAAAGATGCATTCGAAGCACAGGCCTACCACTCGTTGCACTGGCCCAGATCGTCGTGTAATCAATTCCCAAATGTGATCCAAAGAAGGTTTCTGCGAGACCCTTTGGCTGATCCATTGTATCCGTCGTTTCCTGCACGATTTCGGTCACTCGGGTGCCATACGCCTCCAGCAGCGCAGGTACCTCGGGGAGGACATCCTGAAATAGCACGCCTAGCCTTCGAGCCAGAATGTGGAATGACCCTTCCTCAGCTGACTGTTTCCGGGCCTTGGAGAGACGTTGCTCGATGGGCTGCAGCTCGGCGGGAACTTCGTACTTGACCAGGGAAAAATCGAAATTCACATGTGCTAGAGCGAGGTTGGCTTCACCTACTGCATGCACTGCTGCTGCTGCGATGCGCTGTATAGAGGCCGACATGTTTAACAGAGTCGGGTGTTGAACCTGACGGTGGAAGATTTCGAGTCGAGGGCATTTATCTATTTGGTGATTCGTGGCTGTGCTTATTCCAGCGCTTTGCAGGACAGAGATCAGCGTTCGGATGCTGATAGACAAGGCTGAAACAGCTCGTCTACACGTGCAGGCATATCACTGGTCTTCATTTTGGCCACTAAACCCTTAGTATTTCAGCTATTCAATCGTTCCACGTTCATGTTAGAGCTTTAACTCCGTCACCTTGGCTGTAAAACACAAGAGTGAGAACCGACAATGGAATCTATTGGCTATCATTTTTGGGAGTGAAGAAGCAATATCTAGCCACCTTGGGTCACTGATTCAAGGAGTATAGCTTTCTTTATCTTCCAACTATAAGCTATATAGGCGCCTAAGTGGATTGATATGATACTATCATACCTTTTCTAGGAGTCTTGCTGTGGTATAGTGCAAGCTGTTATGTAAAGTTGCCTATCTACAGTGGATATAGTTTTTTGTACTTAGATTAGACATGAGTTGAACCTCATATCGGCTGGTGGCCTCTAGGGATTTAAGAGGGGCAACCCGGCAGCGTGGGCACCTTTACATGGCATGATTCTTTGCCCTGTCGGCTCTACTCCGTCCATATAGCTAATTCACCTGTGTTCGTTCGGTGGACATACAGAGGAGATGATTCCTGGGAAAGGGAATCTCGTAGTAGTGGTGAGGAATATGGAGACCCTTTTCATCAGCCCATCTGGGATGTTCAGTGATCCTATGTACACAGTCTATTTCTGTTGGTTCCTTAGGTCTGTATATTCTCGAGTTGTACAAAGTATGATCTTGAGACATATCTGACATTTTCCTACAGCATAAAGGCCATGATTCTTAGAAGTAATTTAAACATAAGCTTGGTGACCCTGGTCCCACTGTAGGTGTCAGCCTTGTCACTCTGACGCCGACTTTAGCTGGTGCTGCGTGCTACATGAGGTAAGGGAATCAGCAAAGGCAACCACTACTGATCCATATACCGCCAAACTGCAGATGGATTGACGCGAGATGCTGCCAGACAGGCGAGACTTCCCAACTGGGAAACCGCACTATAGCTACTGCCAGTTTGTTTTGAACCATTGTATATCGCCACTCTTGCTTAGACCTAGTACTTACGAACTCTCTAACAGAGCCTTCTCCAAGACTCTCTTATTCTCTTCTCAGAACTCGACTCTGATCCGCTCGAATTTTCGCGAATTTCTAGTCCATTGGTGAACGATCTCATCACAACTCAGAGCTGCTCACATCATCAGAAACCCATCCAGCATTTCTGGCATTAACATCATCGAAATCGTCTCCCCGATGCCTAGCTTCCACGACAGCTTCCACGACTTCCATAACTTTTGCGACCGATACCTTCTCCCGATTCTCCTACACACTGTTATTAGTCTCAACGCCATCCAGTACTACGTTTTCCGCGAAGACTGTGCTCCAAATGACCTACTTCGCATCAATATGAATGCTTGCGTCATACTTACCCTAGACTGGCATCGAAAGCGAGCCCCTGGCAAGCCTACTGCTATCAATGTGTTTCTGGCTATACTCCTGGCACTACTCCTGGCGCTAGAATGTCTCGGCATTCTGGATATTCTCGGCTATTCCCCGCGGCTTACAGGCGTGATCAGGGGCCTTTCGGACCAGCACAGTTGTCGACGTATGACTGGCACCTTCGATAATGTCAAGTGGTCGTTCTATGCTACTGGACAGCACTGCGATACGACGGCGCAGGAAGCTAGTATTCAAGGGGCTATCGCAGAGTACATTCGGAATGCAGAGAATGGGACAATCTGCGGCACCCAGTGCTTGCGTCTGGATCATGGCGGTACCTGGAATGGGTGGTTGAAGCTGGGCTCGGTCAGCAGTTTTGACGAGAATGCCTACTGCGGTGTCGGCCTGCCGTTTGATAAATGTATCTCGGGTGGAAACGATTATATTTAATCTGTCGCGAGGGATTACTGCTGCTGGGGACAAAGTTGTCGGCGGGCTTTGGCGGCGTCTCGGGTGAATACTCCTTTTGGTGCCTGGTGGAGGAGCAACCTAGGTCAGCACAGTCGATATCTGCATTGCGCCTGTGTTGGCTTCTGAGGTATGAATGTTGCCCAAGATGTGTGGTAAAATGAAATTCCTACAATGAAAGGAACTAATATGACTTTGACGGTCCGCCTCTTTCCTTGTATGAGTATAACCCTTTAGGCTATCACACATTTGCTCTTTTCCTTTGCAGTAGTCATTGGCTCCTGCCATACACGAATTGCCTATTCTCAGGCAAGTATTAGCAGTTCATGAATATCTTCAGCGATATCTTGAAGGGGTCACAATCTGAGAACCGCTTACCTCTTGAAAGAGCTCCTTCACATTGAATTGATTCTGAGCAGAGCACTCAATGTATCTAGAGGCGCCTAACTTCCTGACCATCCTTTCACCCTCCGGACACGTTACGTGTCGTTTCCAGTCTTCCTTGACTTTTATACTAGAATTGTTGTCCCTTGCGTCGACCTGAGTACCAACTAGCAGCCACGGAACCCCAGAGCAGCAACTCCGTAGTTCATCGAACCAGTAGTATTCCACGCTGGAGAAGGACTGTCGGTTGATGACAGAGAAACAAATGAGAAACACGTTGGTATTGGGATAAGCAAGTCGGCGTAACCGGTTCCTTTCCTCGTCGTTCCAAGTGTCCCAAAGTGCCAGGCTGTAGGACTGGCCATCAACACTGAATGTATCAGCGAGTACGATAATTGATGTCCAGATGCAGCCTACCTAACGTCCACTGCGTAATTGTCGAATACACGATAGTCGGGAGTACAGAATTGATTGGTTACATATCGCGTCAAGAGCGTTGTCTTGCCAACCCCGTTGTCACCGAGAAGCACGCATCTAACTCGTTGTTAGTTACATGCAGCGTGTCGCATATGGCTATTTGAGATTCCATATTATTATACTTCACGTCTTTGGCACGCTCTGACATTCTCTTCTCCTTGTGTGCCCTTGAGAAACGGCCTCACCCTGAATGAGGACCTTCGGAGGTCAAAGGACACTCGCTCGTATTTCTGAAGACTAGCCTGATTACAACATCTGAATCCTTCCAAAGCTAGTGACGGACTATCCATTCGAAATTGAGACTAAGTCGCAAATGAAATAGTATGGTGGCAAGAATAGATCGTTTCATATCTGTAAGATTAACTAATTCGACTTCTATGCATCTGATCACCAATTCCCCCGGCGAGGCCGCTCATTCCCACCGAGATGGCTATTTCTATTCTCATGGGTGATCTCAATCTGATTAGAGACGACAATGCCGCGAGAAGGATGTTCACGGCCAGTATCGGGTGCGCCAAATGCCTCCAAGTTATTCATCTTCACATCGTCCACTATCCGTTCCTCACTCTCGCTGAATGTCAAGTTTGCGCTAATAGGATGAGCGGTCGGAGGACCCCGACGGTTCCGGCTAAAGGACTCGCCAGCACCGCCACCGATGGTTTGAAACCCACTGGGGAATTTGTATGTCTTCTGGGAGCTGCCGAACGCGGTGCCAAATATTTTCGAGAGCCAGACTCGAAGAAGATGGAAGACCATGGGAAGGTTGGTAGTAACCACCGCGACGAAGGCCTCTCTTGTTCCCCATTCGCCCGCGAGTTGAGCGCCATGGACGGGATCCTACGGGTATCGATGTTAGCTCGGGGGCCGCGGGCCGGGGATGGCAAATGTGACATCACGACTTACCACCAAGACAAACACGCTCTTGAGGATAGCGCACACGAGAACGAACAATCCAGCGCCGAAGACGATGGTTGCTGCGATCTTTTTCAGGAGTTTTAGGCTGGATTTCCAGAGCATGGGGATGGGGATTAATATGAGGTAGATATCGGTGGAAACGTTGGATGCAAAGGAGGCCCAGACGATCGGCCTGGATATGGCTGCCTGGCAGGCGTCTACAGGTAGAATTGTCAGAGAACGATTGATCGGACGAGGGCGCGGCAAAGACGCAAGACTTACTGCCAGGATCTGGGTTGATCTGCCAGTACTTGTGGAGTGGCCGGCAAGCCGCGAAGATCGTAATCACGCTGACGAGGAATGTTCCGATGACAAGAGCGAACCCAACATAGACGGGATTGCGATACCGCTGGCCAAGGCCATCCTGTCGTCCGCATGAGTACCAATTGCGATTGAAAGGAGACTTGAGAAGACTTACTGTAAGTCGGAGGTAGAATGCCAGCATGGACAACTTGAGCGACCATATCAACACCGAATACGTAGTCCACCCAGCCACTTGAATTTTCGACCCAATTACCCTGTATATGTGTGAGCTCGTTCTCATCATATCCTAAGTACTCTCAGAACAAGACATACCTCAATCGGTATTCTGGATCATCAGGGGACAAGGCTGCCCGCTCAGCGTCGGTCAAGCCATTATTCGCAAGGCCATGCGCGACATGGCCCACGGAGTACGCAAGAGCCGTCTGCGCCGAGTAAAATACCTGCTCGGAATAGGCATTAGCGACTGATTGAGATATATCCATGAGTGAGCGACGAACAATTGCAACCCACACAAGAAAGTCTTCGGCTTGCAAGTGTCTGAACCCCACGGCTCTCACCCGGGAATACGTTCGGAGTATGGTCACCGTAACGCCGATTGCATATAGCGTCCAGTGCTCAACCGTGGACTTGTTCAAGGCTGCCTGAGCAGCCTGAGCAGCGTCGTCTGCAGCAGAATCGGTCGACATTAGAGCAACGAAGCATTCGGGCCAGCATGGCCAGCTGGCGGGTTGACCAGAACGTAGAGTGACAACATCGGACTTAGGTTTCCTATGTATGAAGAGAGTAAAAAAATAAGCGAAAGAGTACCATCGAAAAAGAAGAATACCAAAAAATAGTAAAAGTATATTTTTGGCCCCCTCGTCTGCCGGTCGTGGTCATTGCCGAGTCCATCTAACAATGCTGGCTGGGCCTCGGAGCTACACGGATCAGTAACCAGGATCCCGTCGATGACGATACCCGATCTCGTTAGGTTCTTCAGCGCCGAGCATCAGCCTAGCAGGGATGCGACAGGGATCAAGATAGGTTCACCAATCCCTTGCGCCGAAGAAATGAGGTCTTATTAATTGGTACCTGCGCCCTCATGCCACTTGCAATAGCCAAGGATGTACTCCATCCCGACCGAGGGGTTAAAATGCGACATGCCCCTGTACTTAATGTAACCCTAGGCGCTCGATTGAAGCCAATCAATCGTGCATTTCTCTCTATCTGAATCCTTCTCATTTTGCCTTCCTCTGCTTGAGTCAAACTTTCTTCTTGCTGCCGGTCCAATGCGCTGGCTCAAAATCGAGGCTGTTGCAGCCCTGGCTGCCTCGGCTGTACCGGCATCCTGCTTAACAGTGCCTGGTGCCTGTGATGGGCTCGGAGGCATTTGTCCACGCGGAGATGCCGACTTGAATGAGCTGGGAGACAAGCTTTCAAGTACTGGCAAAATATATTTCCCTGGGTCGGCTGAGTTCGAACAGGCGTCCACACGGTGGTCTGTTCTGGATGCTCCCAAGGTCAATGTTGTTGTGGTTCCTGGGACGGAGAACGATGTTGTTGAGACGGTGTGTTGTCCTCCTCTCTCTCTCAATTTTCCATCGGCGATGGGTATAGTTTGCTAACTAGGACATAGGTTAAATATGCCAACAAGAAAAACTTGCCCTTCCTAGCGTACAATGGCGTGCATGGAGCCATTACCACGCTCGGCAAGATGGACCATGGCATCGAGATCTACCTGAACCAGTTGAGCAGCGTGGAAATCTCCAAGGATGGCCAAACAGCCAAGATCGGGGGCGGTACCATCTCCAAAACCGTCACAGACCAGCTTTGGGCCGCGGGGAAGCAGACAGTGACCGGGACATGCGAATGCGTCAGCTATCTCGGCCCTGCCCTTGGAGGCGGACATGGATGGCTTCAGGGACACCATGGACTTGTTGCAGATCAGTTTGTCTCGGCCAATATTGTCCTGGCCAACGGCAGCTTGAAGACGATCGACGCAAGATCCGACCTCTGGTGGGCTCTCAGCGGAGCCGGTCACAACTTCGGCATTGTGACCTCTGTGACCACCAAGATCTACGATATCCAGCACGCCGACTGGGCCATCGACACGCTCATCTTCAGCGGCGATAAAGTCGAGGCCGTCTACCAGGCCGCCAACGACCACCTCCTCAAGAACGGCACTCAGCCTGTGGATCTCATCAACTGGTCGTACTGGCTCAACATCCCCACCGCTGACCCGAACAACGTAAGTATACATCCTGTCCACAAGTTGTTGCCTTTTCTCACAACCATTAGCCCGTCATCCTATTCTACATCATCCAGGAAGGAGTAAAGACAGTCGACGCAGCCTACACGAAGCCCTTCCACGACATCGGCCCGCTGTCCGCTCAATCTATCGGAGGAAGCTACACCGATCTCGCCGGATGGACCGGCATCGCCACAACCTCCCCGCCTTGCCAAAAGGCCGGCCTCGTCAACCCCCGCTTCCCCATCTATCTCCAAGGATACAACGTCCCGGCCCAGAAGAAGGCATACGACATCTTCGCCGCCGCCACCCGCGGCTCCTCCGCGTTCAACAACTCCATTTTCATGTTCGAGGGATACTCCATGCAAGGTGTGCGCGCTATCAACAGCAAGTCCAGCGCCTTTGCTTTCCGGAATGAGAACCTCCTTGCCGCCCCGCTGATCACCTACGCACCCGCCGGGCCGGACCGCGACACTAACGCCGCGCAGCTGGGTAACCAGCTTCGCCAGATCCTCTTCCAGGCTAGTGGACTGAAGGAGATTGGTGCGTATGTCAACTATGCCTATGGCGATGAGACGCCGCGGCAGTGGTATGGAAGTGAACAGTGGCGCCAGGATCGCCTGCAGGCCCTGAAGAAGAAGTATGACCCGGCAGGCAAGTTTAGCTTTTATGGTCCAATCGCTTAGGGACAATTATGAGGAGGCCATATAGAATCATTGTACAGAGTATAATGCAAGCCCTTGCGCTTTAGTATAGTAATAGATCATGTTTTGCTTCAGGAGGATAGGTACCAACAATGCAAACTAGAGTATCCCAGTTCTCCTCGAGACCGTAAATCGTAACTAACTGTAAAAGACAGATACATGTTGCTTTCCCATGACCAACTCGGATATAATTAGATTCTTCAGCACCATAGATGATCTTCTTATGGCCTCCTACCGGATGGCATGCCATCAGAAGCACACTCTGCCCGGTGGTATTTTTGCATATTAACATCAGCGCCAGCCTTGATAAGTTGCTGCATTATGCCAAGAAACCCTCTCCCTACAGCGTATTCAAAGGGGGTGGCGCCAACATTGTCTTTGCGGTCAACCTGGTCTCCTCTTTCAAGGAGTAGCTTTACCAGCTCTTCATCATTGTTGCGTGCTGCTGCTGATAGAATCCTATCCCCGCCTTTATTAGAAAAGTCGGGACCCGCTCCCCTTTCCAGGAATAGAGCAGCATCTTTATTTCCTGGACACCGGGCGTCCATGAAAGGAGAACCACCATCTCTACGATTAGACAGGCCCCGTTGATTGATTTGAGCATCGTGATCAAGTAGAAGTCGCATTGTCTCAATATCTCCAGACGAAGCAGCAGCACATGATGCATCGTAACCAAATCCATCCTTATAATTTAGGCATGCCCCGTATTGAATGAGGACGTGGCCTACATCTTCATATCCCCCAGAAGCTGCATGTAATAGAGGTGTTCGACCGTACATCTCCCAGCTGGGATTGGCACGCTGTGGTTCGAGAAGAACTCTGGTAGTGTCAAGATGGCCGGCTTTAGCAGCATAGGCAAGCGGCGTTCTGCCTCTGGGGTCTCGGATATCCACGTCCTGATTTTGACGTATATACTCGGTAATGATGCTTGTTGAATCACTGTGAGCTGCGAGACCTACCTTCGTCATTCGAGGTGGGAAAAATTCAACCCAATCTGGCCAATGCGGTCTATAACCTAGGACAGAATGGACCGTCACGGCTTGACCAGCCGCATGGACATTTGATTCTTTCTCCAAAAATGCAATGATAGGCGTCATTAATTCTTTCGATGTATCCAGAGCCGCTGAGGCATGTGCTGTCCAATATTTCGCACAGTAATGATGAAGAGGATAAAGTTCTTGTCGATGTTTATAATCGTTGGGGCTTGTACAGCGTCCACTCGAGAAAGCCTCGAAGGAAAGATATGTGAGAGATGTCTGGGTAATTTCTGCTTCCGAATTGCGAAAGGAAGGGTGCCCTAAGAGATACTCCTTCGTTGTGTAGTGAACCAAGCGAATTCGTCTGGTATTTTGATCGAAAACAACCAAGCCGGCGCAGACTGAATCAATAATGTCAATATCCGGCAAGGACCTCCGGTCCAAATCCCTTTGGCCAGAGCGAGTCCCAAGCGCATGTTGAAGCTCCTTGGCAGAGAGTGCTCGCTTGCAGTAGGTCAACCAAGACAATACTCTCATTGCCATTTGCCAGCACGGTTCAGATTGAGATTTAATTCTGTCGATTGCCTGATCATATACCTTCCCCAGTCCGATCCTCTCACGGGGCAAGCGACCGAGAGCTTCTTCAAGGTCACCCGGGGTAAGATATCGCTTCAAGTGGTCCATGTGTAATGTGGCAAGTAAGAACCTAGATCAAAGTTCGGTTGCGGTCAGGTAAACAATCTATGGGGCAGGGCTTTAGTAGCTTACATCCCATCTGCGCTCTTCACAACCCCACGACGAACGTCGACTTGAATATTGGGATACCGCGAGATCTTTGATCGAAGCAAGGTAGGTAGCGTTGTGTTTACATATCTTAAGATATCGTCGTCTTGCGCCCGGATTTCCCTTTGGATGCATCCCTTAAACTGGGACATAATCACTGAGTTAGGACGAGAGGTTGCGAGGATATTCACCGGTCCATCTTTCTGAAAGGTAAATAAGGCGGAGAGTAAGTGCTGCAGCTCTTCTGGGTTTGAATAACAGAACTCATCCAAGGCATCAATCACAACGAAGATCCTCCGGAACGACTGTGCGGCTCGTGATAGTTCGGGGAGAATCTGCTTCACACTCGGGCGTGTTTTATTGCCGGTGTGGCTTCTGTACATCTGTTCAATGTTCGGGAGGACGGTTGAGCCTTTGGTTGCAAGTTGTCTGAGAAGACTTAGTAAGAATTCGAGTGTAGTTTGTTGGAAGCTTGGTTGATAACTGCAAAACATGCACGCAACCTGCACCTCTGGATCACCCTGGAACTTTGTTCTTAGGTGTTCTACTACAATTGAGGACAGGATTGTCTTTCCAGCTCCTGGGATTCCGGGGCAGAACATTGTTTGTTGAGGTTGTCTGATCCACTGTTTGAATTCCTCCGAGTCCAGCAGCCAGAGACCTGTTCCTTCTAACCTTCCCTTTAGGTTGCAGTTGTGCTGACGGCCAAAGTCTAACTCAGTGATCCAATCGAGAATACGTCCAGAATGCTCGGTCGTGACAAATTCTTTGATTTTCTCGACATAGTCGTGGACTAGATTTATCGTGATTTTACACGTCAGATTTAAGGGCTCATCCGTGGAATTCGTGCTTTAGCCTGGAAGTAATACAGACCTTGATACAGGATATCTTTAGCTGCAGGTTCGGCCTCGATAGCCTTGGGCTGTACATGTTCCAGAAACTCTTTTGCGCAGGCAGCGGCTGCAGCAGCGGCAAATGGCTGCCAGCGGTCATTCGTATGGGAATCGGCATAATGTGAGATCCCACGGATGACGATACAATCAAAGTTATTCATCAAACCTGCCGCCTCCATCTCTAGGCATATCGCACCATGTCGGTCCCGAATCAAGTCTCGTTTAAGTGCGTCTGTGATGACCATATTACCGGACGCGATGGTTCCATAATGGATCACCGGGCTGTCGTTCAGTCGTGGCTCGCGGCTAATCTCCGCTGACGGATCACATTTGGCACAGGATTTGCCAGCAGCATGGAGATAGCTGGGCTGAAACAAGCGATCAGCCGAATGGCCAGGATGAGAGTATCCCTTGCTGCGCATAAACGGAAACCTCTCCAGCATTTGCTCGATATAGTACGCTATCTTGTTCTCTTGCATCAGGTGCTCTGCTTGGAGCTTTCCAAGAGCAGAGCCCAAGGACCTTGAAGGGCTGTTCAATACAGAAAGGCTCTCGAAGGACCCATCTGCAAGTGCTTTTCCAAAGTCGTAGACGACGACTCCTCCAGTTTGGGGGCTGCTGCTTATGACGACGTCGCCCAGACGGATATCGACATCATTGTCGTAGTCGGGTATACCGGCGCCAATACCAACAAGCAGCCCGACGCGAATTCTCGGAAATGTATAGAGCATATCTTTGGCAACTGCTGTTGCCGAGGAGGAACCGAGCTGGTGTAGAGGTAGACGAGCCGCGACGACCTTGAACCTTCCCATGGATCCCAAGATGTACGCGTTGTTGTCCGCCTCAGCTGGTGGAGTTTGTGGTTCGCCATGTATCTCATCCATCATGCCCTTCGCAGCCGCTAGCTCGACGGCGAGAGCGCAGATCCATCCAACTGTGTATTCTTTGTTGGTGAAGGGAGACCGCTTTGAAATTGTCATCGCTTCGACAGATCGACCGAAAAAGCTGCTTTTGGTATAGGGAGTTTACTGATCGCGATAGCGCTGGGTGCAGTACGATAAATCTTTGGAATAAAATCGTCTTTATCCTCAGCATCCAGCCGCAACTGCATTTTGGGTCTCCGAGTCTTGAGGCGGAGCTCCATATGTGACTGTTGGGCGCCTATACATCCTTGTCGTAATTTGTACGGCCAGTATCTGAGTGGTCTGGGTGGCAGGCAGTCATGGGTTATCATTGGCGAGGCTGGAGGTAATCCTAGGTAGCAGTCATATTCAACCACCAATGAGCACGTTCAGGCAAGCGCTGGTAACTTCAGCAGAAACGAAGGTCTCCCCTGAATTTAACATAGCTCTGGCAGCAGGCTTCCACACCACAGATCGTTGTCAGGGCGCAAATACTACAGGTCCGGACACTTTCTCGGATCTATGTTGGGTGGTGGCTCATTAGATTATCAAAGTCGGCGGGTGTGATATCGGTGAGTGGACTGGGCTATTGACCTGCATACACAAGGTTTCCAGGCCTGCTCCAATGGCTTGAATATGTCCGCTCGGCGCTTTCGGATTTGGCGGAGTGTTATTGATTGGAAGCCAAAGCCGTAAGCCGTGGAGAGGAGTACTACGGATCTACTCTGGGGAACAAGGGCAATCGAATTATTTATGTCTAAAATATCACCCACAAACGCAGCCATTCTTGTGGCTGATCATAGCTTAACATATGTGAGCAGAGCAAACCCAAAACATTATATCGTTATTAATATTATATAAAAGACTTGCAAGATGCCCTGCTCAGCCCCCTTTCTATAGAGCGTAGCATAGTAGAGGACAACAAAGCGATCTTCATCTAGATAGGATCTCCGCTCAGACAACGAAATGATATTATCTCACCGTCCCACGTATCTCGTCCAGCTCATGGCCCTCTTCCTTCAAATAGCGACTGTCGTAATCAAGCAGCCACCTTTTTTCGCCATCCGGGCATAAAGACTGACCAAAAGTGTATTTGTGTCTCTTTCGCACAAGATAATCCCGCTGCTCGCTGTCCGTCATCCGCGACGTTCCCCGGAAGTCAGGCGCAATCCTGCTCAGTGCGACCCACGGAATCAGTGACCCAACCGATTTTGGAATACGGGGCCCATTGAAACTCTTATGACGAAGGGCGAATACGAGGACCAACACCGAGACATCAATGGACAGGAGGATGATGATGATGACCATCGAGGGGGTTGAGGGCGACATGTCCCAGAACTTCGCGATGATGGTTCCATCCACCGCGGGGGTAGCAGGGGACCGGTAACGGTCGAAGTATATATCCCGGGCGAGTGTGAGGTAGCTACTGAAGATTGCCCTGTAGGTGGACTGGACGGCACGGATGAGGAGCTCCGGCTGGAAGGAGTCCAAGCTTGGGTCCAATGGCTCGTATGCAAAAGCCGTCAGGAGCCCTGGCCAGTCATACCGGTAGAAGGACGAGTCGCGGTGTGCAGGGAATTTCTGTCCGACGCTGGCTAATGCCCGGTTGAGATACCCCAAGCTTTCCGACGCATTGCGCAGTATTTGCCCGCGTGGGTCAGTCGTAGCAGCTGCGTGCTTGTAAGAAGCGATTGTTCCCTGGTCATCAAACAGGACTTCAAATTCATTGATCTGGATGGACGGCATGCAGTACAGGGCAAGCGAGTTCTGGCTGTTCGTGGGGGCGGGATACCTTGTTGCCCACCTGGCCAGGATGAAGATTGATGTCCGGCAGGGAGAGGCCGGAGAGTCCCAAGTAGGTAGAAGATATGCAATGGATCTCCGGATCAGACCACCATCCGCGTCCCTGTCGTCGGCTTCTGCCGTGCAGTTGTCGCCTGAGGGGGTTGTATGATTCCAAAGCACCTTACCAGTCTCGCTGTCAGTCCATGAATTGTTGATCGGAATATGGTGACATTCCAGATTGGCCCCGACGCCTAGCGTGATGGCGCTATAGCTGGCGCCTCCGCCCGAATCGTAGTCCGACTCATTGACTGTAAGCGGGAGGAAGGAATACTCCGGGGTGGTCCAAGGCAGTAGGGGAGCGCCAGTGGTCAGGCTGCTTAAGATCAACCCGTAACCGTCAAATTCCGCCTCAAAGGATGGCGCGTGGAAGACGGTATCATTATACTGGGCAGAGAGAAGTCCGGAGGCTGACGTCTTGTACTGCTTCAGCCGGGGTTCGAAAACCCCAGCGCTCACAATGTTTAGCAATAGGTTCAGGATACAGGTAACAGAGAGAATAGTCAGAAGCAGAGGTGTACTGCGACCGCTCATTTGCAGCACGGCGATTGGAGTCTGCGAGCCATAGTTCAGTGCTAGTGAGTCCGCTGCAGAGGCCATGCCCCTTTGCAGGCGCACCCATGGTTCCAATACGCTGAGGTGGCGGAGGATGGATGCGAGCAGCGAGCTGATCACAGAGGAAACGAACGTTGGAGCAAAGATCAAGAAAATGGTGAGCCCGATCTCTTTTGGCGAGAAGTTGTCGGTGATATCATCCAATCGAAGAGAGCTGAGCGCGAAGCCAAAGGTTACCAAGGTTCCAATGAGCAACACGCACTCAACCAGGAACCAGAGCGGGACCAAGAAATGCGGCCTGGGGTCTCGTCCTCTTCGGGTTGATGGGAGGGCCAAACATTCTGGACCGAGAGGTCGATTCAAGGGAACGACATTGATCTTTCTCTGGGACGACCCGCCCGTCCACTCGCACCGGAAACCCTTGGACCACAGGCGAAGCTGCCTTGTCGTGGCGCTATGAAACTGCGCTTCAGACCGAGCGAGCACCGTATCAGGCGGGAAGAGGTCTGCAATAATCCCGCATTGTGCGGCTATCGACCCTGGGTCACTTCGAAGGAAGTTCATACGCCGCGGATAGAGGGCTGCGAGAAACAACAGCAGCGCAACTGAGGCAAGTAGGATAGCCTCGGCCATGATAGCAGACCTGGAGATGACGTCGAGAGCCACAACGGTTGTAACCTGCCTTGCATCCACCTTTGTCGGGGTTACAGTTGGGTTGAAAAATTTGCTCATTGTGGTGATGAATTTCTGTTTCCAAAACTGAACGATCGCATCCTGGTATTGGGCGACGTCGATACGGGCTGTAGAGTTCGAAGCTACTGGCCCCGAATCAATCCCATCTACCGCTACGGCATTTGGGGTCCGAAGCTTTGCAAGGGGGGTCGAGTGATATTCAGAAAAGACAAGGTCCTGAAACTCTTCATGGGCAAAGTCCGTGCTTGTCAGACTGCGCTCAGTGGAGGGGTGAACCTTCGCTTCGGTTATAGAGCCGTTAATGCTGATAAAGACCTCGGCCTCAGCAGACATGTAAGTAGCGGTGCATGCAAATGCAGTGGCATTGGAGGTCACAGAGGTAGACATGCCGTGCACATCCATATCTAGATCGAGGAGGATTCCAAACAGGGCGATTGATTGGCAACCGCGGGTACGAAAAGCGGACGGGGCGTGAAGTCGAGTTTCCGAATGGACAGGCTCCCAGTACCGCACCTGAGAAGAAGCACCCCGGTCTGCGGTGATGTTGCCGAGGGAAACGTCAACGTAGCAGGTGGATGCTGCATTGCCGTCGCCCAGCGACGGGAACTCCATCCCGCTTATGTTCCAGGAGACGCCACGATCTGGGGGTTCAAGGTCCGTGCGGTTCACCACCTGGCAGGCGAGCTCGGCCCAATACACGGTTTGATTGAGCGACAGCATTGACGTCTCGTTCTCATCGAGGGGCATTGACACAGCGGCCGTGGCATAGTCAGACGAACGGAGTAGGAAAACATCGTCCATAGTCATCTTCAGGGAGGCATTTGCGTGAGGTCCAAAGGTCTCGCTGGATAACCAGGCTTTCTGGGTATCCACGTCAAGCAGATCAGGCCAGGTCCGAACCGATTTCGACTCGGTGGTGGTCACTTCGGTTAGAACCAACAGGCCGGAGAGAAGAGAGGGAAGAAAGATCCGCAGGAGGATCGACAGACCAGAGGTGAAGAATACAAGCCAGTGACGATTGCGAGCCGCCATCAGGGGGGCCATGAGGCCGTAGTAGAAGCTGTAGCTGGTGAAGAGCACTGCTGCAGCAACGCCTTCAGGTTTGGCTACCTGGAAATATGGCTCTAGTCGCACAACGTCGGAGGCGCTAAAGTTCCACAGCGTCACAGCCAGCACTGCCACAGCCGTCGGTACGTAGATATAAGCCACCGAGACGCTCTTCGGCAGTTCAGCAGTCGCTTTGAAGATGATGAGGCCCTGATTGCGGTCCGCATATTGGCGAAGGTGTTCAAGTGCAATGGACAGGAGGAGGAAAGACACAGCCAGCGAGCAGAGGAAGGGAGCTTGCAATGATGAGGGCCTCCAGCCTCGGTGTTGAGCTGCGGTGCAGTCATTTTGGTCCTGTCTCTGGCCCTCTCCAGAGGTATGGGTGCTGTCATTTGCGACCATATTGTCACCTTAGAGAATGGGTTTCTCAATCGTCCTGGTGAGTAATAGCCTGCCTTGTTTCCCTTGACATCTCTTCCCTGACCCCTGCCGCATCGCTATCATCGAGGGTCTAGCATAAGTAAAAATCATAAGACCGGATTCTTTATTAGGGTATACAGAAGACCGACAGAAATCATTGAGATCTGCTGGATCAAAAATATTTTTTCTATATCGACAAAACCCAGGGCCCGTTAGGACAGAGTAGAGAGACTGGGAGATATGCGGTGGCTTGGAGATGCTAAGCTGAATGAAAATTCGTCTAGTACGATTTACTGAATTTAAATAAACTTGGCGCCAGGGTCTAAGACTTGGCCATAGGCGGCATGATGACAGCGATAGACGCAAGCGCTAAGTGGGCTTCTTTCAGCCAACTGAAAGACCTATTTCAACGGGTCATCAGCCATTTCGGCCTGATATTTTTCCTCAATGGGTTATGATGATTAAACTTCTACCAGTGGGGTGCAAAAGGTATTCGACCACCTTACCTTACCGCCTACTATTAGCTAAACCTAATAAAGAAGGAAGGAGTTTGAGTCCATTATAACTAAGGTATTTCGTATACCAACCATCTGCCTCAATAACTGCCTTCACCCGGCTAGGCATGGTCCTTGATAGGTTTTTGAAGGAGTTTTGACGTCCTCGGTAAGTAACGGATATCTACGCGTTTGGTGATTTCTTACCAGCAGAATAGTAGGCGGTATGGTAGGGGTGGTCGAATTACTTTACCCGCATTCAGGGGATCCGTCAGGGACCGTAGAGTCAAAAAACTAGTGAACTAAATCGACCTAAAAGGTTTCATTAAGTGCCGTGACTTTGCACCTGGACGATAGCCTGCCATAAGGCTACACATTTGCCGCGTGTGGATTCTCGGTGAATGAGAATGAGAGAACAGTGGGGTTGCTCCACTCATCCCTCTCTATTTGTGAAAGACTAGACTTTGCCTAGATAAAGGGAGCTGACATGTGGAGTCGAGAAGGGTTACAATGCCTATAACAGAGCGCGTAGGGCTATCTACTAAAGGGCTGTTGCCTAGAACAGGGTAATTTGGGATATTAGTTAGGTCCGGACCTCTCCACCGCTAAAACTCATTAGCTTAGCTGCAATGTCCAACTCCAATACTGCCTTGAAGTGTGTAGGGTCCACCATGTCAGTTCCACAAAATATCATAGATAAGTCACGGCCACCGCAGGCAAGTAAGAGGTGATTTTCTCAGCCTCTTTTCCAAGGCTATTAGCCTCTGTCTATTTGATGTCGCTATTTGAGTGAAGAATTAGCAATCCAGATGTGCCTGGGTCGCACAAAAGCATGAATCACCTTAAGACATATACTCCTAGCCATACACTTACGAAGTTTCTTAGCATGTCTCGTGGATGCAAAGCGTGTAGGACATTGCAATGCAAGATCAAAAACCCCTCGTAACTGATCCTTCCTAAATAGATCATGACCTTCGGAATTACTAGGTGATATTCAGTCTATTCGTCCACCATCTTGCTGCCACTGGTCTCCAAGGCGGGTGGTTCAAACCAGTAGGTTTCTGAATGGCCAGTCCAAGATACAGAAGGGACGACTCAGTCAACCGGTATCCCAACGTGTAGCCCTCGCGGTTGCGAAATGATCCCCTTCAACCAACATGCAAATATCAACGCTATTATCATTGCCTCGCCATGCTGTGCCGGCCTAGCGGAGTAGGTGCTGCTGCATTGATCTCCCCGATATAAAGATATCCAAGGGCATGTTTCAGTCACGTAGGTGCTATCAGAGAGCCAGAATTATCAGGTCTGTGATTTATCCAAGCTCTTCTGGGTTACTAAGTCATACCATATAACATCGTCCAGAGGAAGACAAAGGCAGTAGTTACTCCTAGTCTACGCCCAAGATATACTTGGGTTTGAGCTCAGGCAACGCAATGTACTCCATCCAAATTGTGCCTACAATTGATTGTAGACGTTGGTGACGTGTGAGACAACGGAGCTCCACAGCCGCTTTTTGCATGCAAGTAAAACTGGCCACAAGCTATGGTCTTGGCTGCAAACTCCCTAATTTCCTTAGCATCTCGGTCTTGCATAAATAATGAGAAATGCACGGGCAATGTGCCCTCTTCGGAAGTTTGCGCTGCTGCCTGCCGTCGTCCCTTTCCCTTTTCTCCGCTTTTTTCTTGGCAGGATGGACTTGGAGCTGTCATTTAAGCATACATCCGCATAATATGTATCGGAGATGTCCGAAGCAGCCTCGACATCCCACTGAAGCTTCAATGGGTCGTCGCAGGAACAGCGAGAAAACTAAGAAGCCTAGACTCTTCCAAACATCTAGTTCTTCTCTTAAGGCAATTATGGAAGTATGCCGACCCGATTTCCTGCCCCTTCAGCCACACATACACTGCTGKTGCCCTCAAGGCCTTTGACGGCTGGACTGAGAATTGCCTACATACTTGACTGGTCTCAGCGGTGGCGGGTGGCTGTTGGGTTCTGTTTACCTCAATAATTCACTGTCATCTCCTCGCTGCAGAGAACTACTCTCGGAACCCCATGGCAGTTTGAGAACTCAATCATCAAGGGTCCCGATGATGGAGGGCCCCTTCTGACCTCTGCGACCAGATCCTATGGAAGAGATTGTACACGCCGTGGCGAAGAACGGTTCCGGTTATCCCACCACCATCACTGACTTCTGTAAGTGCCCGAGCTCTCCAACCTTGCACCTTGTCCATCGTCATTCAGCAATGCTAATTGCTCTCCTTCGTCTTCTTTCTCCGTAGGGGCCGGGCTTTGTCCTACCAGCTCCATCAACGCACCTGAAGGAGGCATCAACTACACTTAGAGCTCAATCGCAAAAAACGACGAGTTCCGACAGGCCGAGATGCCTCTTCCAGTTCTCGTGGCTGATGGGCGCAATCCGGTGAGCACCTTGTGGGCGGCAATGTAACGGTCTACGAGTTCAATCCATGGGAATTAGGGACCTCCGATCCCACCTATATTCGGCTCTGTTCCATTGGACTTTCTAGGAACCCGGTTCGAAGGATGGCGTCCTGCCCCGCGGGAGAAGTGCGTCCGGGAATTCGGCAGTGCTGGCTATATCATAGGAACTTCCGAGTCTTCAACCAGTTCTTGCTGAACATCAACTCGATGGACCTGGCGGACCCCATGGAGACGTTGGAATGCACAATATAGGGAGAGTTGGGGATGTACACAATCAGTGGCGCCAGCGGACTGCGACCCAGTGATGCTGGAAGGATTACAGCCAAAGAAGGTCGGCCGATGGTTGAATCCCAGGTTCAGAAATGTGTTTCTGTCTGGGACAGACGGAAACCTTGTGCCATTATTGATCTCGGCGTCAAGGCTGCGTTCATAAGTTGCCACCATTGTCGTTCCGTCCGGCCAGTTAATCGTATCTGCTGATGAGTCTACAGGGCGAAGATGACATCTACATGCCGCTTGGGCTGGATGAGCGGATGAAGGGGAAGATTTTGCAAGTCCTCGCCTCCATCGACGACCGCAAGGTATCGGGATTGCGCGTAGGGGGACGACGACTTCGAGTAGAGATAGAAGGGGTTTGTGTAATTGGAAATATCTTTCACCTCTCTGTCATCCTCGCCAAGGACATTAGAAAGGACTTTTTTGTGAGTTACGACAAGAAAGTGAGGGACGCAATCATTCTGAACGGCTACAACGTGGCTACCATTTACTCCACTTGGGATCCAGACCGGTCGACCTGCGTTGGCTGCGCCGTGCTGAGTCGCTCATGGAGCGCACACATACTGCGGTGCCTACAGTCTGTAACCAGTGCTCCCAACGGCACTGATGGAATGGGACGGCGGACAGTCCCACACCGGCTCCATATGAAGCAGAGCTTTCGCTTGCAGAAGTGAGCCTGAGAAATGCCGGGGGAGTCCTGTGCGTCCCGTGAGTCATTCTTGATATGTTTTGACCTGGCTCGTATCGCTGTGAGACTATCTATGCATTATCTTCGTGATTGGCATTGGTAACGTCCCCATATATATGCTTAATCCGCCTCCTGCTTCCCCAGGCTCTCTTTGCCAAGTGTCAGTCTCTACGGTCTGTTCCGTGATCCGGAATTGCGTTCAATTGCAGTTTAGAGGAGCGCGAACAATACCAAAACTCTTAGATAGCTAGAACATCAAAACTTGCTAACCAGCTATTTGACATGGCCTCAATCTTGACATGCTCTGCAGTAATCCTGAACCACCTTCGGGCACTGACGCGAAGTACCGTATTCGTCTGTTGTGCCGAACAAGTTTCCCAGGCAATCCGGGCGTCGCAGTTGAGAAGCCCAACTACCGCTGACATCGACGCTCTAGTGAGTAACGCGAATTGCAAAGAAGTGAACCTCTGTGGGACCATTTCCCTGGTTATAGTTGCCGGCCTTGAAGTAGCTATCCGGGTTATTAAGCTGAAACGTGTCGAGTTTCTGGAAAGCCTGGCCATTGAGGCTAACGGATAGAATACCGCCCTCGTACCGGATTTCGTAGGTGAATCTCTGGCCTACAGGAACGTGGCCGACAGTGAATGTTTTCTGGCTGCAAGTGCGGCATTGTTGGACCCCCATCGTCAGATCACCCGTGGAACTATAGTAAAGCTCGCACACGGGCTTCGTGGAGATGGAGTCATCGATATGGATTTGGCCGACCACAACTCGGTTGTCCACGATTTGTTTCACGATCAAGTCGCCAAACAGCCGGTTCTTAGAAGCAGTTGGACTCCACTTAGACGGGCTACTCTCACGAAGCTCCGTGCGGCAGTGTAGGCTGTTTGGGGTAGTGACACACTGGGAGCTTGACGGAGAGCCTGGGACCTTCATAACAATGGAGCCATCATCGGGGCTGGTAAAGAAGTATTCAGACTTGTAACCGTTGCAGCCCTTGAGCCCGGAAGCAGAGATCTCGTCTGGCGACCCAGCCTTGCCAGTTGGGAGCTGTAGTTTCCAGTTGGACAGGTCAAAAGTACCGCCAGGAGCGCAAGCTGAGCCTTGCGCCATGGCCATTGGTGAAAAGTGAACAAGGCCCAAGAGAGCGATTGGTAGGAGGTTCTTGATTGCCATGATGCTTATTTTGAAGAATGCTGAAGAAAGACAGGCAGTGAGGATGGATCTCAGAGGATTGTTGAAATAAGACAACTGGTGACTGACTGTGGTGCTGGATATATTCCTTTTCAAGGAGCCGGGTCATACAAAAGGCTTTAAATATTAATGCATATGCCAGTATATCTCTGCCATCGAGACCCTTCCCAGCAGTTTCAGGGTCCTAATTTCGACAGCCTGACATCATATGACAGACACTACTTTAATTAAAGGAAGCTTTCCTGACGCAGCATCATTCTGGAAGGGATCATCGTTCCTCAGCGGCTCTGAAACCCGACACACTAGGTATATGACAGGTGGGACAATACCTCGCAGACGGATTATCTCATTTACGTCAATGAGAGCGTACGGATCTGGTTACTTTATGATACCATTTATAACATAAATCATCTGGAGGTATATTTTCCACCAACTGAGACAATCTGAATCAACGAAGCTTCTGCTAGCTGCGCGTAAGAATAATACTGGCTCGGGGGTGCCGACGATCTCTGGACTAGCGGCAATCTTAGCTAAGTCTAACGTTACATTTGGGTCGATTAGTCGTATCAGTGGGTATGATAGCTCCTGCAGCATGTCTGACCCGTGCTAAAGGGTTATGGCCCCCTGTCCACCAAGTGTGCTTCAGAGGACTTACCCTTTCGGGTTGGCACTTCTCCCCCGCTTCCCCGGTTTCTCCGAGTATGCCGGCCGGCAGTTACAATAGCCTCTAATAATAGCCCTAAGTGCAGATGCAGATCTGACACCTCAATTGCCATTTCCCTGTCCTCCTCTTCCTTGATCGAGGATGAGCGCAACGGCCTTCGAGCCGGCTACCCCGCGTTTATGTCTAGTTGGAGTTTCTCTGCCGTAATTCAAGTAGTGGGAAAATGTATCCTTTCCTTCGTCAGTCAGTCAATCCTCTTCCACCAACCATATGCATGAACACTACGAGCTGGAAGAGATGTAGAGCTATATTTGTAGAGCTCCAGACGCAAGATTGGCTGGAGCTTCACCAAAAAGTCCCAGGGAATGAGACTCAAGCCCTCGGTGTTTCATATTCACCCATCGACTTGTCTACTCCTTGTCATCCTCTAAGATGAAGCTCTTTCAGATCTTGTGTCTCAACCTTTTCATATCATTCTCTAGTTCCCTCGGTCTTCCTGATGGCCAGGGCCGCCATGACATCATCCCAAAGACCGTTGTGATTGACGGCGCCCGCCTCGTTGAGAATAAACTGCGCCTCCGAGCTGGCGACTCGTCGCTCACTGCCGCTCTTGGTCATCTCACCGCCGAAGCTGATAGCTGGCTAAGCCAGGGCCCGTGGACTGTGACTTCCAAGACGCAGCCACCACCAAACGGCACAATCCACGACTACACATCTCAAGCACCGTACTGGTGGCCCAGCAATACCACTGATGGCTGTCCCTACGTAGAACGGGATGGCGAGCGCAACCCCGAAGTCGACAAATACCCCGACCACAGTGGACGTGATTCGATGTTTCGATCCAGCTACATACTGTCGCTCGCATGGTACTACACAGGCCAGGCCAAATACGCCAAACATGCCTCGCTTATCCTGCAGACCTGGTTTATTGACCCCGCTACAGCCATGACGCCTAACCTGCGCCACGCGCAGATCATCCCTTGCCGCAATGACGGCCGCTCAATCGGCATTATCGACTTCAGCATGGAGTACACCAACGTCCTGGATGCAGCTGCCATCCTTGCCTCTACCAATGCCCCAGGGTGGACAACAGCAAATCAACGAGCGTTCATGAACTGGAATCGCCAGTTTCTAGACTGGCTAGTCAACTCGCCCTTCGGCAAGGAAGAGGCAGGCCAAGGGAATAACCACGGCACTTTCGCCAACATGCAGATTGCGGCTCTCGCTCTCTTCACCGGGAACACGTCTCTCTCGGAAAAGACATCCCAAGGAGCAAAGTCTCTCATCGATGCCCAGATCCGGCCTAATGGCTCCCAACCAATGGAACTCGCGAGGACGCGCAGCTGGCACTACTCCAATTTCAACCTCGGGGCGCATCTGCGCTTTGCGCTTGTCGCCAAGAAGGTCGGCGTAGACCTGATCGGTCATAAGGGGCCTGATGGACAGAGTCTGTTTGGAGCGACGAATTTCCTGTTGAAGGCGGCTGTGGAAGGAAAGAGCGCGTGGGAATTCGAGGAGCTGGAGTTTAAGCCGTACGCGGCAACCGATAATGTACACGCTGCAGCTGATGCAGGAGACAGTAAGGCCAAGGCGGTTGTGCCTCAGCTCCCGCCGCCGCCGACTGGGGATATTTACGTGCTCAGACCGGCTGCCGAGCAGTTGGATAATATTGCTACCTAGAGCACCATGAAAATTGGGACAGTCATCTAGTGATTTTAATTGGGCTCGAGAAGCACCTTGGAAAAATGAATCTGTGGGACCTTCCTGTTGCTTGAGAGAAATTAGTTAGCGAGCTCGTAGCTGTCGGGTCTATAATATAGCCGGGTTAGTAAATTGAACTGGTCCAAAGACGCTCCCCGCAAGACCCGTCATTTTAAGCATTGGTGGTCTACTTAAAGGGGCACGCTATACTAACGAGAGACACTATCTCCCCTGGACCCTTGCGGGCCAAGCCTCTTCTTGCTTCCGCTTGGGTGGTCTGATCAGGGCAGGCTCGACATCCGAGCCGAAGCCTCGGGCTCCGCGGACAGCGGTTKAGATGATGTCCAATTTATCAGACCAGTTCCGTTACTTAAATAAACGACAGATATTGTTTGGAAGATGGTTGCAGAGGCGATTGGATTACTCGCAGGTTATCCCAGGCTTTTTACAACATCGCACTAGCTTGAGACAATGTACAACTCGAATACGACAACCATGATTCCCCATAATTATTACCCGCCTACTCTTCGTCTGCCGCATTATGCAGCTAACGAGACTTCGGTCTTGTCATTGATTGCCCAATTTGGCTTCCTGTGGGCCGCTGTACTTGGGATAGCCTTTATTGTCATTCAGCGAGTGCGACCTGCCGCAAGTCGGTCAGACCAACTGGCTTTTATATGGATGTGCTTAAGTATGTTGTCCTGATTAATAGATATTGACTCAGTGCTGACAGAAATAAATAGCCGGATTCATTCATCTCTTCTTTGAAGCATACTTTGTGGTCCATCATGAATCCCTCGCCGGCTCCCAGGAGTTATTCGGCCAGCTATGGAAGGAATATTCCCTCTCTGACTCGCGTTACTTGACCTCAGACGCCTTCCTCGTCACGATGGAGGCAGTCACGGCGGTATGTTCCGAGATCACCAAAGTCAGCCAGCTCACGACTAATTTGCCCATAGTTCTGCTGGGGACCCCTCGCGTTCTTCATCGCATATTGCATCGCGGTCAATCACCCCGTACGTCATGCCCTCCAGCTCCTTATGTCGCTAGGGCAGGTCTACGGGGATGTCCTTTACTACGCCACGAGCTTGTTCGACCTCTATTTCCATGGAGGGTCGTTCTGTCGGCCGGAGGGCTACTACTTTTGGTTCTACTACTTTTTCTTTAACTTTATTTGGCTTGCGATTGGCTCCTGTTCGTCAACCCTGGACTTTATCCCTGCAGTGTCTTGTCGATTACTGATGTTTTACAGATCATGTGTACCAAAGTGTTGTGGAGATCACGCGTGCTTTTCGAAGGGTTGGAGAGCTTGATCAGAAACAGAAAGGGAAATAAGCATCCGGATGAACAACAACTTTAGATTGTTAGTCAGTCGTCGATATCGGTTGAATGGCTATTTACAGAAACGCAACACTGCACAATATTCCACTAACCTGGTACAGGTTTGGCACTTTCAGGTGCACCGGAATCGTGAATAGGCAATAGTAGCCATGGCGGGCAATTACTAGATAGTGTACTGTATATATTTAAAAGATAATCCAATTAAAATGCCTAGTGCTCGCTCGCAGAGTTATTTTGGACTAATTAGATCTGTGATAGGTTTGGTATAAAGTAGCATAGTCTGCACAGCATAGCTACATATATACACACCTACGTGATACACTCAACAGTTTGAGTTTAAGGGCAGAGCCCAGCCTATCTCTAAGCCCTCTGCTTTATTTTATCTAACTACAACAGTACTTATCCCCGAAATTATTTGCGAGAACCTGCGAACTCAAAGGCTCTCGGTTTGTCATCGACAGAGGATAGACCTATGCCAGGCATGTGTGTCAAGCAAAATCTCGCCACTGCCTTCGAGATGGTGCTGAAGTGAAGTATGTCTCGCGTCAAGTGCCAGTCAAACTCGAGTATTCTCTCGTTGAAAATCCGAAGCAGTAATCCAACTTGGGATGATAGGACGGCAAGTGGAGGACTAGAGATATACTCCACCGTATGGACTGGGGTGGCGTTCAAGTGCTTCCTGACTCAATTGGCCTTTCGGCAGTAAAATAACAGGCATTTCGTGCAGAACCTTGTAGGTGTGGCATGGGCATGAGCAGGACAGACAGACAGACAGGGTGCAGAATGAGGTGTGTGATTGTAGTAGCCTTCAAATGCCCTGGACAAGGGTATGAGTAAATATATGTTTCAGATAATGAGTGTTAAAGATGTTCCAAGGCCGCTCCCACATCAACTTGTTCTAATGGATATTCGCTCATTCTGTCCAGCCTTGGCCCCGTAAATAGCTGTTTGTATGTCTAGTCCTGATGATATTTGCCCTTTACCTTTATACAGTTCCGTTTGGGAAAATGAGTTGATGACATCGTGCAAAAGTAAGCGCGGTATAGTAATCAATCAGATAGCTGTTAATTCAACAAACACGTCTCCGTGGCGCAATTGGTTAGCGCGTCTGACTGTTAATCAGGAGGTTGGAAGTTCGAGCCTTCCCGGGGACGAATTTTTTGTTTTCTTTTTTCCCTCCACCGCACTCAGAAACGCCTTCTTTCTGGGCACCTATTCACTTATTTATTTTTCCCCTTTCCTCTTCCTCAGAGATGTTTGATGGAAGTTTGAATTTAGCTTGATAGTCAACCAAGACTATATTTAGGATGTACAGGATGAATTGTTCATTCAGCCGAGTATTTGAGGCGGCTGAAGACTTTAAGGTTGATTTCATGTTCCAGAACGATAGTGTAGCTTGACCATTGCACTTCCATGGCTAAGATAAGTTACTCGATCGGACGGCAAAGGATAGATAATTCGGAGGAGGTAGAGGAATGGGGGTCATCGATTAAGAGGATACTCTCTACAGACATCAGGCATGTGATGCCAACGCTACTTGCATATATATAACCCGACACATTCCTCCTCGAGCGAAGTCAGGCCATGCACGGAGATATCTGATGTAATAAGATGGCCACTCAAACAACGCAGCTGAACTTGCCTCTGACAGCCTCGACCGAACCTCTGGAGCAATATGTTCTTCCACCAGAGACAAAGCAGGACAGTGAGTGCTGTTTCATACAAAAAAGACCTGGACATGCATCTGAATGTACCACAGTCAAGTATGCAGATCTTGTCACTATTGACCTGACCGGGTTCGATCAACCAGKGGGGAAGGAGAAGCTCGCAGGACGCGGCTCATAAAGTTGGTAATCTTACCTTTCCTGAGCATCTCTTACTTGACTACTGACTCCGTAGTTCTTCTACGTGACCTTTGGGCTCACCCAAGAACAAGTGGACCGCCAATTTGCCATCGCCAAAGAGTTCTTCTCTCTCCCCGAGGGAGAAAGTCGCAGTTTCCGGGCCCCGCTGGAAGAAGTCATCTACAATGGCTACAGGGCTCTGGGCTCGATCGAAATTCTCCCAGGCCTACGCGATAACATCGAGTTCTACAACATCATGAAGTTCCTCCCCCAATATGAGCGAACTCACCCCGACGCTATCTGGCGACACTGGGCGGAGATTGAGAGGTTCCTTCGCCATGTGCACGAACACATCGCGTACAGACTATTACCCCTGGTAGCAATTATTCTGGAGATTCCCAAGACGAACTCGAAAGGGGCCACATGTATGATTCCAACTGCGAAAGCGGCCTGCGATACATGTGCTACCGTGCGCGCTCCGCTGACAAGAACGAGAACTACAAGAGCCTCTATTCACGAGGTCACACAGACAACGGTACCATTACATTTGTCTTCCAGCAGCCCCGTGGCTGGGTTGCAGGTCAAGAAGTATGATGACTCGGAGTGGGAATATCTGCGGATTCCTCCGGGAACGATAGCGGTCAATATTGCTGATCTGCTATCCATTCTCTCGAATGGATATCTGAAGAGCGGGGTGCACCGCGTCATTACCCCTCCTGAGGATCAGCAACACTTGGATCGGATGGGAGTGCTGTACTTTGTCCGTCCGAGTGACCGCCTGAATCTAAGGACGGTGGACAGCCCACTTTTCGCGAAGGCTGGGTTACTACAAAGAGGGGACCAACGAGATCAACATCCCTGCGCCTGAGTGGACAAGGGCACGGATCAAGAAGAATTGGACCAGGCCCCCACCGATCCGAACGAGGGGATCTCTATGGCTGGGTTTAGTGTGAAGCATTTTCGTGATTGACCTGGCTGGTTTCAGGTGCTTCCGAGAACGAGGCCCAAAGCAATGACTTGATTCGCGAAGGAAGTTTGCGTAGATTGGTTAACTCTAAGCTATGTCACTATCTGAAAATGGCATTCCATCTAATGCGAGTTCTATAGACCAGAGGCTGGCCGATGAGTTGGCAGCTCGACTAGGCTGAGGATAAAGTACGAAGTACTGCTGAATGCACATAATGGGCCGGGCTCAAGGGCGTAAGTCAAATAACATAATTGACAGTCTGCGTTCCGCCGGAAATGCGAGATGTTGCAGATGAGCAGCCAGGACTTCACCACGGCCTCGAGGATAGGGAGGTGTTCTTCTGCAATGAAGAGGGGGCCTCGGGGTGCAGCGCMGGAAAAAATGATATCAACGCAGTCTCCTACTGCGACCTCGCCGCAAGGGAGATATAGCATGATTGAGATAACTTGCCCGGCTTGTACGACACTTCGGTAACCAGTTGTGCGTGGGTAATGCTGCCACTTAATGGATCATACGCTGGACTCCGGCGAATTGCCTCGAGGTCCTTGACAAAGTAGCCAGATAGACCAACGACGAATTGAACGTCCGTAGGCTTCATTCTGCTTGAATGAATGCGAATTGGGTCCAGGCTACGACAGGAACGTACACGCAGGACGCTTATATAGTGCTTCGCGGTATTTCGTGATAGATTCTGATCGATTGATCAACAGAGTTCAAGCCTTCACTGCGTTTAATCCCCACCCTAGCGATCTTTCTTGTGCAGTTGATCAGGGTCTAAGATCTAATATAGCTGTGGAGAATATTTCCATCCACTAAGTGGTTTAACCTCATGCACTAATCATGCAGGCTGACAGGCTGATTATATTACTGATTATTCCGGCTACCTAGTCGGAAATTTAGTCCTTGAATAAATCTTGCTGTGGCTGCACTTTTTCAGTTCCTGGATTGGATAATCCGATGACTTAAATGACCAGAATACCGCTTCAATCCGGTCTCCAACATACCTTGACAGTTTGGGTTGATCTTCCCCTGCATCACCAGCCATCAGGGCGCTCCAACTAGTGTGAAACCTCGACAACTATGTATATTCTTCCTGACTACTTGCAATAAAGACGTCCAGCTGGACATGATCATTTTTAACTCATCGGGAAGTGGGAATGCTCCTATTATGATTGTAGTTGGCACTATACTATACGATATATACACTACGAAAAAAGCATAAATACATGAGAACCGCTTGCTCTGCCATAAGGGCGACGAGAGTCAAGCTCGAACCAATCTCAGCTTCATCTCCCTCTTCCAGCCCTTCATTCCCAGTGTGATAAAGACCACCCCGTTCCAAAACCCTCGCAGCGATCCCATTGCTCCGACAGCGAGCATCAACGGATACGACTCATGGCCCGGGTTGACAAGGGCGGATAACCGATTGATCGTGGGGGCAACCCATGTGGCCAGCAGGACAAGAAAGAACACCATTGGCATGAGGATGTATTGCCTGAAAGATACGTTGGTATGCTTGAATCGTTTATGATCTAGGGGGGCGTTGTGGGAGGATGATTCTCCGCGCGATGAGTGGGGGTTATGTTCGGTTGAAGAGGGATAGACATGGGAGGCGGGCTGGGATTGAACGTCGATTTGGACAGTGACAGCGACGGCATTTTTGTGCTGGTCAAGGGCGTGGTTGCTGGTGGAAATGTGGGAAGACAGAGCGATGTGGTCTGTACGGGAGAGATTGAACTGGTGTCGCAGTTTGATTACTTTGATACCGACGAGGATGTAGAAAAGCAAAATGGCCACGATGAGGAACCTGGAATAGGGGCCGAGTTAGCATGTCCAACAGCGACTGTGAGTGCATTAGAAGAGGAGATATACCAGATTGGTCCGTAGTAGAACGCGATTCGGAAAACAACCCAGTTGGGAGATATCGAACACCAGAGCTGTGATCGTTACTATCAGCGAAAAAGGAAGAGACAGACGCTGACTTACAGTTACGCTACCATACATGGGCCCTCTCTCCGGTGTATGAATGAATAAAAAGACGATCGCCGGAATAGATACAATGGATGTGATGATAGCAGTATACCATATCTCAAGCTTGCGCAACGCCTGCAGACTGAATTGATAGTAGACTACCAGGAACACGTCGCAGGCCATCGCCAGCGTCCAGAGGACATCTGCCATAGGAAACCTGTCATAAAGTCAGAGCAGTCCTTTATCCATCAGTTGTCCATCAAATGATAGAATAGGTTATCTGGACATACATCTGAAGACAAAAGCCTTGAAACTGACACAAGGCCGAGCTGTTGCCTGCCGCGGGCCCGCTTGTAGCGATCATCGTCGCAATAAAATCAAAAAGATTATAAAACGCATTGATGAAGATCAGACGGTGCATTGGATTGCGAAAATGCCGCGAAAAGGCAAATGTGCCGATGATCGTGATGACTCCCAGGATGGACAGAATCGAAGCGACACGCTCGACCGTAGTCAAGGTGCGAATTTGCGCTTCAGTGAGGGCCATGGCGGATGTGATCAGGGCATATGGGACTTGGTATCTGGGGGAAGTGGTCCTGCAAAATCATCGATCACATATCTGCCCAGCACGTTGCATATGGCATGCAAGTGCAAAGATGAAGCAACTTAATATGAGTTCCACATGTTGGGAATAATCCCACGCATGCCACTAGACACTCGACCTGTGTCTGATAGCGCAATAATGCGACAATGTGGGAAAGTGCAGAATATAGCATTCTCTGCATCTACTGGACAAGGCGAAATGGTAAATCGCGCCGCGCTATGGCGTCATTTGTACCCGGTTTGAGATATATACGGCTTATTCCACACTAGCCTTTTGTTTGCTTTTTTCGCTGTTGTCGCTGGTTTTCTGTTTACAAGCGAGAATATCAAATAATCATCGCTTGAAGAATCTACGTAGATCGGCTCGCCTAAAACTCAAGAAGTCGTGCGTGATCTCAAGTATCATCCTCCATGAAATCGTGCCGAAAGCTTATCAGGACTGCGGCAACACGAAAAGTCTGCTTGAAAGATCACGCGATGTAACAAATACACAGAGTCTAGAGGTAGGATTTGAACAGAGACGCGAGAAGCGAAACTTGCGCAGGAACCCCATCAGCATGATCTGAGATCTGTTACCTGTACACTGGTCCTCGGGAATTTCTTCATCGCGGTTGGATAACTTAACGTAGTCTAGCACGAACCCTGTGCTAACGCCATTCATGGCGCTGCTTCTGTCATACTTCTCACCGAATCTGATTCAAAATCCGGTCTTGGCAACCCCTGACATGCCCCGTCATCTTGATAAACTAGCGCTCAATGCTCTCTGTTCCGGCAGCAGCGGAAGTCCAAAATTGTCGGAACTCACGGCAGCTCCAAACTTTGTACCGTCCGGATCTTATAGACTCATAGTCCATGTCGGTCATATCGATATGGTTTGTATCCGGAGGTATGCATCTTCAAAGCGACTCAACAACCTGTCAGCATACCTGGCTACATTGAGAGGGTATCTTTTCACCACATTTTGGAGAGAACCACATCTGTGATGGGGATGTAATCCTCTGCCAATGCTCACATTCGATGTTCGTAGTACTACCCATAGATCTTTGTTTTGATTAGGTTTGGGAACGTGGAGATTTCTGTGGCTTATACAAAGTGCCGTCTTGGCGCGGGGCTGCGAAGAAATTTTTCCTGGATTTCATGCAATCTCCACTGCAAGACCACCAAAAATAGGTTCGGCTAAACATCAATTCAGCTCTTCCTCAATTATCCGAATACCCTATAGAGGGGATTTACGAAATCAGACGGATAAAGCTGGATCATAGAACTCATAACAGTACGAAATGAACCCCCTGCGGTATCTGGCCCCTCCGCGCCCCTTTGGGGACGTCTCAAACTCCACCCCCGAGGAGATCGAGGGGAGAGAGTTATTTGCGAGTACTCTCTTAAATAGTTCCCACCTGAGCGTGTCGGATTCAGACAGAGAGGCCATCGATGCATACAGAGATGCGTGCCGCCGTCTTTATAGTGGGGACAGCCAGACGCGCGAAAGCGACATGCAAGCTGTTAGGGAATACGAGCAATCACTACAAACCAATGGACCAGCGAATCTTTGTTTTGATCTGGCTACCAGGACCAAAATGGGAGAGGAACTCGATAATCTCTATGATATGTGGAGCTATGTTCGTTATGAAAAGTACCTCCCTGCCACGGTCAAGGAAGATGCGGAAAAACATCCCTCGTCCAAAGTCTCGGACCCCTGGCACAAGGCTTTTTGGAAGCCATTCAATGGACGCCTCGAAGCCGAAGCAGACGCGTGGGCTCAAGTCATGTCGGGTAAAAACCACCTCAACGAATGCCCGACATACCTCCTGCTCGCCCTGTTGTGTGAACAGCAATCCATGGACTGGGATGAGACCCTCGGGCTGATCAGATACTGCGCCGTGGAGGGTGTCGAACTCCCGAAAGCGGATTTTGTGGATTACTTGAAGGCCAAAGATGTGACTGGCCTCGCGAAGAGGCTGGAACGCGATGAAAACACCATCGCCTTGTCTACGGAGTATGTCATGGGCGTTGGCACGATGCTCCTCGCCTACTTCAGGATGCATGTCCCGGAGGCGCTATATGAGTGTGAAGAGGATCTTGACCCGGAAAGCTGGGTCCCTAAGAAACGGCTGCATGATTTGATGGCGCTTCAGGACGGACACGAGCAAGCGGTCCAGGAGTTAATCCGGGAGATTTTCTATGAAATGGTCCTCGGTGGATCTGACGATGAGGAGGAGGCTTGGGACGACGAAGATGATATTACGGATGAGGACGATCTTATGGATGAGGCTGATTGAAGGTGGTGACGTTGGCTTTCTGCCGTGGTACCTCCTTGGGTGGTCGTTATGGCGCTAATGGTTACCACGACAACATGAACATGGGCAGTTTGCGGAATATCGATGGATCTGTCAAGACGCAGACTCATTATGGACGGTTCATTTCTTTCGACCTTTTTACCCCTGTTTTCATGATTCCATCTCGTCTTCTAAGACAACATTTGATACTCCATGTGTGATACCCTCTGTTCAAAAACAGATTTTCAGTTGTGCAGTCCCAAAAACACCAATATTCTATATGACACTTGTCGTTATCCTCGACTTGTAGTACTTTGTTGTAGATCGAACTTTTATCACCAAAACAAGTACGGAATATTTCCAATCGCTTTATGTTGTCGGGGAACGGATTGGGTCTGGTGTCCCGCTAAATATTCTGACCTCTTTTCTTAAATTGTCAGACTGCGATTTGAATCGACTCAAAACAATATTCTCGTATATTCATTAGTCCTTCGAAAAGGACAGTCCTTTTTTTCTTCAAAATGGCTCTCCTACCTCAGCAGAGCGTCCGAGTATCTATCCCAGAACCGCTCCCACCCATCATCACTCCTAAATTGTATCTTCGACCTCTGGCCGACTCTGATGCAGAGGGCTTATTCGCGATCCGGTCAAGACCTGAAGTTGCCAGAACAAAGTATATACCCACTTGTTGATCTCTTTCCCTGATCAAGAGACTGATACCGATCGTAAGCTACCCCAAAACACCTCATCGAACGGTCCAAGAAACACGAGAATGGATGGCCACCAAGATCTTCAAGGAGGGCCCTGAGAGTGTCCTCGGTCGTCGTTTTACTTACGTGCTCATTGAACGTGAACAATGGGAGGATGAGTCTCAACCACCACCCGCCGACAAACAGGTGATTGGTTACATGGGTATCAATCAAATATATCCCAGCCCTGAGATTGGATATTCTATTCATCCTGATTACTGGGGCAAGGGGTATGCGACAGAAGCTTTGGACGGACTCTTAAAGGCCTGGTGGAAGTTACCTCGTCAGCCTCAGTTGAATTCAACAGAAGACGGGAGCGAACCGACCGAAAAAGTCTTTGCCTTTTGCGACAAGATTAACGCAGGCTCGAGCAAGGTATTGAGCAAATGCGGATTCAGGGTGATTAAGCAGGTGGAATATGATACGGATGAATTGTGGCTGTGGGAGTTAGAAAGACCAGTACTTGGGCACACATGTCCATGAGTGTGTATTAGTCAAAGTTTCCAAAGCTATCAAAGAATATTCAACCCAATTTCAAAGTCAGAAACATATTATCATCACTACTCCTATATCCCCCAAAAGGCCCGCAGACCTCAAACCCCATCCCCAGATACAACTGCCGAGCGCCGTCAAATCTCCCGTCAGTCCCCGTCTCCAGACTTAACGAGTGGTACTTCCTCTTTCTCGCTTCGGCAATGATATGCTTCAGAATAACCTTGGCAACGCCTTTCCGCAGGTGACCCTGCACCGTCCGCATCGATTTGATCTCTCCATGTGTAGGGCTGAGTTGTTTCAACGCGCCGCAGCCTAATAGACTGTCGCCCTCCCAGGCGGTATACAAAGTAATTGACGGGTTCCGGAAAGCGGTTAAGTCTAGCGCAAAAGATGTCTCAGGGCGACCTTGGCTTCGAAGCTCAGTGAAATGGTGCTGGAGCAGCTGTTGGACCCCCGGATGGTCAAGAGTATCGGATTTGATGAGCATTGCTGTTGTCATTTAGCCGTGCTATAGAATCTTTGGAAGAGATTCTGCTGCTGTTTTGGATTGCAGTTAATGGTTCTGGCTGTGGAAAATCGTCATTATCCATGTAGATATTGCAGGAACCAGGATAATCAGGCTGATTTTAACGAATTGGCAACATTGACAATTTTGCATTGTCAGGAAACACTAACCAGGCTTTAATCTTTTGAACCTCCTCTGAGTTCTTATCTATGAGTCACCAATTGACCAATACGAGTACTCCTTGAAATCAATGATGGCTGCCCCAACAAAGCCAAAGCTTCTCAGCTGCCTACCCGGACTACCCAGACGGACTACTTCATCTCTATGAGACGTTCCCTGCTAGACGGAATAGACCGATGCGGTGGGATAGCAGTTGATAAGGATCTAAATATAACAGACTCATGGAATATACTCTATGTCCAGCTTCACAACCACAATAAAAGAACCGCAAGCCGAATTTTACCTCACTAAGCCAAGTCAGGCGTACGCGAGATATTCGAGGCGATCATTGGATGGTAAAGCCGCCATCAACTCTGATATCCGCACCATTGACCATGCCGCTCGAATCCTATACCTCAATCAGCATCACATCGCTTCAAGTTTCTACGAAAGACCTACCTGACAAAGAAAGACAACAGCATCCGCAACCTCCTCAGGAAGCGCAAACTTGCCAGTGGGAATAGACTTCAAAAAAGCCTCCCGCACCGACTCTTCGCCCCAAGCCTTCTTCCCGAGAGCCGTCCACGCCACTGTCGGCGATACGCAGTTGGCGGTGATACCTCGTCCTCCCCATTCCGACGCCATACTACGGTTCAATCCTAGCAAGGCAGCCTTGGAAGCGCAGTATGCCCCGTGTCGCGGCAGTGCTACGTGCGCAGCCTGCGATGCAATGTTGACGATTCGACCGGGTGGGGATGGGTTCGCGGATGATTCTGCAGCCTTAGAGGCGGCAAAGTAGAGTCGCGCAAAGGCCTGCGAGCAAAGCATCGGCCCAAGGACGTTGGTGGTTAGATGTTTCATGGTCTCCTCTGGCGGGGTCATCTCCATGTCACTAAGCGAGACATATCCGGCAGTGTTGATGAGGATGCTCGGAAAGAGCCCATCGCATTGGGTTGCTGGCGACGGTCTGATCATTTCCCGCTCCAGGGCGCTAAAGGCAGACTCGACAGATGTTGGCGAGGTAATGTCGCATTTATAGGTACGAATTGCGTCGCTGGCTCCTCCATAGCCGGATCTGAGAAGCTCCTCTCGACGGGCAGCTTCGAACGGGGCATAGAGGATGGCGAGGTGAGCGCCTTGTTCTCTAAGCTTCTTGCCTATGCTGGAACCAAGGCCGCCTATGCAGGACATTTATGTCAATATGTGTTGTTTTCGCGTATCGAAGTGTCTATCGGTGTACCTAGACCTCCGGGGAGAATAGCTAATCTGCGAGCGAAAGCCATTGTGGTCAGGATATGGTGCGAACTTGTCAATGTTCGTATACACGTCGTTACAGAATCGGCTGAATTGATTTTTAAACATTCATCGAATCTTTAACCCCTCCTCCAGCCAGGGGATTGTGACTCTTTAGGAAATGAGCAGCATGATGGATCGGCGTATCCCCGATATGACGTCAGGTCGCGGGGAATTCTAATACAATTTAGAACACAGGGGTAAAATGTGTGACAAAATGCTCGAAAGGGATAGAGTTGGATCGCTTTTCTATAGCTTAGCTTATTTGATAACAGCCCCACCGCCGTGGCTTTCCTTGATATAGCCTATCTCTGACTCACAAGCGGGGTAAAGCGCTATCATCTCGGGGAGGAAAGCTGACCGCCGTACACTCAAGGATACTCCTAACATAAACCTTGGTATTAGTGATTGCTTCAAACTCGCGACAGGAAGTCAGTAAACAGCATCTGGCAATGCCTCGAAAGGCCCGAGTCCTCTTGGTGGGAACTGGAGGAATTGGTACCATTGCGGCACTCAATCTTGAGCGTGGAGGGTTAGCCGAAGTCACCTGTGTACTACGGTCTAACTATGAAGCGGTCATAAGCAAAGGAATTGAGATCCTCTCGTGCGAACATGGTCATATACAAAACTGGCGGCCGACTACAGGTTTGCACCTCTCCTTTTACAGAATGACATGGCGTGACTGACCGGAGCATTCCAGTTCTAAATGCGGTTCCTCACGTCAGTAACGAGGACAGTAGTACCTTCTTCGAGTATATTATCTGCACCACCAAGAACATCCCGGACGTTACGCCTTCTATATGCGAGACAATCGCTCCCGTAGTGACACCGGGCCACACAGCGATTGTTCTGATTCAGAATGGATTGAACATCGAAAAACCATTCCTGTCCCGTTTCCCGCAGAATGTCATTCTCTCCGGGGTGAGCCGATGCGACGCTCACGAAATCGCTCACGGAGTGATCGAACAGAAAGAGGAAGATGACCTCCACATTGGCGCGTTTCGCAACCCGGCTCTCGACCAAGATACTCAACAGAAGACTGCGGAGCAGTTTGTGCATATTTATGGTGCGGGAGGCAAGACTAACGTGCGACATGAGCCGAACTGGGAGCGAGATCGCTGGAGCAAGCTTGTGTACAATGCGACCTTGAATCCTATCTGCGCGCTGACTGGGGTCAATACGGGCGATTTACAGATTGCGGGGAGTGCTCTTGATCGTTTGGTTATTCCTGCTATGCAGGAGGTGGTGGAAGTATCTAAAGCTGTGGGGATCGAACTACCAGATGATATCATCGAGATGACAATTCGTAAAAATCCGATGGAGAGAAAGATTGCTCCTAGCATGCAAAAAGATATGCAGAAGGTATGTACACACTTGTCCCTCAGTTAACTTGAAGACTCACAATTGTAGGGCAATCTACTTGAGCACGAGAATCTCATCGGCGAGGTCGTTCGCGAGGCAGAGAAACGAGGCGTTTCTACACCTGTCTTGTCTATTCTGTACGAGCTATGCTCCGCGGTTCAGTGGAGGGTGGCCAAGGAGAGAGCCATTAGAATATCATAAGATTCAACTTTCTGATCTCCATATTTTCTGTTGCTGCTGTGCATGAGACTAAAAGCGCGGCCATATCCAAATGGAGGGATTTCATGGTGCAGCATACGGAGTCTAGCTGCATTAGGACAGCAATGCCAAAATGCCAAGCATGAGTCATCTTGGCTCATCATGATCCGTTATGAGCCGTGCAAGTTATGCTATTCAGAAATCAATCAAGAATGAGAGTAAGGATGGTCGAAGTCTTACATATAAGATTGTAGATTGCACCATCCTCAACCTAAATCACACAATCTCATCTTCTATTGATCATTGAAGCTGGTTCTTCACGTTCACCCCGCCAAAATAGATCTACTAGGGAGTACACGGACCGCATCTTATCAGATCGCCATAATGGAGTCCAGTTCCAAGCCTGCCATTCTCTTCTATGATATTGCCTCCGCCCCACCAGTCACCTGCTATGCGCCGAATCCCTGGAAAACAAGGTACGTCACATTAGTGATCCGATAAGCACATAGGCTAAGATGCCACAGATACGCCCTCAACTTTAAACAAGCCCACTATCAAACAGAATGGGTAGAACTGCCCGAAGTACCCGCCATCCGCAAGAGACTCGGCCTGGCAGCCAACAGAGTCCTCCCCGACGGCAGTCCCTTCTACACTCTTCCTATCATCAGAAACAACACGACAGGTGAACTTGTGGGCGACTCATTTGAGATCGCGCAGTACCTTGACAGACTTTACCCCGAGGGGCCAAGATTACTCCCTCCTTCGACTGTTGGCCTGATCTCCGCGTTCAATTCCCAGGTCGATGCAGTCTTCACCCAGCATTGTGCTCTGTGTGTCCAGGGGATGCCTTTCAATCCAGCGACAGCGGAGGAGTCTAAAGCGACGTTTGCCAAGCGAGCGGGCAAAGAGCGCTATGAGGATCTGACGATCACAGGCGAGGAGAGGGCGCGGATGCTCGAGAGCTTCCAGAGTGCGCTGGGAGAGCTAGCAAAGGCGTACCGCCGGACGGAGGGCCCGTTTCTTGAGGGTGATACGCCTACATACGCCGATTTTATTGTAGGTAGCTGGTTGAAGTTTTACAAGAAGACGATAGAGGAGTGGGAACAGTTGCTGAGTTGGCATGATGGATTATGGGGAGAGTTACATCGTGCGTTGGAAAAGTATGCAGAGGTCAAATAAAGTATCCAAATGTCTATATGCAGATTCATAGCTTCATCATAAATTAGGCGGCCTTAGTGATGTCTGGGGGGAAGAGGAGGAGCGGGAGGCTCGGGATGATCTAGCGCGGTAGCAGCGGCCGGCTGTTGCTGTTGCTCAGGATAGTCATCGTCAGGAATTCCCTGGAAAATCAAACAAGTTAGTCGAGCGAAGTGCAAGAGGACTCGGTCAGCTCACATTCAGCAGATACTCCACGGCGCGATCGGGGTTGAAGGACGCCGCTCTCATGGCCCGGTCGATATCGATTCTAGCAAAGCCCATGATCTCCATCTGCGCAACCACGGCCTCCTCGCTCTGGAGACCATCCACAGGTACGGAACGGTCGGTGACGGTAGCAGAGGTTTCCGCAGCCGTCTGAGCCGGAGCGGCCAATGCGCCGTGTGCCATCAGATTCGAATTCGCCAGGTCCTCGGGTGCGAAATCACTTGGACTCGGTCCCGTCGGCACAGCAACTCCAGATGGAGTCTGATCAAACTGCTTGTCGCCCTGCGCCGAATGAAGAGTATGCGTCAACATCCGGACAGACGCGTTCTCCGTCCGGACGTGACCAGATATGATCTCCTTGACAGGCACCTTGCGACCATAAAACCGCTCATTCTCGTCGTTTCGCTCGATCAGGATCGTCCCGTCAATCTGCGCCCCGGCGTAGAAGCCGCGACTCTTGACGTATGACCAGATGGGGGCCCGTCGCTTGTGCACCTCCGACTCCAGCACCCCTCCCATGCCCACCGGCCCAGCCGCGACGGAGATCTCGCTTCCCAGCGTCACTCGCACTTTGGTGAAGGCTTCCAACGCCTCATACGTATTGATGACCATGACGCAGTCGTAGATGTCTATGCCCGCCAGGAAGCCGAGGCCAGCGGTATGCAGCAATATCCCCGAAGGCGCGCTCCATTCACCTGTCTCAGGTACGCGAGCGATGAGGACTCCACTCCCGCCAGCACCACTGAACCACAGTCCCGTCCTCATGGCTGTGAAGATGGCAATCCCCTTGGCCTGGCGGATCACCTCCGCGGGAATCTTCTGCAGAACCTTGGGTTTACCCCGTGGTTTGTCGATCTTCCCGTCGGGTGTCTGTTCCCGGGTTGGCACGGTCGCATCTTCGGCAACGTATACCCCTTCCTTGCAGAAACTGCGCAGGATACGAGCGGTCTTTTCACTTTCTTTGTCCAGCGTCATCGGCCAGAAGGCTTCGGAGCCGAGTTTGTTGCTTAGCCGGTTCACTGGTGCGCCGACTTTATCGAGGGCGTCCCAGGCTCTGTCGAAAGTTTTTTTGCCGTAGATCCATGCTTTATTTTGTGTTAGGGACTTTTTTGTCCCGGGGCTTGAAGGAGATGGGGAAGTAGTTTTGGTGTTATCTGCTGTTGAGGACATTTTGGATGAGCTGGTCTTTGTTGACGTTGATATTCCTTTGCGCGAGGAACGGACAGTTATATAGAGTGATGCACCAGGCAGAAAGATAAAGCCATCGACATCATCAGCAGCTGCGAAGGACAGACCTAGATTTGATAGTAGACAAGCAATAATAAGCGCGGGGAGCCAACCCACTTGCCCCAATGATGCATGATGATTCGGTGCACGTTGCTATGGCTGTGCTGCCGACTGCGGGGGCATCGCCTCAACTTTGGTTTCAGGCAGAAGTGAACAATTAGATCACCTAGACAATCACTCAGTCACTGTCCCTTTTTTTATCATTCTGATTCAAGGCAATGATATAAATCTCCTTGGTGATGGCTGGTCCTGCAGTGATATAAATAGGCTGCACCTTAAAAATAGACTGCTCTTGTCTTGGGTTGATTGGGCGCTCACTTACGTATTCACCATAAGGTCACTCGATATTAAATATAAATTCCCTTAGTATACGACTACGGCTAGGTATAACCCCTGAGCCGGAAAAAAGAAAACGGTGCTCGCACTTGGATTCGAACAGACTTCGTGGTGCAAAGTGCAAGGAGGAAAAAGAAATGCTCACAAGCGGATTTGAACCGCTGACCTCATGATTACTAGTCATGCGCTCTACCAACTGAGCTATGCGAGCTCGTTGAGGAAAACAGTCGATTGTGTTCCTCTATCAACCAAAACAGGAGGGGGCCGAAAAATGTCGGGTGGATACCATAGAACTCACGAGTCATGACGAAACAACGGTGCATGGCATGGTCCCCGTACTCGTACGTTTATATGGTTGCGGAGTATATGGTCGCCTCCTAAACGTCTGGAACTGGGCTATTCTCCGTACTGGCTCCGCATCGGCTCCGTTCATGTATGACTCGGCTTCAAGTATCCGAAATCCCAATATGCCGGCCACGTGTGATCCTAATCAGTGAGCGATGTCCTTCAAAAGTATGGCAGTGCTAAAACACCTTGGCCTTGAATATCAAATGCCATGAGAATATCGCGATACAGCAGAGTATACCCGGCAGGTTCTCCAAACTTTATCTGAGACTGTAGGATGATAGTTCCCCCATCACGGAAAAACGGTCCACGAGAGCTGAGAAGAATGACTGGAAAGCTGGACGCCAATCGACACTGGCGTGATCTTGAATATGAACCGAAGAATTTTCCGTGTCTCCCCTACCTGTCAATTTTGAGCTTAAGCAAGCTAAGTTAGCAAGCCAAGTTAGTGGTGGAGAATCTTCACGTATAGCTCGTTTCAGGATGATTTGCCGGAGTATCCGACCTACGGTCGAATAGATTGCAAAGAGGCACTCTTTGACCCCCTGAAACAGTCGAGGGAACACTTAAAGCCCAATTTCTGCACGTCAAATCGAAAGTCATCAATCGCAAAATCTTTCAGTGCTCAACAGTCGACTCTCTACGTACTATCACAATGAAGCTCGTTCTCGGTCTCCTCCTCCCTACCCTGGGTCTATCTGCCTCCGTCACCAAACGTACGGACACCTGGGGCGGCAGCGTCTCTCTCGGCCCTACCAAATCCACCATCGTCAACGCCGTCACCACCCTCATCCCCGGTGCGGCGCCTGCAACTCAAAGCGGCGAGCTCTTCCTCTGGCCCGGGATGAGTAACGGCACCGGCGATCTTGTCCAGACCACGCTGGAAAGCTGGCCCAGCAATGCCTGGTGCGGTGCAGCGACGGGCCAGTGGTGTGTAAGGGCCAGTCTGTTCGGCAGTTTTGGACAGTTGGACGGGGAGGCCAGCGCGGTTAGCGGGACTGACCAAGTCCGCATTGAGTATAATTTGTTGGATGATAAGGAAACCTGGGTGCAGTACGTATATCGCGCTGTCCGTGAGGATGTTGGCTAATGGTGGTAGGAATGTTACCAATGCGCAGACGGGCAAGGTTCTGTCTACCTTCTCGCACAAGTCTGGGCCGTATATGACTGGGTGAGTTGTTTGTTCCCCAAATTATAGACAGCATGCTGATTGAGTAGCTATGGCACTGGAACTGAGTGTGATGGTGGCTGCACGGGCACTGTTGCAGAGCAAAAGTACCTCAACACGAAGATTACTCTGGCCTCGGCCGACACTACCTTTGGCAACACCATTGCTTCGGCTGCCGGTGCGACGTACTCTGGCTTGAGCTCGAGCGAGGGCGGAAAGGTGTGGACGATTGAGAGCATCACCATTCCCGCCATGTCGTAGAGTTATAGCTCGTCTATTTCACTTACCTTAGCTTCCATTTCGGGACTGGTGAACGTCATTCAGCGCAGAGTCTTTCTTTTATTCCTTTCTAGATAGTATCGAATATTATTAGTTATTGAGCCCTTTCCCCACCGGAGTAGACAAGAATGAAGGGCTGACCAAGAGGAAGATAGATCAATGTATACAGTCGAAAAACTATTTACCCGATCAAACTGTGTATATACAGTCGAGATCAAATGACTCAACCACTGTAATCCACCTCAACTGCTAACCTCACCGCACCGGCACTCACACTACCCCCGATACCATCAACAGACGCCTTGGCCGCCGTGTACGCATTCTCCACCTTGGCGGCATCAGTTGTGATATACGAGCAGTCATCGCCCTTATAATCACAGATCCTCATCCCCTGCACCGTCAGTCCCGCCTTCTGCGCCTGGATGGCAGACACATCCCACCCAGACCATTCAGAATTATCGGTGTCCCCGAAATCGAATTCGCCCCAGGTACAGGCGTAACCGCCGTACTCGTCCGTCGGCAGCGAGTCCCCTGCAGCGGCACCCCATCCACCCTGTGAGTTCTCATCAAAGGCAACGTACTTGGTCTCGCCAGCCCCAAGGGTGAAGTTGAGCGCCGAGTGGCCGTACCACCCGTCCAACTTGCCGTCAGGGCCCATCTTGTTCCAGATCGAGACAAACCAGTTGTCGGTGTTGCTGCCTGTGAACTGCACGACGTACTTGTATTGCGAGGCTGTGGAGGCGGTCACCTCGATGATGTTGCTGCCCCAAGGGCTGCCGACGTTGCCGGTATACTCGATCCCCGAGCCGGAGGAGTTGGTGCGTTTGCCGAATCCAGAGGTCGAGTACACGCCATTTGAAGGGGTGGAGGTCCAGCTGGCGCTGTTGCCGGAGTTGCTGGTCGTAGCAGACGTCGTGGCGCTGCTGGTGCTAGTGCTCGTCCTTGTGCTAGTACTAAACGTAGTGGCTGGGCTGGTGGTGGCCGGAAAAATATCCAGAAGGTGCACAGAGACGTCAAGGTTGACACTTGCTAGCGGTTGGCTTTCAGCAGTGGAAGTCTCCGCGGCTGCCACGGTGGTGGTGGTTGGCTGGGGAGCAGGATGATGTCGCGTGATAGTGGTGTACATGGTGACAACGTCGAGGTTGACGATAGTCTTGGTGCTGAACGCTGGGTGGGCATGGGCGTCAAACTGTCTAGCCTTCAATCCTGCATTCTGAGCAAGATGCTGAGGGCGATGAGCATGCTCGTGTGCGTGATGTGCTCCAGCCATGGCCGAGCCAGCGGCGATGGCTGTCAAAAGGAACGACTCCCACTTCATGGCGAATGGGTAAATCTGGCTCTGCTTGTAAAAAGGAGTGGCTAATGTTTGATAGACTTGGTGTAAAACAATCAAAGGAGTGGCAGCGATGGTGATCCCATGAAAAAGAGCGTTGGGTGCGATATATGAATGAATGACTGTTGGATGAAGACTCCTGAACCTCGCCAAGTGGGACCAGCGCCAAAGATCAAAGACCTGAACGACTATAGGCAAGACGTATGGTCAAGAGTGTATCGTCAGCGCCCAAGAGAAGCAGACATATTGGACAGACGCTTGTCTAGTCAATTGGTATTCATCAACAGTCCACTGGCGTCAAACCTTACGGTTTACAGAATATGAAACGAAATGCCCCATCCCATCCAGAGCCTAAGAGCGTTTAGACGACTGACTAGCTGAATTGATATAGTCTGCGCGGTTCTGGACCTAGGCATGTTGATTGTTGATAGCATCCGGGAACCAACATGCCATCCCTACGTAAGCGGGCCCTCCTTGCGTCGTCAACATTCTCGGCCACTCAGAACCAGGAGGTGCGCAAGGGAACCATCAAAAGATCTTGAATCTTCCAAGTGGTTATGCAGTAGAACTGCCCTGATTCGTAGCTGCTATCTATACAGCAGTATTACCAGGTTTTGTCTTGCAGTGGCATCTCCGGGCGTAACCTTATGGCAGGACAGTGGGATTTCCAAGTCGTCAAAAATTTTGATCCGAGGTCTAGATTCTATGAATGATATCAGACAGGCACGGTGCAGAATAACAACCGATAGTGTTGCCCTCAATCGTGCTTCTCTCTCCTCTCACCTCTGGCGCATTTAACATGCAACTGCGCTTCATATACCAGAATACACCAACTTTCAACCCATAAGAGCATCGTTCCACTTGACTTATGCTCATAATATACCGAGTATTATTGTAGTGTCTTAAGCATATAATTAGGAGGGACGTGAAATTGTCTCGTTCTTTCAGAAGGAAACGCGAGTGGATCCCTTCACTTACGTATACAACGGCTCTAATGAACGCCTTCGACACGCTAACAGCAGCCACTGGCTTGGGGCAAAACTCTAGATCGGGATGACGAATGCTTGGTACTATTGACTCCTATTCTAGTCCAGGCAAGCACGTTCATGATGCGGAAAACAATCAGCGTTGAGAAGGGCTGCGCCTCAGATACGTATGCACAATGCGCGGATGAATCAAGCACATTTCGGACGTAGCCACGGCTTTACATTATGGACAGCTTTCATGGGAGGGACAATTCTTATATGTTCATCACTGTTAAAATGACAAGCATTTTCATATACGGAGATCAATTCAATCGGCAATTGAGACAGAAAAATAGCCGCTGTAAGTCTGAAGATCCGGGCCAATGTCCGAATCCACGTATCTGCATACGTATGTCTTTCAATTATTACGAATTTACTTACGGAGCAGAAACATTAGATAGATCTGTCATTTCAGGCCCATTTATGCTAATTTCAGTGTCATGTTTGAGGATGTCCGTGCCTGGCGCCATGCGCATCAAGTTTTCATACACTGCGTGCTGCTAGAACTTTTAAAATTATCAAATGGTAGCAAGTACTGTTTAGATATGGGCATTCAGGTGAAGAGATTGTGTTCGATACCAATTCATAAGAAAGGCTGTTCTACAACATTAAGATACGGTCGTTTGGCAGACCGTACGTAGCTGCCGCATCAGATAAGGAGCAATAGCGCCATTAACGAAGTAATAGAGTCTAGAAAGATCAACATTACGATATCTCACAGCATCACCGAGATCCGTATCGGAATTTCTAATGCCAATGCTCGATTCTCGTTGAGAGAAAGGTAAATTAAGCTAGCCATCACCCCCACAACCACAAGTCAGCCGGTAACTCCTCGCCCTCTGCCCCAGGAACTAAGCTGTTCGCATTCAGCTCATCCGTCGCCGAGAGCATATGATTCAATGATAGTCCGAAATCCCGCCAGTCGAAAAGGAGCTCCTCCTCCTGTGCTCCTGTGACTGTGACTGGAGGCGTCGGACCGGGGCCTTCTGCATCCAGACCCGTTCTTCGGTCCTCCTGTTGAGCCACAGCGCTTTCTTCGTTGATTGGCGCAATAAGAGGAGTTCCCGTGTCCTGTTCACGGTGAGGGGTACTTGGCCGTATTAGCGGTTGCACCAACTCTTCGAGAAGCTCAATCTCCGATCTGCGAAGTTGCGCGACACGGTTTCCCCGGGCGATCATCTCATCTAATAGACTGAAGCCCATATCGCGGTAACTGTGGTCTGGTAGGGTGCCGGGCAAGACGGCGGAGATCAAGGAGAGAATAAAGAAGGATGAGAAGAGGTTCTCGAGGTCGAAGGGGAGAAAGCTTTCTGCTTTGCTGTCAGGGAACGGATCAGTCGGGGGCATGGGGACTAACCAAGGAGATTCTGGTCTCGCAGGGCCGTTAGTATCTTCAATGATTTGAGTGCTGAATCGATACATGCTTGGATCAGAGTCCGAACGGGCGAAGATAGACTTCGGAAGACGTCGCCCTCTTCGAAGCAGCTTAGTCGTTCCCACAGCAAACTCAGGATGAGCGGACGAGCGGTGACGATAATGCACTTTTCTCCATAAGCCACCTGGGAATGATTAAAGGAATGACACGCACCGAATGACATGAAAGTGTCAACCGAGTGGTCACACCGGAAAGAGTATCCACTGAACTCGAGAACCGATGAGCGAAGACCTCCTCCAATTCCCGCGACAGGTCGGTCATCTCATGCAGTATGGAGCGAATGCCATGAAGGAAGGCACTGCCCAACTTCCCGTTCGCACTGTACGCCGCTGTGGGCAGCGTTAGCCTGTCCCTACCAGCTGGAAGTCACCTACTATTCAACACCCGCGTGATAACCTGCGTGATCTTGACATGAAGGCTCAAAGCTGCTGTCTCCTGGGAGCAGATCATCGGGTCCCACAGGACTGTGGTTACGTCCTCGTCATGCACCGAAGTCGGCGCCCCGATCAACGAAGAGAACTTCCGGTCTAGAATGTATACCGTCCACCAGACCTTAGTACACCGTTCGACGCGCTTCTGGCCAAGTTGCTCAACTGGAAGAGCACGATGCAAGCCTTCTACCAGTGCCATACGCATGGCATGACCGATCTGCGCTCGTCAGTCGTCGTCCGTCGATGATGAAGTGGCAAATGCATACATAGCAATATGCCGAGTCCCGCATATCCACCGAGTGAAGATACAGCGCAATCAGCGCCAGAACCTCAATGGCTAGCAGCGGATCCTGCCAGAGCGTTGTAGTATCCGGTAACAGTGACATCGCTCGGGAGAAGTACTTTGTCCACGATGTAGCATGTGATGCCCTTCGCACMGGCGCCAACAATGCCTCTCCGAACGCCAGCACGACCAGAAACTGCACGTACCACAGCCTGGATACCTGGACCTTTGCGGACGCGTTATGATAGAACTCGTCCAGGTTACTGGTGAAGTCCTCCTCGTCAATGAGCTGATACAGATGGCCGAAATGGAAGCGGACCGTGTTGAGCATGTAGATTGCTTGATCGCGAGAAGGGAGTCCGCTTATATCCGGGATCTCTTCGGAGCTAGCCTGGCGCCACTGGATCTGATATGCATCGCCGTCGACGGCCAGAGGAATCGGTTTGGTGCTTGTCGGGTTAAGTCGGGTCTGGATTGTGCTGAGGACCCGACGACTGAACGACCATGTCGAGGTTGGACCGAGAAGTACTGATAGTCAACCATTAGCGAAATTCTTACTTTCAGGTAAATAGCATACACCAGGCCCGTTGTGTGCGTCCGCTGTTCTTCACGTAGGTGGATGGCGATACCAGGGGATTGGAGGCGAATCGCTCATCGTGTCGATTCAACTCCTGTTGCTCAGGCGTAGCGAGTTCGCATGGCTCCGACACTGACTGCGGCGCTTCTTTTGAACAGCTAGACTCAGAATTACTAGCATGTCCCTCTAAGAAGCGAGGCCGCTTTGACGGGGTCGATGTAAGTGAGCCTTCTAGTTCGCTCACTTTTCTCTTGAGCGAAAGAAACAACCTCAATGTCCGTTAGAATCAGATATCATGCTGGCTTCCCTCGACATACTCTTCAGAAACTACAATCTTCCGATCTTCCTCAAACACGCAATCTTGCTGCCGACTGCGACACTTATCACACGGCTGCGTGCCGGAGCATTTGACCTTGCGAGACCGACATCGCTGACAGCTGTGGCAGTCAGTCGGGCACTCGGCTAGGAACCTGGGCGACATACGCGTTGGAAGTGCGCTTGGAACGAGCTGAGTGGTCCATCCGTTCTCATTCAGTCAGAAGAATTGTACAATTGACCATTACTATTGCTATGGCCTGCTCTTGATTCTATTGTTGGCATTTAGTCACCGACCCCGCAGACTGAGGGACCGGCGGGATCTGATTGGCCAGCAGCTTGTATGCCATCATGGCTGGTATTAAGAATGTGTATCCTGGATATGATTGTGAATAACAAAAGTTGGGAAGATACCTTAAGGATATACATTGAAGGCGATGTAGAACACTGCTGTAGGAGTACAGTGTCGAGTTATCAATCCTCACATTATCTCATTGAGTTGCCTCGGAGTCTGCTGGTCTGGCACAGAATCCCCAATTCCCAAGCTGAAACAGCTGGTCCTCCATCAAGCTCACCAAGCCCACCAAACCCCGTTCAGATGCGCCTTTCTGTATCAGATAATTGGCATTGCGTAGTCGCTGTTTCTTTATTGGTTGCTTTTAGGATTCAGCGGTTATTGCCTGTCATTGATTGATTGGGATAGCGCGACTGACGTTACTACTTCATGGTTTTGCCCATTTTTGAGTGTCCTTAGTTTAGACTCGTCAGGCACTACAGGCAAACTGGTAAAGAGACTCTATGTTTGGACCTCAGGAACGGCCTTTACCTTCGCATCGCTTCAGGATGGATGTTGCAGTGTCTGCCACAGTCTGAGGCATGGGCATGGTTCTTGCAACCATCGGGGCTAAGTATTTTTCAACAGTCGCTCTTTTCATTGAGATGATTACTGCAGAGTGATCAGTCTCGTTACGCTCCTTGTGGAAAATTATTATCGGGACGTCCATAATGGGACGTCAATGCCAGAGTCACTGGCCTTTATCGTTACGTTTCTGTCTATTATTATCGTTATTACTACTCCCCCTCCCAGCGACCGCACTCAACCTCAACGTTACAGATTCAGGTGAGCTCTACGAAAACATTGTTCACTCCGAATGGACTAATAGTCCCTAGAAAATATCAAAGAGGTAGCCAGTCAACTAGCCTGGGACCTCGTCAGCTTCTACACTGGCAACAACACCGGCGACGTTCCGGGTAACCTCCCCGCCCCCTACTACTGGTGGGAAGCCGGCGCTTTTTTCGGCACCCTCGTCAACTACTGGCGATATACCGGCGACGATACCTACAACAACATCACTATGCAGGCTATTTTGCATCAGGCCGGAACAGGTGACTTTATGCCTTCCAACCAGACCCGCACCGAAGGCAACGATGACCAGGCCTTCTGGGCCTTTACCGCACTCATGGCGGCCGAACATAATTTCCCCAACCCACCCGAAGACTCGCCGTCGTGGCTGGCCATGGCGCAAGCAGTCTTCAACGAGCAGGTCGCGCGCTGGGATGATCGGACCTGTGGAGGTGGGCTGAAGTGGCAGATATTTTCCTTCAACAACGGATACACGTATGGCAACTCCATTTCGAACGGAGGGCTCTTCAACATCGCAGCCCGTCTCGCACGGTATACAGGGGATCCCACGTATGCCGAATGGGCGAACAAGGTCTGGGACTGGGTCACAGACATTGGACTGATCGGTCCGGAATATTATATCTTCGACGGGGCGTACGAAAGCGACAACTGCTCCGAGCTCAATCGAGTCGAATGGACGTATAACAATGGTGTCTTTCTGCATGGAGCCGCCCATATGTGGAACTATGTATGTCTCMTAGTCAGCTCTCCAAGAGTGAGGAAACAGCTGACCCTGCCAGACCAAAGGCAACTCCACATGGAAACAGCGCATCGATGGTCTCCTCGACGCGCAGAGACTCTTCCTCTCGCCGAACAAGTCATCCGAGAATGTTCTTTATGAATACGCCTGCGAGACGATCAACACGTGTCAAACCGACCAGTACTCCTTCAAAGCGTATCTGGCGCGCTGGATGGGGGATGTTGCGCAGTTAGCTCCCTGGACCCGCGATACCATTGCAACTCGGCTGCGGGCTTCAGCCACGGCAGCAGCAGCGCAATGTGTTGGCGGCAAGACAGGAACGTATTGCGGAATGCGATGGACGACGGGCGAGTACGACGGCACGACAGGAGTGGGACAGCAGATGTCGGCGTTGGAGGTGGTTATGGCGAATCTGTTCGAGACGGTCGCGGGGCCCTTGACGAATAGCACGGGAGGAACGAGCAAGGGGAACAGTGCGGCGGGGAGGGGCTCCTCGGATGGAACTGCGTTGCCCGACGATACTAGTATCGTCACGATGACTGACCGAGTGGTCGCGTGGATCGCAACTGGGGGATTGGGGGTGCTGCTGGGGGGATATCTGTATCTCGTGGTGACATGACGCTGGCCGTCGACAACAGCGATGATAACCTAATGAATAATGAATGTCAAATGAAACGAAGCGTCTCCTCGTGCAGTTGTCCTTTTCCTGTCAATCTGGACCAAAGAGGAAATGATAACACTCGTGATGCGCTAACCCTTTTGGGCAAGAGATACGCCGAATCAGAGCTGGCCAATAAGATGGCGCACGTGACTCTTGGCGGCGGAGAAAGGCATCCGACCACCAATCAGCGGCTTCTCAGGCATTGCGTACAACACGAGGACTTGGAGAGCGTAGGTAAGTATCTTGCCCCAGACTACCCAGAGTAGATATGTCCTAGAAAAGGGTATATATAGGCCTATGATCCTGGTCAAAAACATGGCAAATCATTCTTTTCTTTCCGATTCGGTGTAGACACATCATGACGGCGCTTCATCCCTTTGACCCCATCACTCCCGGGGAAATCCAGTTGGCCGTCAAGATTCTGGAAGCGGCTTTCCCGGGAGTCTCCCTGAGATACAAGAAAATCGATGTCAATGAACCTCTGAAAAGGGAGGTTGTACCGTACATTGAAGCTGAGAGGTTAGGGAAGCCTTTACCGACGGCACCAACCCGGTTGTTGCAGGTTCTGTTCCATCGTCTAGACAATGGAGCATTCTACAAAGCGTTGCTCAATGCAGGGACAAGGTCTGTGGTGTATGCTAAACAGCTGCCCAAGGAGGTTCAGGTATATTCTATGCCGATAGATGAACGTTTACAGAAGGTCTTCTAATTCAACCAGGGCCCGGTCGATGCAGACGAACTGATCGAAATTGAGCAACTCTGTCTGAGCCACCCCGCCGTGCAAGCAGAGATTGCCAAAATGCAACTGCCGCAAGGGGTGGCGGTTTGCAACGATCCCTGGATCTACGGAACGGATGATCCCAAGGAATCCCGTCGCCTGTTCCAGTGCTATATGTACGTGGTGACCACAGACCATCCGCAAAATAACCACTATGCTACGCCGTGCAAATTCTCCCCCGTGTTCGATGCTCTCACTCATGAACTGGTCCGTATGGACTATCTCCCGGGTGGTGTGGACGCCCAGGTCACCGAGACTCAGCCGTGGAAGATGGTGGAGACCATCCAGTACGCGCATGATCTGCTCACAGAACCGCTGCGGACGGATCTGAAGCCATATATTGTGCAGCAGCCTGAGGGTCCATCATTCCAAGTACAGGGAAACCTGGTCTCATGGCAGAAGTGGAAGTTTCGCGTGGGTTTCAACACCCGCGAAGGGTTGGTCATCTACAACACCACTTATGACGGACGCAATGTGTTTTACCGGCTGTCAGTGTCCGAGATGACCGTACCATATGGAGGTATGCATTGATCAGCCATGACTGTGGACAAGAGTAGTCACTAACAGAATAGACCCGCGCGCCCCCTACCACCGCAAGCAAGCGTTCGACGTCGGCGATGTTGGATTTGGTATCACTGCCAACCAGCTCTCCCTTGGCTGTGACTGTCTAGGTCACATCAAGTACTTTGACGGGTACCGCTCCGACTCCAAGGGCACCCCCGTGCAGCTGAAGAACGTCATCTGTTTGCACGAGCAAGATAATGGTCTGCAACACAAGCACACCAACTACCGCACCGGCGCCGCCACGGTGGTCCGCAACCGCCAGCTAGTAGTCCAGATGATCTGCACCGTCTCCAACTACGAGTACATCTTTGCCTTCATCTTTGACCAAGCCGCTAACATCGAGTTGGAGGTGCGCGCGACCGGTATCCTCTCTACTGTGCCGTTCGACAACGAGAAATTCGGGACGACAGTGCCTTGGGGAACGAACGTTGGGCCGGGTGTTATGGCGCCTTTCCACCAGCACATGTTCTCCTTTCGTATCGACCCCTCCCTGGATGGGTTCAAAAACACGGTCTACTATGAAGATAGCGTCCCCATGCCCGAGGACGAGAATAACCCGTACTTGGTCGGCTACACCACGGAACAAACCGTCCTGCGGACCAGCGGCAGCGCCAACACCAGCGTAGAGCGCCACCGGGTCTTCAAGATCCGCAATGACGCCTGCATCAACCCCATCACGTATAAACCGGTCGCATATAAGTTGCAGACCTCACCGAGCCAAATGCTTCTGGCCGGGAACAGGTCGTTTGGCTACAAGCGGGCCGAGTTCGCTACCAAGCCGATCTGGGTGACGAAGTATCAGGACGACGAGCTGTATGCGGCTGGAGAATTCACCAACCAGAGCAAGCAGAGCGAGGGGGTAGAAAAGTGGGTGAAGCGCAATGATCCTGTTGAGAACGAGGATCTTGTCCTGTGGCATAGTAAGTTCGATTGACTCCCGCGTTGAGGCCTCGCTGACGGTCCTAGCTTTTGGTCTTACGCACAACCCCCGGGTGGAGGATTTCCCTGTGATGCCGGTCGAACGTGTCAGTGTCATGCTCAAGCCGGATGGCTTCTTTACCAAGAACCCGGCCCTGGATGTTCCCGCGTCTACTCAGACATTCAACCGGTCAACGCTGCATCCCGAGCCGGCTGCGTGCTGCGCTCCAGCCAAGGTGAAGTTGTAGTAATCATGAATGACATAGGCATCATGCTTGACGAAGTCCATCCAATTGCCTACTATACGCAAAAGCATACTGTCTGAATGAAGTAACCTATTATGGATTCAACGCGCGACAAAGTAGTATGTATGCCATGGTACAGATAATATATATTAAAAACAGCGACTACGGCTGATGAACGTAATGGCGCTCGCAGCTTATTCACTTCGCCGAGTCAAGCATCGAGCATCGGGAATGAGGGCAATGGCTTGCTCCTGTCCTGAAATCTATTGACGTCTGGTCACTAGTTATACAGTCATTCCCGTTCAGAAATTTCTACTCTGGCCAAGAGTATATAAACTGTATCCCCGAGTCCCCGACCGCCGGCCGACAAAACGATACAGTCAGCATAACACAGAACATATCACCAAAATACGGTGATGGTGCCATGTCTGTGATACATGTTTGAAAAACAACTGGAGAAACTGGAACACTTATGTATAGAGTCTACACTATTGGCTGCATATTATTCGCTGGCTCGTCACTGCTTAGAGTGATCTGTATTACCCCAGATCTAATCCTCAAGGTCCTCAGATCAGCATGGCAAGGTTTACTTTATTTTAACCTCTTCTCCATCATATCGCTGTCTTCTAGATCTCATCCAGGTCGATCAATCTTTAGAAATGATTTTACCGTTACGGAAATGCACAGAATGGCGGTCTCGGGGTCTCGGGAACCATCAATCGGCGAACTCGCTCTCTTCTCTTCTGGCTCTTTCTGCCTCTCTAGACATGATTTACTTATGACTAATGCCCACCCACCTTTATGCCGACTGGAAAGCATTATTTATTGTGAAATTGGACTACCCCTCCACACATCGACGTCAACCAGACATCAATCTAACAACGCTAGCCACTCCATAACCTCCTCTACAAAATGTGCATGCCATCCAAGTGCAGCAACTGCCGTATGTCTCCAACCCAACCGTCGTAGAGTCTTCCTAACAACAAACAGAGAAGAAAACCTGGTGGGGTTGCGGAAGCCATATCCCCTCCGTCATGGACCAGGTGCCCGAGTCTGAACGCTGCACCTGCACTCCCAAGGTCAACGCCGACGGCAAGGAGTATCCTCCCAAGGGTGCCGGTCCTGCCTGACTAGCCGGTTCAAAGTGCGTGGTACAGTAGGAGGGAAGTTAAGGGGTTATGAATGATGAATGATATTGTTATAGGATGCTTTGTTGTATCTATATCATAGAGCATGTGACGTTTCCTTTTTAGGGTCCGCTTCAAAAGAACTACTGCTCAACCCGGTCCTTGTAGCATCCCGTTTCACCTGCGTGCGAGTGAGGAGCCCTCTTCTTGGCTTCCTGCAATTGCGACCGCTTGACCACAGTGGTCATATTGCGCGCCGGGATAGAGTCGAGGCTGTTGGCGTACGTCGCCACCGCAAAGGCCGTCGCCTTGGAGTTGATCAGGAAGGCCTCGCGGTTGAGGTTGGTGATGTTGTCGCCCTTGGCGTGGTAGTTGGCATCCAGAGCCACGCCCGACTGGCCGCCGAACAGCTTGGCCTGTTCCTGCGTCTTGAGCGCCTCCGCGCCGGTGAAGATGCCCCCTGCGGGGATGCCGTTCAAGATGAAGGCCTCGTAGTCGGAGCGGCCGTTGAACTCGGTAGGCACGAACGGCTTGCGGATCGACTTGTAGTAGTCCTCGAAGAGACGTTCGATCTGCGCCGAGCCCGCGGGCCCGGTCAGGTTGAACGCGGATCCGTCGCCGTCGTAGATCATCAGAGCGTAGTTGGGGGAGGCGATCATGTCGAAGTTGAGGTACAGACGGATCTTGGCCTTCTCGGTGGCATTGAGGCTGTTGACGTAGTAGGTGCTGCCCAGCAGGCCGAACTCCTCCGCGGTCCAGAAGCAGAAGCGTACCGCGTTCTTGACCGAGAAGCGGGTCAGCGCCTTGGCGACGACCAGATTGCTGATGATGCCGGAGCCGTCGTCGTTGATGCCGGGTCCGGCCTCGACCGAGTCAGTGTGGCCACCCAGCGCGACGACGTTGTTGGGATCGCCGCCCTTGGTCTGCGCGATCACGTTGTAGGTGGTCCGGTTCTCCACCTTGCTGTTGATCCACAGGTTGGCCGTGACCGTCCCCGCCTGGGTCATCTTGATCAGCGCCTGTCCGTGCGCGAGGCTGATGCCAGCGATGGGAGCGTAGGGTCCCAACTCGCTGGTCGCACCGCCCAGAGTCCCCGCCATAGAACCCTCGATGTTGTTGTACACGAGCGCAGCCGCCGCACCGGCCTTGGCGCTCAACACGGATTTGGTCGCAAAGGGGCACTCGCCCCGGGAGACGAGAGCAATCTTGCCCTTCAGATCAGCGGGATAGTCAGTCGCGACGCAGCCCAGGTTGTTCACCACCGCGAGCGGAGCAGTGACGTTCACGCTGGGGCTGTAAGTCATGGTGCTGGCCGCATAGGTCTCGCCGTTGACGGTGAGAGCCTGGTCGGCTTTGGTCCAGAGGTGCACCTGAGGCTGCTTATAGACGTCGTAGTAGCCGGTTTTCTTCAACTCGCGGTAGAGGTAGTTGACGGTGTCCTCGTGGGCCCGTCCTCCAAAGACGCGGTTGCGCTCTGGGTAGGCATAGGCGAAGTCTTCCAGCCTTTGAGCGCCATCCATAAGGTCCCACAAGTGGATCATATGAGGCAAGACTTTCTATAGTAGACAGGATGATTTAGCATAGCAACAAGACAACATGAGAGGAACACTAACCGGATGGACTGGGGGCTTCCATCCAGGGCCATTAGCCAGGGCCAGAGAGGCAAACGACGTGAGGTAGAGGAGCTTCATGCTGACGCTGTAAGAATAAGTCGTCGACTATCTCACAGCTCTGGCTGTAAAGAGATTAACACGCTACAGCTGGAGAAGAAGAGTGAATAGTGATCAACATTCCGATCATCGCCTGCCTTTTATACATCTCCAGCACGCCATCGCTACTGCCATCGCTGCTGCCAATTGCGGCTGTAAGCCCGCCACTCTGAATGATTCCCCGCGTCGCCATCGTAGCGATTATTCACGGAATGACCCCTCATCCCGCCTGAAGTTGCATCCAAGCAGGAAATGACGCCTTGGCAGAAGGAGTGAGTCGACGGCCAAGAGAATAGCATGACTTGGCAGAGATAAGAGTCGGGGTAACAGCACGGAGAAATAGCATTGGCAACTGCGACTTCAATCCGAGGATAAACGGCATTATCCAGGCTTGTATCTGTTTGTKGCTGCAATTGCCAAGGTAAAAGATGAGGCCATTAATGCATTCCTCGTGTTAATCAATCAAGGCCACGTGCTGTACTACTACTACTGGGCAGCATAGACTACATTCTAGATTCCAACTGTACCTTAGGTCTAGGGACCGAACCAGCACTATTCCAGAATCTGCCTAGATTCTTATATTATTACTATTCTGCTTATCCACCACATCCCTCGGCGTAGAGTCCGCCAGCCCCGTCAGCCGGCTCTCCGTTGGAATTCCGGTTCCCAAGACGCAGAAGCTTGGCATATTCTACGTTTCTACTGAAGAGTCAGAAGGAGCCTGGGGAATGTGGGATTCATCCTGCTTGCTTCTTCCTCGCGTTGACAGGCTGTCCGATATTGAGGGCAGTCTCAGTATCCATAGATGATGTTGATTGAACCATGATAACTCAACTTGATTTAATCCATATATTCTGCTACATTATTATATTACTGAGAGAATCCTCTATTCATTGCCAACTGGGCTATCTACAACAGATTCATCATAATTACTATAATCTATATCTAAATATATATCTATATTTCTGACGATACTCCACTCTAAACCGCAATATTACATTTCAAATGTACCATGGGGCTTAGTCTCATTAATACTAAGAATTAACTAGATCCAAAAAAAGTTCCATGAGGTCGGAGGCTAGGTTTATATACAAAACAACAACAATATTAAGTGCGTGGGTGACTAGGTGCCTGTCTACTTCGTTGACCTATGTCATAATTGTTTAGAAAAGTCAGGCCACTCATTGAGTTTAGGTTCCATCCCCATGTATTAATACTGGAAAAGCCCAGACTGATTCTGTGGAACCTGGAAATATCATACATACCTTAATGTAAGTCTAGAAGATCCACCGAACTTATCTACAAGCCTTTGTTCAAAACCTTGAAATTTACCCAATAAAGCCCCTATAGGCTGGTAATTCGATTATTCACAGCCACTCTTTGAGACACGATATTTAACGGCTGATTTGACAGGAATTGAGTCCTTCAACTCCTGTCGCCTACCTGGCCCAGAAATACCTTAGCAATGAGGCAACGCAGCTCATAGCTGATCTCTTGCCCAGCGATTCAGAACATGGTGAATATCGAACTAGCCGCTCCTCGAATCCAGGCCTGTAGTATCCACTCAAATGTCCGATATCCCTTTCTTCAGACAACAGTGTATATGTGTGAATTGTGCATAGATTTGAGCTGCAAGAACCTCAACATTCGCCAAAGCTTTTAGAATTCAGTGATTTAGCTGACAATGTGGCTATATCTTCAAACCTTAACACTATCATGTAGCATAATTCCTATGCTCTCCTTTAGGTAGAAATCCTAAAACGGAATTCAACACCAGTATATAAGTATAATGGTTAAAAACGGTTCTATTAACCAAACCAGGATTCACCTTTGAAACCATCCCAGCGGCCTAGATACCATGGGGTTTCTTTTATTGCCCGAATCAGTGACTTCACGACTTCACGGGAGGTTGAAAATTTGTCCAAAGCAGGTCCAAACACAAGTTGACACTGAGTGAGATAAGTGCAGAGCCGCGCATCAAACTCTGCCATTGTCCTACCTGATTGGCGATGTTGTGAGCGCACTTGGAAGGCTTGAGATCGGGGGCCAAGTCCAACTCACCAAAGACACTACTCTTCAAGTCATGGAGATCTTTTCTGATCCACACTAGATTCTCCGGCAAATTCGCAATATGCAGGAGATCGTTAATGGTCGACATGGGCGGATCTTGGCTGTGTGGACCTTAGAGCGCGATACCCCGACGCGGTCACGAAAAGATGGACTTACGCGCCCATCACATGTACAATAAGTCCAGAGAGGAATTGCCTCTCGAAGACGTGATCGAGTTCAAACCCCTGTCGAGTGTCAAAGAACGGACGGCTTATCACCAAGGGCAGCTGCCTACCTCCGCCGCCAGAGCCGCAGCAGATTTGCTGGTTTTTTCGATCACGGTTGATTCTTTATCATCGTATATGAACCACCCCCCACTAGTAGCACCAAGGGTTGGGTCGGCAAGGGCTCTGGTAAGCGCCATTTCAAGAAGAGATTTCTATGGCGGTGTCAGAAATGGATCAGATGGTACGATTTGACATACTTGAGATTTATCATCGGCTTTGGTGAAATGGTCGGAACCTATGATAAAGTGAGACAGGAGACTCTTCTCCTGCTGGAGGGCACTGACGCAGAAAACTAACTGTCTCGTTATCAGACGACGTTACTGCAGAGGACATTGCTGCGGCTTTTAGGTACTTGCAGACAGCAGTGTAAGAGCTAAGTGAATACTAGATGGGGGATGCAAACAGTAATTTATGAGTTCACCTTCATCAGCCCGGTATATAATGTATTTACTAGGATATTGCTAGTAAAAGGACACCGTCATGGTCACTCCAGTGTTAAGAGGCTGGAGTTGATATCCGTAGCTGTCAGTCAACCCGAAGAGGATCATTATGAGCTCATAGTCTTAGCCATGAGTTCAACTAGTGTGCTCTTAAAGACAAACATCATTGTAACCAGGGAAATGAGATCGCAGACATGTGCATACTATAAGACAATTATATATTAAGGTTAGATGCTCAAGGGCTACATATCAAGAAGATGACCTACTTGAAATGATGCAGCATGAGGAAATTAATAATATATTTAATTTCAGCTCTGTGGACTCGCATTACATAAAAAAGATTCCGACAAGGGATGGTCTACAATAATGATTCATGTGCAATATTGGATCCTGCCTCACTAGATACTATGAAATTGCAAAAATCGGACGAGATCCCAGTGAGGCTGTGGACGAAGGAAGAATAGCCGATGCCTGCGGTGAGTGGCGGGGGCTGAAGATATTAGTATCCGCTAAATGCTGACTGCATCCTCAGAAAAACTGCTTACAGCTGAGACGAACATGTCGAGGCTGATTGAACTGGCGAGACGAACTGCTCTGGGCCCATCGCCAATGCTGCAATGATCCAAACTATTTCAGCGTGTCTGCTGCTTCCTCCAATTATGTTACCAGCCCAGGCTCAATAGCGCATCCCCCAGAAAAAGCAAAACGGCGCCCAATGACTGTGTCAATTTCTCCTCGTCAGCCCCAGCACTGGCCTCCTGTCAGCCAGTCTGAGGTGATGATCTGGAGTTAAATTGGAGGAATCATAAAGTCTATGCCGCAAACGGACCACCTTTCGTCATTGCCATTGGGTGACGCCTTCAGCTGAGGGCTCCCCAGACTCCAACAAAGAAAATGGCAATGCGCTCATCGACAGGCTGGATTATGATATAAGGGCCCTGCTGCAGTCTGCCGATGAAGAATTTATCACTGTTTTGTTATAGGTCTGTCGCTGATCTCCTCTATGAATTATCTGTAATACACCCTGACCATGTCTGGTGTCAAGCGCTACCCACCAAAACGACTCATCGTGTGCTGCGATGGTATATATTTCTACATTGTTTGTGGAAAACGATTGCTAACTGACCAGGCACATGGCAGGATTCGCTGGCCGACAAGGCACAACCGCCGTCAAACGTCACTCGCTTTAGCAGAGCGCTGAGCCGCGCCGCTGTCGTCGAAGGCGAGGACGGACAAAAACGCGAGATCCCCCAGATCGTCTACTACCAGAAAGGCGTGGGAACCAGTCTCGGAGACAAATTCTGGGGCGGTACGTACGCGACTTCCTGACTAAAACTGAATTGCTACTGACCTGACCAGGTGTGGCCGGGCTGGGCGTCAGCGCCAACGTCCGAGCCGCCTACGGCTTCCTGGTCGACAACTACAGCGAAGGCGACAAGATCTATTTCTTTGGCTTCTCACGCGGCGCGTACACGGCGCGCGCGGTGGCCGGGCTCGTCTGCCAATGGGGTCTGCTGACCTCGCGCGGCATGGACAACTTTGCGCTTGTGTATGATGATTTCTACAACCACAAAATCAAGGGGTACAACGAGGAACAGCGCAAGCAGATGGGGTTCCGCGATCCCTTGCCGCCATTCACGGTCGAGATCATCGGAGTGTGGGACACGGTTGGGTTCCAGAAGGCGTGGCTGGGCCGGGACTCGGGCGAGAAGCTGGAGCTGCGGAATACGGTGCTGCATCCGAATGTGCGGTGTGCGTTCCATGCGCTGTCCCTGGACGAGGAGCGAACGGCGTTCCAGCCGATTGTGTGGCATATCCCGCACAGGAACGAGGGACAGGAGTTGCTGCAGGTGTGGTTTTCTGGAGTTCACACGGATGTCGGGGGTGGAGGCGAGAATCCCCGCCTGTCGAACATCACCCTGGCGTGGATGATCGCGCAGTGCATGAAGCATGGGCAGCTGAGCTTTGACATTGACTATTATCTATTCGATCATCCGCCGCGTGCGGAGGAGAGCGAGATGACTCCTTGGGCGACGAGTCTGGGGAAAGTCGATAGCAGCAGTATTCTGCGAACCTTGCAGGGTATACTGGGAGGGACATCCACTCGTAGACCGCTGGGGTATAACCCGGCAGGCCACGAGTCCGATATCACGAACGAATTCATTCATGAATCTGTCCGGGATCGCAATCTCGCCAAGTGGCCTTGCGCCGCGCTCAAGGGACGCCGCGACGAGCAGAGTTGGAATCTAGCGAGTGGCAAGCAGATCTCTGAGGTCCCTGTGCTGCAGATGGAAAATTATATGAAGGGTCGCATTCGGAAGGTGCATGTCGACAAAGAGGATTAATCATGTCGCTTGGTTTCTGGCGTTGGATTCGTATTAATCTTAGGTCTGATTCGGTGCTGGCTGACTTCTACTGTCTGATGAACAATTTAATACAGCTTCTAGGCTCTTGAATGTCATAATGGACGGTAATGACATGTTCCAATAGACGCCCCTTGCAGGAAACACCACAGAAGTAGCCATTCACATTCCCTTGATGTCGCAAATCTGAACTCTTCATCCCTTGCATACTAACTCTGCCGACGCGGAACAGAACTAACAAGACGCGACACCCTCGCTCTGGAACCTGCATCTTCGAACGTTCGACAGATTCAAGCACAATTAGCGAGAAGAACTTATCTCTATCTTACAAGATGGACTACACGCGCCTCAAGAGGGATGAAGACGAGGAGTTCGTCTACGATAAATCTACACCACCAACCCAACCACCACAAGCCAGTCCTGGTCACGGCTCTAACGCGACTCTCCTCTCCAGCCTGGCCCTCACCATCTCCATAATAACAGGCATCTTCACCTTGATAGCGTATACAAATGGCCAACGCGATCACCGCACTCCCCAATCACCAGAATCCCTCTTCCGATGCGGCACCTCCGCCGCCGAAGCCAAAGCAGCAGGATGCCATTTCGACCTAATGTCCTTCTCCTGGCTGCCACCCGCCTGCTACAACGAGGACCTGACGAACGACTTCCTCAACTACACAGACTGGAAATGGTCGCTCGACATCGAGGGGCACCACCTCGTCCCGAAGGAGTATGTCCGGCAGGGGGACTTTGAGTACCTCTTCACGAGCTACGAGTACCATGTCGTGCACTGCGTATTTATGTGGAAGAAGACGCACCAGGCGATCCTGGACGGCACCTTTGATCACCTTGATGGATATATCGCGGGGCTGGGGCATACAGGGCACTGCGGAGAGATGTTGCTTGATCGGGAGACAGACTTGCAGGCCTGGGGGACGCCGGGGTGGACAAAGTTCCCGGCGTGTGGGAGGGGAGTGCTCAACCTGGAGCATGGGTGGTATCGCATGCATAATGGGGAGAAGGCGTGGGGCATGCCGGGCGCTGGGGGGCATCATCATGGTTGATCTGCTTAGACAATAATTGGGAACAATACGATTGCTTGGGATAGCCAGGATATATAAGTAATGCGGTTATTGTCTGCAATGAAACGAGGACAGAGATAAGACTATGCAGAACCATTCGTAATAGGCTCGGGCATGCTGACTACCACCTTCAGAGCGCCATGTTTGGAGGATACCTCGAACGCTTCGTAAGCGTCATGAATATCATCAAATGTGAAACCTGACAGCCATTAGCTTGACCAGGATAACAGAATGGACGAGACGCACTGTGCGAGACCAGAAAATGAGGATCGATGCCACCTGTCTCTACCATCTTCAGAACATCAGGGGTACTGACAGCGTCAACCAGCCGAGTCCGCAAGCCTAGCGAGAAAGTCAGCCCTGATCATCGTAGACTAGATACAAGCATACAGATATTGCGATGCCACAACTTCTCCAAGTGAAGCTCGCACGACTCCCCGAAAACACCCAGACTAGCGATGGTCCCTCCAGCGCCGACCAGAGCCTGCGCAATCGCGAACGATTCAACCGTCCCCACTGCTTCAATCACCACATCGAACCCTCGCTCCTTGGTCACCGCTAGAGCCGCAGAAATTACCTCTTCCTGCCCGCCGAGGACACTCAGCGTATGATCCGCACCCATGGCCTTGGCCGTCTCAAGCCGGGGCTGGCCCCGTCCCACGACGACCGTCATCGCCGGACCGAACAGATTCTTCGCCATCTGCAGGATCATCAATCCGATCGGGCCAGTTCCGATGATCGCGACGGTAGCCCCGGGCTGAATATCACCGTTCAGAATCCCGCATTCATACGAAGTCGGGACCGTGTCTGACAGCGTAACCGCGACTTTGGGGTCGATGCTCTCGGGCAGCGCATGCAGCGAGAACGACGCATGAGGGATGCGCACGTACTCGGCCTGCGTGCCGTCAATCTTATTCCCGAGAATCCACCCGCCGGATTCGCACTGAGATGGCATCTTCCGGCGGCAGTAATGGCAGGTCCCGCAGGAGGTGATGCAGGAGATGAGCACGGTCTGGCCGGCTGTGAAGTTCGTGACCGCGACGCCGAGAGAGTCAATTACACCAACTCCTTCGTGGCCGAGAATGCGGCCTGGAGTGCATGTCGGAACATGCCCTTGGAGAATGTGCAGATCGGTCCCGCATATAGTGGTGTGGAGGACCTTGACGATGGCGTCGGTGGGTTCCAGAACGATTGGTCTTGGGCGGTCTTGGACCGTGATCTTGTTGTCGCCAGTGTAGATAACTGCCTTCATCTTGCGGGCTGAGTAGCTGGACCAGAACGCCTAGGAAATGTTTGAGAAATTAGATGGCAGATAGAAGGTCAGTGCCTCACTTGGGCTCTTTTATACACGCTTCGCCAGCCAGAAAAAAAAAAGCACGGTGAACTCACCAAATAAAGTCCCGCGGGGTAGAGGCAGCTGAGCAGAGTGGCATTCTAGTGCTTTTCTTCTGCCGGTGTTGCAACCATGAGCAAACAAACATGGGTTGGATGTACTGTTGCAGGGATATTGATTGGGGGAGTATAGTACCATGCATTAAAACCGAGACTTACAGATGTAGTGCTTATCGAGCGGAATGGGCAGCGATAGCCGACGAAATCCTATGGATAACATTACGAGATTCGTCGCCTCAGTTGATTGTATGCTGGATTCAGTTGACCTTCAATGATAGGATCCGCGGGAGGAAGTCTCATTCGACAAACATAATATTCATAAGATATCCCAGTGTATTAAAATTGATACCGATTCCGAAGCTAATGCTAGTACGTTAAGACTGCCAAACAGCATTGACCTGAGGCGCTACAGGACATCCCGTAGGGACCGTGTACACCCGATTGCTTCCACCCTCCCAAGTCACAGAGTTATCAGGCTCAGTCTTGTAGAACTTGTACTCGATGGTAATACCCGGCGCAAGTCCCTTGACTGTGGCAAACCAAATATTCTCACTGGAGGTGTAGAGACCGGCATTCAGACTATAGCCCGCGCTCGTGTTCCAGTTGCCGAGAGCGCTGACGTTACCGGTCATGTACACATTCTCGCCCCAATAGGTGTTCTCGATCAACCAGAAGGTAACAGGAACGGTCACAGCGGTGACGCAATGAGCGGTAGAGGTAGGGAATGGAGGCGCCACAGCACTGTAGGTGCCTGTAATGGTAGTTGTGCTGCAGGTAGTAGGAACAGTATTGGCAGATGACGAGCCCCACGAGCCCGGCATAATGGAGAGGCGGCGCTGAAGCGCAGAGAGAAAGGCTGCAAAGGACCAGGTGAGATCATTGGCCGAGAGAGGAACGCCGCTGTTGCGGTCATACTGCTCAGCCAACGAGCCGTTGCTTGGGGTGTATTGCTCGACAAGGAAGACAAAGTTATCAGCGTAGGTGCGAATGTCCTCGGTCAGAGATTTGTAAGTGGGGTCGTTGGACTTGTAAGTGCCTGGCTTGACAGTCGACGAGAAGTCCCGGAAGAACGCGAGGGAGGTTTGTGTGACGGTCAGATAACCTTGTTTCTGCCACTGGTAGAGGGCATCGTACAACTGCTCCGCTGCTGCAAGGGTTGCAAGGTACCTTAGGTTCAATCAGAAACATGCGCGTAATAATTGACAAGATTGGTTTGACCTACCATGGGTTCCCTCCCTGGTAAACATCCTCGGGGTAACGGCCTACATTTGCAGCCTTTCCAGGGCCAAGACCAGCGTTGATACCGTAGATAGAGCGGAAAGCGTCCACATAGACCTTATGGTTTGCCAAAGCTCTAGACGAGCAGGGTTGGAAGGTCGAATCATCGCAACCAGCCGCAGGATCAAAGGTATGAATGCTGGTGAGGACCGAGTTGAGATCGATGCCCGAGCGGCCATTATCGACGTTAATGTTCGAGACAATAACGCTCCCGTTCCAGTAACTCTGCAGGAAGCAGAGAATCTGTGGAGCGACCGAGTCGTACGCCCCGTGCGCCTTCCCAAGAGCCTGAGCTACCGCACTGCCTTCAACCATAGCTCGGTGCTGAACGGCAGTCGTAAAGAAGGAAGAGCCGTCAATTTCTTCCCAAAGGTCGAACCCGGTGTGATTCCAGTATTGAGCGACATAGGCGAGGTCGTTGGCAACAACGGGCCAGATGAGGTTGGAAGCAACAGATTGCTTTCCTTGCTGGATCAGATGGCGCATGTAGGTCAACATGGCAATGGCACGAAGAGCAGGACCATCGCGCTGGGGTCTGCCCCATCCGCCGGAGTATGGGTTGAAATTAACCTCAAACTTGGGCTCGCCGAGGCCAGACCCATCAGAAAGCCTGCCAGACGGGTTGGATACGTTCTGCAAGACGGCCTGGGAAGAGATATAGTCCTGAATGTGGTTTTCAAGGGTGTCGAAATTGACACCGAGGAACTTGTTGCCCTCAACAAAGATATCAACAAGTCCTTTGAAAGTTAATGCCGTGTCACGCGTCCATGAGAAGAAATCTAGAGAACGGAGTCGATCGAGTCAGCTTCTTTCTATCAGAGGGTTTCTCTGGCGGCACATACAGTCTGGATTCTCTGTATTAGGGCTCGCAATGAGTAATCCAGCCGCTGTGCCTGGAGCATTGCTGCCAGTGTTCCCAAGGGCTTTGAGGATGCTCTCATAGGAGAACAGTCCCTCCTTGACCAGGTAGGAATTCGCAGCTTCAGAGGAACGTTCTGCAAGTTCTTTGGCAGGCGAAGCAGTAGCCAGGTGTCCAAGGACACTGGCTATGCCTACAGCAATGCTGGAAAAACGCATGGTGTTTGAACTACGAGACGGGTAGCACAGTAAATTTCTCGCGAGTTAAAAGAACTGCGCGGGGAGGTTCCATTATTTTATTTTCATGAGGTGGCCCAAGATTCTAGCGCCATCACTAGATCCAAATGTTGATCTCAGTGAATTATTCAATAAAAGTGGATTATCGTGCTTTCTGTATATACGCTAAAAGAAGGCTAAAATGAAGGCTGGCATCCCAACCACACAGAGGGTTCACTTGATACCAAGATATTAATGACTGTCGCTAGAAGAGGTTTTAGTGGTCAGGGGGACAACTGCATGCTAGCCACACACAATGAGATTCAATACTGCACAGCGCCAATGCGCGGAGAGAGCCGAAGTTTAATTTAAATACATTCTCTGGGGAACTGGAGAACCCATTGTCTTGATAGCTGATTTGTCTGTTCGGCCGAGGTTTTGCTACTAGTACCGGGGCCGGTCATTTATCGCTAATTATACAAATGGCTTGGTTAGCAAATCACCTGCCGTGATGCTATTCCCACCTTTTTCCTAAGCGGAGAACAAGTAATAAGAACTTAACCGTCCTTGTCAACATCCAATCAGTATATTATTTGCCCTCCCACTCTTTCCTCGCGATCCCTTCAATCGTCGTCGATTCCTTCATATTGTCATTTGTTGGATCATCCTCTACCCCTTACTCTGAGACTAAAGTCGGTTTTTATCCAGCGACACAACTCATGGCTCTAGGACGATACGCATAAGGACAACAACCCACGGAATTTCCATCAAATTTCTACTCAAAAGTGTGGCCTACTATATTAGATTGATATCTTCCAATTACACTTCCAACGACAGACACTTATTCTCGGCCCGCGCCCGCGCAATTCCAAATGCAACACGAGCCCGCCCTCGAGCTTTTCACAAACCAATCCCACAACTCCCTAATGCACCGCTGTCTCTTCTAACTGCTCACCAGACGGATTGAATTTCGTCTCAGAAACTAGGTAACCAGCGTCATTAAGCCATTTGTACGACGGAGGAAGACTGATCGAGCTCCCATCGCCTCCATCAGGCAGGAGCAGCAGCTTCGCGTCCCAGGCATACGCCAGGATATGACAATACACTGTTAATCTCTGCTCAAGTGCTGGAGTTCCCAACCGAAACTGGTCATTCAACGCAGGCTGAAGGAACAGATGCTCCAGAGTTGGCAGAGCACGTGCATCCCACTCGGAAAATATGAAGTTCAGAATCGATTGGACTAAGGGGTAGTTCATCAGATTCGCAGGTTCCGCCGACCAACGCTCTAATCGCTTCCCCAGCGCCTCAGGATAGTTAATACCCAGATGCCGCGTCACATACAGCAGCCAGGAGAGTGAGCCCATGCGGTATGCGCCCCCGGGCCCCKGGGGATGATAAGGCGCGTATCGCGGTATAAAGGCGCCCAGATCGAAGTAATTGGAGAATCGCCGTTTCTGGACCGCAATACGAGCTTCCACAGAGACTTTGAACTGGCTGAGTAGGACCTCACCTGTGTGCACGAGCCCATTAATACCATCCAGCATGCGGAGCTCGTCCTTGGAGAGGTGGCCGTTAAGTGTCTTGTACGCGAGATCGTGATTAACCTCTGACCAGGCGTGCATGAGCAATGAGGCCACCTGAACTTTGATCATGGTTTGCTGGCGGCGGGTGGTGTTGTCGCCGGGCTCCGTGAAGTCCTCATCGCGGACCTTGACGCGGAAATGCGTGGCCCTGTATCCATGGAACCGCGGCACATACGGACCCTCGGCTGTCACTGTAGATAACTGAAGAGCGTCCGATTAAACTGCGACATTTGGAACAGGGACAAGGGTCTCGTCGTGCCGCTTCACATCCTTAACCTGGAACAATCTGCGCAGGATAACCTCGATCTCGCTCTCCTGATCAGGCTAGTAGAGCGTAATTCGCACCCCGACAAGGTCCCCAAGATCACGGAAAATGTCTTCCGCAGATTGATAGTGCTTCTCCTGGGCCCTCTGGCGAAGCTTCGCCAACAGTCGTTCTGGATTTTTGGCCCGCGCCGCGACGATTGCTGGGATGCTACTCTCCACTAGGGCTTTGCGGCATTGTATCTGGCGTAGGAGGCAAGACCAACCGTAAAAGGAAAGATGGGACTCGTAGTCTTTTAGAAACAGCTCGATAATAGATTCAGACATGGTKTTTTTCTCAGGGTTGGTATTCTGCCGAAAGGGTATATCGTTGAACCAGTTACTACTTCAGAAGATCTTCGGGTCGAATTCAGTCCGCTCTTATATGCCACGGCCTCCCTCAGAGAGCAGGTGAACTCAGTTGCCACTTAGCGGGGACAGATCAAAGCGTCCAATCGCACTACATAGCCGTCGCTTGCCCGCACCTGAAGTAGAGATGGGTCAACTACAGCCGCAGGTCGAGCATTGAGACGACGAACTAGGTAACGCCGGCCGAACAGGATCACCCTCAAGTTTGACCTTCGGAGCAAAAGATAGGTAAAAAGAAGAAGTGATACAGGAATACTTGCTCCTCAGGGCCGATTCTCTAGGTACTCAATCAGTGACTGTTCCATTTACTTAGGGCTATGATAGCTCCGCTTCACGGGTGCAGAATGTGCTGTTAAATTGATATCAGATTAACGGAAAACTGCTAGGTAATCTGCACTGCCCTCTCTTAAAGCCCGAGCAAGACATAGCTGTACTTCATTCACAAACACCGATCTCAACCTGCCCGAATGACAAATTCATAGGCGGAATCCCTTGCGAATGGACCATATCCATCCACACCAAACAATCAGCCCGCACCGCCTTTCAGCTCCTCGAAATCTTTACCACATCATCCGCAGTCAAGGCAACCTCCTTCCAAAGTTCGTGTACCAGCTCATCACAGGAGCTGGGTGTCTCACTCGTTTGATCGGTATATACAAAGGGCGAGATGAACATTATCGGTTGATCAAACTGCATTAAGCATAAGATGTGTTTTCGCCTTTCATAAGAAATGGCAAGACCAACCAATAATATTTCTCTTTGGAATATTACAGTAGCACCTATCATTTTTACATGACTGGTTGGCCAGACGCCCTGTCAGGTTGAAAAAGTTTTGGTGTCAATTTGGGGGTATCTTAAGATAGGCAGGGACATGCCTGTTTAGGTAATCTAAGATATGAAAGATAAATAGATCCTACTAGAGATAGGGGAGAGTGATTAAGACAGTTAATGGCACTGATACAGTGCCAATTAAGGGAGTGGGCGCATCTATTGAGACAAGCCCAGCCGTATTACTGTTAGTAAGATATGGGGTTAAACCAAAACAGAAGTGCTAGATTGTATCTCTCTACCAAATCAATCGATACTCCCGTAACTTTCTGGTCATTCTGGTCGCAGATAGCAGTTGTTAAACGGAATTGACCGACAAAAGCAGCGATGCTGCTCCGTAGAAATTGAACTGCGCTTTCAAAGACCTTTGACCACGTGAAAATCGTAAAAAGGACAAGTTCGGCTTAATCCTCCTGTAGGTCTAGATTCGCCGGGCGAGTCGCAGTGACGGCCTGGAAAACAGGACAGCACGAAGTACTTTTCTCGTCCAGCTTCATGATATCAATGGCAGGCATTTGTATCCATTTCAGGTCGCGCATTTTCGCCTGGTGTGCACACTCTTCATGCAGACCTTGGTGGAGCATGTAGTTGACAACGCTCACGGGAGTCTGGAGGTTGAAGGTGGCTTTCATACGCACTCCATCGGCGAGGTGATCGAGTAATTCCATGCCCACCCCCCCGTAGCGGTATGTACCGGATTCTACAAGCGAACTATTTGGCGTTTTGAGCAGGTCAAAGTTTGGAACCATCCCAACGAAGCGCCCACCTGGCTTCAAGTTATTGAAAATATTGGACCACATCACTGCGAGCTCTCGTCGGTCCCTTGCATAGTTGAGAAGCCAGAGGGCGGTGACCATGTCGTACTCTCCCTTTTGCAATGGCTGCCCACAATCTTGGACGGAAAAATCGAGTCCCGCGCAACCCTCGGCCTTCGACTGCGCGCGTTTTATCATGAGCTGCGAGATGTCGACGCCAGTCACGCTGTTTGCCCCCCAGTTGAGAAACCTCAGTGCAAAAGAACCGTCGCCACAGGCTAAGTCCAAAATTTTGGCACCACGAATGTCACCCAATTGCTCCCGAATGAATTGAATACAAGGGGGAAATAATGGAAGAACTTCATGGTGTTGATGATTCTTGGTTCCTATTTGGTCGTACTGGGTTTGTTCGACGTCGGGCGATGGAAGGCTGTGGGTCATAGTCATCGCTGCTACCACCGATAGGATTCTTGAAGTGTAGTAAGGGCAGGTAAGTAAATTTAGACGACGGGATTGCCTAATATACCTGTGGTATGTTTGTTCGTGTCTCTTGGTGATGCAAAAAGTAGATATCTGCTTGTGCATGCTGGCTGATATTTATAGGACAGATCATAGGGTATTGTGTTCGTTAACAAGAATCAGACGTTTAGGACACGGGTGAGGGGAATAAAACTGTAATACATCACCACCGCATACTGAGTTGCACGCAAATAACTGTGTATTGACAGGTACTACCCCCAATCGTGCGGCGCAGGGGCGAGAGCACAGCAGGATGGGGATTGTTTCACCAAACATACATGCAAGGGAAACATACATACGCGACTGGCTTTGGATGTTCTTCCAGCCCAAATAGTTGAAATACGTGGCAAGACACCTGCTATATTTCCTCCCTTGCCTATGTAGTCTCGCTGATGAGAGACTCCTCACGCGGCTGGGATCAGCGGACCTGGTGGATTCGACCGATAGCAAATTACATGATTTTATGCTCGCTAACACGTCCACAACGAAGATGGTTCCAAGGACAAGGCGTACAATATATAATATTGATAGTGAGAATATAGCGCTGTATGTGAGAAGCCGCCCACAAGCTTCGAAAGACAGGGTGAAAGCAAACAAGAGACTTCATATTTCTTCTCCATTATTGCCTTGAAGGCCAGGAAAGATGATGCCCTCTCCACCACGAGAGGAGCACCGGAGTCTATCGTGTATGCTACACTCCACTAGGTTGCTCGACTTTGGACGTTCTATTCCTAAAACTCGCTGCCTCCTTCGAAGAAGCGCTTGGATCGCGTAATTTCCAGTCCAGACCCCCCAACAAATGCGAGAGCGTGGGATTTCTCCAACCGCACTGTCACCGTCTCATTTCCAAAGTCAACCGTGACAACTTTGGCCACGAGGGTCGCGAGAGCCTCCACGCTGCCAAATGACGAAGCCTCCACCTCCTGGGGATGTGTTATTGGGACCGACCTCAGACAATCGAGGGAAAGAGGAGGGAGCGTACCTCGGTCACCACTCGGGTCATCTCTTGATAGGTATCCAGGACGGTAGATACCCACTGGCCGTTGCTCGGCCCCATAAAGATCAGGTTGATCATCACCGCCTGTTTCTCCCGCCGCTCGTGCGGGTTGATCCCAACGACGCAGTGGCATTGGATTCCATTGATCTGGACCTCCTCCTCCAGGACCACGAACTCGGGTCCGTTCTGGACGAGCGAGACCATGCTACGGTAGCGAAGGCCTTCGTTGGCGCGGAGAACGGCCTTAGGGAGGCACAGGAGGACCTCACACTGGCCAAAGTCCGACCGAATGGGCGGCGCCAATCCCGTCTGCTCACCAGTACCGGTCTAGTGCATTCAGGTCAATCACATCCACGCGTATTGGGCTGGCCGGGATGCAAATGGGGCACGTACCGCACATTCCAGGAGAAGCTCGAGCCCCGAAACCGCCAGAACTCCTGCCGTGAGACGAAGATCTTGCTTGTTGGGCAGCAACCGTTCTTCCAGAGACGTCCCGTCCATGCCTTGGAGGCGCMGGGCCAGGGCGGAAATGGGGGATTGAGCGTCTTGTGCGCGCTCAATGTTAGCCTTGAGCTGGCGATAGAGGCGGCCGTAATCGAGAGTCAGGCCGACATCATCTGAATCTGCTGAGGCTGCGATGGAAGAGAAGAAGAGTCGGAGGTCCAGTCGGCATGGCTGGGGTATGCCCTGACGATGCCATGCTTCGTCAGCGGCCGGTAGAGGAAATTCCACCTGGCGGAGCTGGACGACATCCACGACCGATGGACGGGAGGGCACTAGAATCTGGGGGTGGCTGTCTCCCATAGACGCTGTCGCTGGAGAATGAAAAACTGGTAACGTAGAGTTGGAGGAGATAAGGGCGGATGAGAATGGGTGCAGACTGCGAGAGTAACTTTGGTCTCAGCTCCCTCTCGCTAGTCTTCTGCGATGAGTCAAGGTGCGTTTTCGCTGCCAGAGGGACAGAAGCAGGGTATGCGAAGACGCATACATTCCCCTGCAAGGCTACACAAGCAAGGCGACGTGTTACTGTAAGGCGGGGCCCTCCCTTCCCTGTAGTTGGTCACCTGTCAGGATGCTTTCTCTCCTTACATTCCAAGCATGGTTCATGAGTGGTGTATTCCACACTCTCCTCCGTCGGTTCTGTTGGCCTTATGTCCTCCTGCTTCCACTGCCAAACCTTCGGTATTCGATCTACGCCCAATCTCTATATGCTGCCTTGAACAGTGGCTCGTCCTTGTCCCGCCGGCTGACATCCAGGTACCTCCCTGTCTACAATGAGTATCACCTGGCGAAACAACACCAACGCGGATGCATATGCAACGCTGAGCCGGCTTAGAGTGTTTAACGGCCGTCTACCGCCATATCTGCCGCGCGTGGTGGTTCGAGTCCTGGGCATCGAGGATGTGTTGGCCGGGGTTGCGTTGGCGACCCGAGAGAATTGTAGGCTGGCCGTTCGGTCTGGAGGCCATTCGCTACCCGTGTGGAGTCTCCACGAGGATGCAGTTCTTCTGGACCTGGGAGACTGGAAGAACATCGACATCGATCTCGCCAATGAACGGGCTATGGTGACACCGGCCGTGACTAGCAAAGAACTCGATGATGCGCTGTCACCGCGAGGGCTCATCTTCCCCGGCGGACATTGCCCGGACGTTGGTCTGGGGGGTTTCTTGCTTCAGGGAGGCATGGGGTGGAATTTTCAGGTTTGTTCCATCTGCTGACCAGCCGCTGCTATTATTGTTTAGGAGGGGTGGGTTGACCTCGTCTAGGGTTGGGGCTGGGGTTGCGAGGCCGTCGAGGCTGTCCAGGTCGTGACGGTACAGGGGGAGCTGATCTGGTGCAATAAGGAGCACAATTCGGATCTGTACTGGGCTGCCCGAGGGGCTGGACCGGCATTTCCGGCCATCGTGGTCTGCTTTCAGGTCCGAGTGATGCCCTGCCAGCCCCAGGGGCTCTGGTCTTCGGCCTACATATACCCCCAACACCACTACCGGCCAGCATTTGAATGGTCCCTGGCCGTCATTCCCATCGCGGGAGAAAACACCGAAATCAAGCTCCTCGCGTACTACCCGGCGGACAGCGAGGATATTTGTCTCCTGGTACAGTTCATCACCAGGCAAGAGACAGCCGCCGATGCGCAAGACATCCTGTCCCTGATTCACGCACGCCGTCCCCCTGGTGCCCTCATGGAGTCCGCCGTGCAGCCCAATAGCATGAAAAGCCTGTTCGCCATGCAAGCCGCGGCGAATCTCCCGGGGTACCGATGCTGCTCGGACAACGCCTTTCTGAGGGACGGGGTGGATGTCGTCTCCGTACTCGCGCCCGCCTTCCTGACACTCCCGCACCGACGGAGCTTTGCCTTCTGGTCGCCGATGGTGCCCCGCAGTCGCAAGCCCTTGACGGACATGGCGCTCAGCATCCAGTCGGACCAGTATGTCGCCCTGTATGCCGTGTGGGAAGATGCACATGACGATGAGCGCTGCCGACAGTGGGCCCACGGCTTTGTGCGGTCCATTGACGCCCATTCTGCGGGATCATACATTGGGGAGGCAGATCCGKAAAGGCGACCAGGTCGATTCTGGACGGAGGAGTGCTCAGAACGACTGATGGCCGTGCGACAGAGCTGGGATCCCCAGGGTCGTCTGTGTGTGTGCCCGAATCTGATGCCTGAGGAGAGAAACTAAATGCACAACTAAATGCACATCTATACGCTGCAGCTCCACTAGATGATACCCAACCGCTACTGCTCTACTACATAATATCCAGCCGTTTATGAAGGATGTAGAACGCCAAGTAAAGCTCTATGGGGAGTAGATAGAGAGAGACAGATTATAACAGCTAGCAGGTCTTCCACAACACCGACTTATTCTGCAGATAATTCCCCATAGCATAGAGCACCCCATTCGTGGCTCCGCCGCTCATCTTCCTCCCTCCAAATGGCAAATCAAAGGCTAGGGTGGGCCCAGAACAGTTCACCGCCACGTTTCCCACGTCCAGCCGGCGCACCAGACGATGCACTCTGTCCGAGTCGCGTGTATACACGGCCGCATAGAGCCCAAAGGGGTAGGCATTTGCCATACGCAGCCCGTCATCTTCGGACTCAAATCGATTCACCACCAGCAGGGGCCCCCAGGCCGGCGCTTGCATCAGCGGCGAGTCACTCGGCACCTCCTCCACGATGGTGGGCTGCAAGAACAACCGGCCGCCGGCGGGTTCGCCCATCTTGCCGCCGACCACCACTCGGCCGTCGCGGTAGGCCGTCTGCACTGCCGTCTTCAACATGGTGAAATACTCATCATCCATGGACGGTCCCACCGTCGTGCTCGGATCGAGCGGGTCGCCGGGATGGACGGACTCGGCAAACTGCTGGCGCAGCAAGCGGCCGAACTCCTCTGCCGCGGCCGCCTCGACGAAGATGCGCGTGTTCGCCATACAGTTCTGTCCATTCAGGGACAGGATGCTGGACGTCGTGTCGGCCGCCGCCTGCGCCAGGTCGGCGTCAGCGAAGATGAGGGCCGCTGAGCCGCCGCCGGAGTGCGCATTCACGCGCTTCATGTTGGACCTTGCCGCAGTGGCGAGGATTTCCTGGGTCGCGCCGGGACTGCCGGCAAATGTCAGGCAGCGGACGTCCAGGTGTGCGGCCAGGGTGCTGCCCACCGGGTCTCGGAAGCCCGAGATGATGTTCAACACCCCGGGAGGGAACCCGGCCTGCTGGACGAGCCGGGCGAGGGCGAGCAGCTGCGAGAAACCGTTAGAACGGAGTCAGCCATGGGAGGGAAAGACAGACAGACCGCCAGTGGGTCTTTCTCGTTGGTCTTGAAAACGACGGTGTTGCCCGCTGCCAGTGCGGGTGCCACATCGCACGCCATCGGCATTAGCGGGATATTGGACGCGCCGATGCACGCGACCACGCCATACGGCTCCTGGACGGTGTAGTTGAAATGGTGGCGAGTGTTCGTGCTGGTTGTTCCCTGAATGGTCCATCCAGCTTGAGCGAGGTAACGCAGGCTCGTTGTGATCAGCTTGGTGCCTCTCGCCTGCGAGATGGGAATGCCCGAGTCCATGGCATCGAGCCGAGCGAGTTCGCCGGCCGAGGCCTCGACCAGGTCGGCCAACCGGAGGAAATACACGCCACGCTCGGAGGGCTGCAGATCTCGCCAGGAGGGGAAGGCCGCCAGGGCGGCGCGGACAGCATCATTGGTGTCGTCTTTGCTTGCTGCGTGGACTGTTGATAGCACGGCATTAGTGGACACGACGGGGGTCTGCTGGGGGAAGGAAGCCAGGGACGAGACGAACCGTGTGCGAGGACATCTCCCGTGTACGGGTTGGTCACATCAAATCGCTTGCCATCACCAGAGGTGCGGAATTCCCCGTTGATAAAGAGGCGGGTTTCCCAGTGGTCGTTGAACAGGATCTCTTTGCCCATGGTGTCTGTCTATGGGGAAGTATGGTGTCGGCAGGTCAGGGCTTTTCACTATGAGCTGGAGTGTTATTGTAGATCAACATTCCACGGACTTTGCCCAATGTCCCGGGGTTGACCGCCAATTTACCCTTGCGTTCCTCATCTGCCAGCTGGCTTCACTCCATGCGTGCACTAACATGCTTCAGCAAGGAAGGCCGTGAGGAGCAACCAACTCCTTGCAGCGAAGGGGTACTGACATGCCATCTGCTGTCTATTGTCGGTTGTTTACGTACACTGTCCATCAACCCCCCGAGTACATCGCCCCGGACAGGGCGCGGACGCATCATACTGCCAGGTAAAATACGGGTCCGTCTCTCGCGCGAGCACCGGTCCGATGGGACCCACCATTCCCCCTCCATCTGCTCCATCCAAAGCCGTGGACTGTGCCCAGATATCTGCCGACGAGATGGTAATCTGCTGCCAGCCGGCATCGAGGAGCGTTTGGATCGATGTACCGTAGACGTAATTGCGGATGCCGGCCCAGCGCATGGCGGCGGCGCACTGGCGTCCAATGTCATCAGTTTCTCGACTCGTAGAAGGAAAGAGATGGGAGAACGCCAGAAAGAAAGAAGCTCATACCATGGGGCAGCTCTCGGCATTGCTGTATAGGGTCAGACTGGACATGGCGATGCGCGCCTCGTCGGGGCTCAGGCGAAACTGTCCGTGCGCGTCCTGGAGTATCGCGGAACAATTCATTATCGCGGAGATTTCGCCTGTTTGGATTAGATAGGCGGCTGGGATTTGTACGGCAAGGAGTCTGACCATGCAGAATGTCATTCCCGGTTTCCAGGGCTTGGTTCCGCCCAGTGCAGATCATGTCGCCCAGGTCGCCATCGCCAGCGGTATGGTTGACAAGCACGGCTGCAAATGGGTACCGGGGGCATACGCGGGGATAGTAAGCTTCGCTGAGCACGTTCTGAACCTGTCTCATCCAGTACTCGCGGATGTTCCAGGCAATGCCATTCATGTCTGTCGGCGACTCTAGAGGCTGGACGCAACGGTCCCTTGCCGCCACTGGGCACATTCCTGACCCGGTGGCAGAGATCATCGCCACCGAGGCAGCGAGGAGGAGAAGCCGCATGATGAGGCGCGTCATTGATCGCTTTTCATTTAAAGGTGGTGGTGACTCGGATGGTGGTTCTCTAAAGGGCCGTGGAGCGGTATATATCTCCACGACCCATGCTAGGGATGTGACGTGAAAGACGAAGGAAAACAAGTAGATTGCCCTGCACGGTGGATGGGAGGCATGCATGCATCGAGGTAAGTCTCCTTGCTTCTGGATTTGGTGTCGTTCCGAGAGCAGAATGAGACGGTGGAATACGGCGAAACAGAAACTCTCTTAACTAGGATGTAGGGCGCCGTCCAAGGCAGGTAGCTTATCTCCTTCCCATCGCCACTATGGATTCATACATTTTTCCAGATCAAGAAAATCTTCCCTTGCGGGCCACGTCCGGTCCCAAACTGCCCCAGGTCAGCGAGAGCGCTGTGGAGCCAACAGCGGATGAAGGTAGATAGATAGACCGGGCTCTCTTACTTCCAACCCATGGAGCTGACTCAATAGACAGGTCGTACAGCCTTGGACTCGCCCAAGCTCACCACCAATGGCACTGCCCATGCCATTCTGGCGACCTCCCTGACAACCCGATGTCAAGAGGGAGTGTGTCTTGACCCCCAGACCCGTCAGCGCACAATTGCTGCCGCCATGCGGACGATCCTGCAATGCCTGGGCGAGGACCCCGACCGAGAAGGCCTCGTCCAGACGCCGGAGCGATACGCGCGTGCCATGCTCTTCTTCACCCAAGGCTACAATCGCGCCGTTCATGAGGTCGTCAATAACGCCATCTTCACGGTTGACAGCAGCGAGCTCGTGTTGGTCAGGGACATTGATATCTTCAGTCTATGTGAACACCACCTGGTTCCCTTCCACGGCAAGGTCTGCACCCTCCCTCCAGGAAGGGAATCAATCTCTATATAAATCATGACCCTAACTTATCAATCAATCAGGTCCATATCGGCTACGTCCCGAACGGCCGCGTCCTGGGCCTGTCCAAACTGGCCCGCGTCGCCGACGTATTCGCCCGCCGACTGCAGATCCAGGAACGTCTCACAAAGGAGATCGCTCACGCCATCGAGCAGATCCTCAGCCCCGTTGGAGTCGCCGTCGTCATCGAGTCCGCCCATATGTGTATGGTCATGCGTGGTGTGCAGAAGACTGGTGCCATCACAACCACCGCTTGTATGACCGGGATATTAGGCAAAGACCAGGAGCTGAAGAGGCACTTTTGGAGCTTGATGCGACAATGAAAGCGGAAAGTCGTGATTCAATCTTATCCCATCCTTGGTGAATTTTGGTTGGAGATAGCCCCAGAATGATTCGATGCTTTTATTTGGTTCTTTATCCTCACACCTACGTCATTGGAACAGCAGCCCCAGCAGGCCCAGAATAATCAAGCACTTTATTCCTTCTTTGCTTACCATCGAGAGTATCTAGAATGTATGCGAATCCGAGGGCCTGCAAATTGCAAGGCGGAGGCACCGGTTGTGATAGACACATGGAGTAAGGGGGGCGGTTAAGCGGAACCGCAAGTAGACATAGACAAGTTCCATCCCCTCTCCTCCAGGATGAAATCCACCGCCCGTTCTGCAATAGCATACACTGTAGCCATGATGTTTCCACTGATCTGGGTCGGCATCACGCTGGCATCCACCACTCGCAATTGGGAGATGCCGCGCACGCGGAGCCTCTCGTCCACCACGCGCCCCATGCTACAGGTGCCCGCCAGATGATGGAAGCTGCTGCTGGCCCCCTGAACGTACGTCCGTCCCTGTGCCTGGTTGTCGACATCTATCTCCGGCGGAGGGACCAGCCGGCTGCTCGGCGACAACCCGGCGTATTGGAAGACCCGGTTGGCGAGTCGAACGCCTGCCGCGAGCATATCGGCATCGTCGGCGCTCGACAGCAATCCAATATCAAGAGCCGGCGCTGCCAGGGGATCCGCGCTGCGTACATGACAGCTTCCCCGGGAGCGCGGATGCGTTACGCTGACCATATACGTGTAACGGTCCGCACTCGCCGGGCTGTAATCGGTGCCGGTGACGCCAGGATCTAAGTATTGCCCCATGCCAAGCAGCTGGATGGCTGGGCGGCTCCGACGGGGGCGCTCCATTCTCTCTGTCTTCTTCTCTGAATCTGTCGGCGGGACGGATATCACCTCGTCTGGGCCCACAAAGGCACAGAGAGTCCAGGGCCCGCGAAATGCGGAGGCTGCGTCAATCGACTCGGACTGCTCGTTCTGGTCGTGGTCTTGACACATGAAGTTMGTGGTGCTGTGGCCCGGAGCCACTGCGTACGTGACCGTCGTGTAGGGATGGTCGCTCAAATGCTGCCCGACATCAGGCATGGGGTGGATACAGTCAATCCCCACGGCGGTTAGCACCGCAGGATCTCCGATGCCCGAGAGCTCCAGCAAGTGCGGGCTCTTCACGCTGCCTGCCGCGATGATAATTTCCCGCTGGGCCATCACCTCATGGTAGGCCCCCTGGTGCCACAGCTGGAGGCCACGGGCCACGGGAGGCGATGCGCTACGGTCCAGCAGGACCTTGCATGCGATGGTCTCGCTGAGGAGGTGCAGGTTTGTGCGATGGAGAATTGGTCGTAAGTAGCCGCTGGCGGCGTATGCGCGCCGGGGCTGTCCATCCCCTGTCTCATCGTTGGTGAGAGTCGTGAGCAGCCGGTAGGAACCCATGATGTCGCCGTCCCATGGTCGTTTCGCCGCGGTCAGCGTGGTGACCTGCATGAATGCATCGATCAAGCGGTTCTCGAGAACGTGGCGAGTGAGGGGCAAGGACAAGGGAATCGGACAATCCCTCTGCGATTTGAGAAGCTTCGTATCGTTTTCATCTTCCCGGATGGGATTGCTTTTCTGGTAGTACGGGGCGAGTTGGTCCCACGACCAGCCGTGATTCCCTAGGCTCGCCCACTGATCAATGTCCGCTGCCGCCGGCCGGCAGTACAGCATGAAGTTGATGGCGCTGGATCCGCCGAGGGCCTTTCCTCGAGGGACATGGAAGATCCTTCCCTGGGATCCGGTCTGAATCATTCGTGTTAGGCCACAGATATGGTTCCTGCTTGTGACGTGATGTGATATCCCGGGACTGGCCTACCTGCGGGGTGGATTGGAACATCCAATCGTAGTCGGGATTTTGAAACGCCGCCGCAAACCCGTCAGTCGTATCGATCGTGGGGTCATCGAATTTGGATGAACCTGCCTCAATCACTCCTACCTGGACCTGCTCGTCTTCGCTCAGGCGGGCTGCCAGCACCAGACCGGCCGTGCCGCCACCGACTTCCATGGGTCAGCTCATCCACGGATGGGGATAGAAAGACCGTAAGAAGGCCATACCGATCAGATAGTCGAATTGGGTACCCAGAAAGTTCTCGATGGATGCTGTCGTCAACATAGTGTCGATGATTCTGGAGACGGTTTATCTCGTTACTGCCGACATCAGAAGCAGGATCAGCAGGGGTGCTGGGTCCAAATATCTCCAAAAACAGCGGTCTGGGTTCTGGTTTTGGTGTCGATGACGTGGCCATGCAATTCAAAGGCAAGGCCGGACCCAACATGGCAAGGAAGCAAGGGATAGATCACAGGTTCCACAGACAGTGAAGGTATGTAAGAGAGCATTAGACTGGATCGCTTGCAACTTGCTCTCTGCTACACTATACAGGTGCACGTCTACGACAACTAGTGGATAAGGGTGGCAAGGGGTGAAAATGCATTGTAGGGTAAAGCACATCAGTTGGCTAAAAATTCAATCTCTCTGCCAGAAGCATATCCGGTGAATAGGCTAATGTTTGTATCATCTCGCATAGAGATCGAGCCATCTGGCGACCGGCTTCGGGTGATAGTATCTGAGTGTTTGCACGCACCTCAATCGACATGTGGTCCTCATACGGCTCGGTAACCAGCAAAATTTCCTTGTGTAGACCCAACCGAGTGAAGACCGAGTAATTCACCGCCAGGAGGTCATGTAAGGGTAGTTCATGGACCAACTGGATGTTCTGGTGGTGTACAATGCAGCCAAAATCTGTCTCTGGGGGCCAGTCGGTGCAATGACGGATAATATCTCGCAGTTCAAGATAATCGTACTGTAAGGTACGAACATACTGCTCCTGCACGTGGTAGAGAAAGTCCTGCACTGTCCAGGTGCGCTTGAGATTGATCCGCACCGGAAGGTAATTGAGGCAAGGGCCCAGGGCCCTATCAATATGGGTTAGGGGCATGTTCCGGCCATTGACGGTGTGGCCAAAGGTGAGATCCGTACTGGATTTCAGGTTCGCTAAACAGAGGCCCCACGCTGCCTTGACCAGGGTCGCCATTGTGATCCCGGGACAGATCGGTGGTAAGGAAATTCGCTGGGTGTGGCGGAGCGTCTCATGGTTCTTTTGTTGGACTTCCAGGGCGTTTTTCGCGGGGAAGGGGATGGTCATGGAGGCACCGTCCAAATACTCCCGCCAAAATTGAAAGGCTGTATCGGCTGGCTGGGAAGCCCGCTGATAGATCACATCAGCGAAGGCCAGGGTCGGCGGCAAGGCGACATCGTTGCTGTTGTATGTAGCTGCCAAGTCGCGGAACAGTAAGGGCATTGAAACCCCGTCGTACTGCGTATGAGAAAGACGGATGGAAAACACATGATGTTCTAGATCGGAGCTGGATACCAGGAAGAAACGAACCGGTAGCCCGTCGTACAGGTTAAAGCGTGCGCGATCCTCCCGCCACAAGGACTCAGCCCAAGGGAGAAGATCTTGCTCGGTGGTGTAGCGCACGAAAGGCAGAGGAACATTCTGCAAGATTGCCTGGTTCAGGCGGCCGTTGCGGCGAAAGAAGACCGTGCGGAGGGTGCTGTATCGGGTCATCATGGCATTGCAAGCCGCTTGCAGGCGGCCAACATCCAACGGCCCGTGGACGTGAAAATTGTGATAGTGTAAAGAGTCTCGGTCAATGAACCATCGTTGCATCCTCGTTACTGGCAGCAGGTCGACGACCTGGGACCCCAGGGGCAAAAGTCCTTGGCTGGACAGTGTGGAGATGAGAGCTGGAGCATCTTCTTCTGATGCCAAACTAAATGCTTGACCGCTCTGAGTCGGAACTTGGACGACAAGCGCTGCAGCAGCGGCCAGATCCCGTAAGATGGGGTGTGCGAATATATCAGCAACACCCACGCTTACTTCCCCAGTCAGGGAGAGTGCAGCGGCTTTCATCGCGTCGATTGAATCTCCCCCGAGATGGAAGAAATGGTCATTGACTCCGATAACCTCTCGTGGCAGATGGAGGACCTCTGCCCAGACCTGCTGCAAGTGTCGCTCAGCGTCGGTCGAGGGGCATTCTTTCGATATTTCTGTCGGGGAAGTATAGCGCCTCAGCGCATGGGGCGAAATGGCGAACAGCGCACGGCGGAGGCCCTCTCGGTAGACTTTTCCAGACGCCGTTCGGGGGATTCTGGTCAGGGGGATAAAGATGGAGGGCACTAGGAATCCCGGAACTTCCTGACGCAGCCGTGCTTCTGCCTTGGACACCCGAGAATAGAAGCTCGGCATGGGGGTAGCCAAGAGGTCGGATCCGATCTTCCCCAATCCGGGACCTCGGACGAATGCAATAAGCTGTTGGTTCCTGGCCCCCGGGAGAGTCAGGACGTCGGCCACTGCATCTTCAAGGCCGTCGAAGCTCTGCCGCACCTTTTCTTCGACCTCGCCCAATTCGAGGCGTTGTCCTCGGAGCTTGACCTGAGTGTCGCGGCGACCCACATAGTGCAAAGTGCCATCCCAATTCATCCGGACGAGATCTCCCGTTCGATATACTGGAGTCGAGGGAGCATCTTTGGATCGGAGGTTCATGAGCCAGGGCGGCGGCTCAATGAAGGCCTCTGCTGTCTTCTCGGGAGCCTTGAAATATCCTTGCGCAACAATGGGGCCCTCAATGAGTAATTCACCAACAGCCCCTAAAGGCATGAGCTGGTTGACATCGAGCGCGTTTACTACCCAGCCCACACATGCACAAGGGTGGCCAATATTGCGAGGATCGGAGTTTGCGGTGAAGGACGTCTGAATGGACGCAATGACGCAGCACTCCGCTGGCCCATACATATTGAATAGCCTCACCCGATCCACCCACCTTGTAAGATCAGTTTGAGTCATGCTTTCACCAGCCAGTGCTAGGGTAACAAGAGAGGTTTTGCAGTGTGGAGGAAACAGGCGGGAGATGGATGGGATGAGAACTGCATGACTAGCATGAAGGCTGTTGATGGCTTCTACCATGTTGTCCCGGAGCTTCGTTTCGGATGGGATACAGACGCATGCTCCGGCAATTAGGGTCGTTAAATGGTCCATAATGCTAACATCAAAAGCATACGAGGAGAACTGCGCCACCCGAGCCGAGCAATTCAAAAACCCGGTCTTTATCAATGCCGTTGCCTCGGTACTGTAGGCTTTATGGGCTATCACTATCCCCTTTGGCTTCCCCGTTGATCCTGACGTGTAAATAATATATAACGGGCTTCCGGGCTCCACAGTGGGTTCGGCATAGGATGCTTCTCCGGGCTGCTGATTGTCACCGAAGGCTATAACGTCAGCGGCCAGTTGCGTGCTCAAATCCATCTGGTCAACGCCAGACACAATGACCGAACAGTCCACCTCGTCGCACAATCCTTTCAGCCTTGGGAGCGGATGGGAGATATCCAGAAGCATAAAGGCCGCGCCGGTTTTGATCACAGCTAACATAGCCACAGGGGTCCAGCGTGATTTTTCAAAGCACAGGGGAACTACAATCCCAGGGCCCACCCCTCGCCCCTGAAGATGTCCTGCGAGGCGGGATGAGATTTCATCGAGCTGGTGATATGTGAGATTACCGTCCCACGCGCAAATAGCAGGTGCATCAGGCTGCTTTGCACAGCTTTGTGCGATCAGGTGATGAACACACATTTCCACGCCGTTGGGAGTGAGCTCATTCCACCCCCATACCAAAGCCTTGTCGTGATCGCTACAAAGGCCGACGCTGGTAAGCGCCGATTGGTCATCCTCCATAAGGCTGTTCAGAACCGTTTCGAGCGTTGCCAACACGCTGGTTGCTTGCTGGCTGGATACCAACGTCGTCTTATATTGTAGCTGCATATTGGTCTCTTCACCCTCAATCCACGCAGACAGCTTGAGGTCATACTAGGGAGATAGTTAGTCTGCGTAACTCTCAGTATGGAGTGTTATTATTCCAATGAGCCTTACCTCGGGGATCTCCTTATTGACAGTTTGAACGATCATCGCTGACCTCTCGCGGCTGGCGTGGCCCCACTGTACATCAACGAGCGTATTGAAAAGCGATCCATCAGTCACATCCACAATACGATGAATATCAGATAGAAGGCACTTTTGGTGTGGGAGGCTCGCTAGAGAGGCTGCATGGATTTCCTGCAGGGCTCGGCTGATGGTTGTATCCGTCATGACTGACATTCGGAAGGGAAGCACATTGACCAACGGTCCTGTAATTTCCCCAACACCCTCAATATCCCTGACAGACTGAATATAGCCAAAGCACACCTCATTAGAATTGGTATACGACTGCAGCACCAACGCCCATGCTAGAAATATCATGTCCCGCGTCGTCACGTTGTGAGCCCTACTGAAGCCTTCTAGCTTCATACCGATGGGAAGAGTTCTCTGGATGACATCAGTATGGGACAGATTGCCATTTTCCTGCCTATTGAGGATAGGAAAATGACACGATTCAACCCCTTCAAGGTAGCCAGCCCAGTAGGAAGTCATTTCGTCTACCGATAGCGGGGATGGACATAGAGCAGTGTCCCTGCACAGTGCAGTATCCTCAAACCCCGCTGCCAACAGTCCATCTTCTTGCTTCTGGTCGTGCTTTCGATGGGACAAGACACAGGTACTTGCCGTTCTAGCTGGTTGCTCTGTCATCATTATCTCAAGCCCTGTTGATACTTGCTCTGTTGCTCCCAGACTCTGAGCTGCAAAGTGCGTGGTTATGCGGGACAGAAATGGTGAATTGCACGGGTTCCGTCTAAATTTAAAACGTCCTTCAATTATATGATGCGTAATAAGCCATATCCGACATAGGGATTAAATATTTTTTGAGCCAACTGCTTTTAATTAATAATAAGATACTTTCCTATCCAACCAGGCACTGGGCAACTTCAGAAACGCTACAGTCTTCCAGTTTGGATGTGTATGCTATGTAAGGGGTACTATATGGAGGTATTCTTTGCGTTACTCTCCTGCCATCGAAATGCAAGGGGATATACCTTACAGACCCCTTCACTTATACTCACCGCTTCTATCTAAATTAAAAATATTCTTTGACTATATAAAGCGCAATAGGTCGTATCCGACACAGGGCTTAAGTAATTTCTTGAGCAAACTGCTTTCCGTTGATGATAAGAGATTTTCCTATCCAGCCAGGCACTAGGTAACTTCGGAACCGCTGCAGTGTTCTAGTTTAGACAGGCATACCATGTAGAGTTATGCCTTGCGGTTATTCTCCTGCCATCGAAATGCAAGGGATATATATGTTGCAGACCCCTTGACTCGCACTTTAGGGTTTTATTTGATATCCGGCCAAAGACAATGGATTTATACGTGGTGAGAATGTAGTGTAGCAATAGGCAGGCTGAACTAAAGATGGTGTGGCTAGTCCCTGGCGGCTGGCGATGTTCTTCCTCAGCTTGGCGAGGGTCGAGTCGACCACACTGATGGTTCTTCCGAGGGCATMCACGGCCTGTTATTACGTGTAGGTCGTTAGGGCCATCCAGTATCACTGTGGATGGATATGGAGGTGTATGACAGTTACCTCTGCTTTGGCTTCGCGAGCTTGCGCCTCTTCAGCAGGCGTCTTGACGACATGTCCGTTTTCAGCGGCATTGTCGATGAGATGATTGACCGCGTCAACAGCAGTGATGGCGTTGTCGAGGGAATGCATCTTGACGAATATGATCAAGACTTTCTGGTTGATACTGGTGAAGAAGGAAAGGGCACGATTTGGGCTTGTTGGTCCATTACGGCGGTGCTCTTGCGGCGGTATTTATACACAACTTGCTCAGACAGATTGCACTCGCCTGTCGCGAGCTGCAAGTCTTCTAGATCCCCCTTGACGCTTCGATATTCCTTGAATGACCATACTGTCCTCGCGTACGAGAATCTGTGGCGAGCTGAACAGAAAGAATTCGCTGCTTGTTTGTCACATCTCCCTGCTCCGCTTCAAGATACCTCGAGATGAACGACATCTGGCCTAGGGCACGACTATGTCGGCCAATTGTGACAAGTCTTGCGTCGTCACCGGACATGGCGCACTAACCTTGGGAAAATGCCAAGGTCGGCACGGCCTCGTGGAGCATAGATCCAAAGCTTCATACAGGCCTTCCAATCACCGTAAAGGAACAGATGTTTCAAAAGTACTGCAACCCACCTGGTGTTGGCTATCAACGCCAGAAGCAACGACCCACAATCGTCAGCTGTTCGGCTCTTCTGAAGAATTGTGGAATTGTCGCAAGGATTGGTATTGGGTATAACCGGCAAAGAGAGTATGAAGCTCAGCCGTGCGCTTGTGGCATGATTCTGATGCACACAGAGAGTCCACAGCAGCGAACAGAATATCACTAATTCTAGAACTGGTTGAATAAATTTAAATAATTTACCTTCTTAACTGAGCTTTCGACCGACGTCACGCGAGATCAACACCATCCAATCTTCAAGAGGACGACATGTCGGCACGCAAGTTGGTAATGTATTCTTTTTTTTCATGTCCTCCTTGTTCTTTTCCATAATTAAACAGACATTTTGGAAATTATTGATGCGGGGGGAGAGATCGTCTAGAGAGGCGTGGTAGAGTAGCTCAGCGTAATTGAGCGGATAGATTCTTGTTCGAAACGGAGAATATCTAACACATTTCGGATTCCGGCCGTGGAGTAGCAGCAAGGCCGAGACTGTCATCGCATCAAACAACATCTAACGGAACATGCTGGGGAGGCTTGTCAATAATCAGCCTCATCCCAGGCTGCACGACTCCTGCCTTTTTCACTGTAGCCATGACACCCGCCAACCGCCTGACAATGTGACGAGCTTCATCTCGAACCAAGAACCGGTCCTTCAATCCAGCCTGGAACTTGTCAATTTGAGGACACGGATTTCTCAACCCTGTAAGGGCGATGACCGCCTCATCGCCCGCAGCCACGCCATCACCAACAAACCGAATCTCCGTCCCTGCACCCAGACTCAAGAGATCCACTCCCTCGGTGGTGATATTCTGCCCTAGTGCACCAGGCTTCAGAAGCTGTGTCTTCATCTCGTCAGTTGGCAATGTTGCGCATATATCTCGCAGCACTTCTATTGGCATAAGGTGCACTTGGCGAAGATTTGCCGGTGGAGGCTTGATGTGGAGGCGTGAGCGGTGCTGAACGGTCTCGCCGGCGTGACAGTCACCTTCCACGCCGAGATTGGCGATAAGTTTGATGGAAGAGACGGCGCTCTTGGAGAAATTATGCGAGGCTGAGGTCGCCACTGAGAGGACGTGGGGTGGCGTTGATTGAGGGGCTGCCATGGTTGAGGTATGGAAAGTCAACGCGGTGCTCAGCACAGAAACCTTTCTGAAGCCACTTGATGCGTTCGCTGACTATAGATTCTAATCGTCTGTCATGAAGCTATCTTTCTCAGAAATATCACCCTATGGGTAAGGAAAAGGAACAGAATAAGGACGACACAGTGGCATGACTCACACGAGAACATGTGACGATGCATCCGGCTATTGGCTGGCTGCCTCATGTTTCCAGCCGTCTGTCCTTGAACGTCAACAGCCACGAAAGATGTGGTCCCTCGACGGTTTCGCAAAACATTGATTTCTTTTCATAGTTTTGATATCGATGACCCGTTGTACTCAACCATGGTTGACCTGGATAATTACCGAATGCATAAATGGTAGCGTTGTCGCAGGGTCCTCATAATTCCGGTCGGGGATATCTGTAGCGATGGGCTCAGAGGCGTTGATTGTTCCCTTGATTGTAATTGTCTTGCAAATCTATCAGGTTCCCGTTCGATTACTGTACGGAGATGGTTTTGCTCGCGGTGCTGCTTCGTGCATCACCCGTGTCCCGTTTCCTACAAGATGACGTAGGTGTTGCTCCAATTCCTGCCAGCTTGCTACACTTCGAGTCTACATGAAGGTGACTGATTCCGCGTTTTGGCTTGTGTTCAGTCAGTTTCCCTGAATAGGTAGCGACGGCTCATCACCCAGAGTGTGCCTATGTGGAAGACTAATGCTATTGCCCGGTGGTCCGACCCATGTTCGATTGGGTGAACCTGACAGGGCACCAACTCATGTTCCAGGCGTGACGAAACGAGCACTAGGCCTACTGTGAACCGACCTTGGGCGATTATGAACGTGACTGTTTCCCGGGAAAAGAGACACTGGAGCCCTAAGTCTCCTTGAACCGAAGAATCGGTCGGCTTCTTATCGTCTCGATGTCGCTGCAGGGTCTCCGCACCAGAGCTGATCATGTCGGTTGGTCTCCAACGAGGCGGACATCTAGTCGGTCGCCATGCTCTCTCTCACATTAGAGATTGCTTGTCGAAGCTCCAGGTACACCATGGGTGACTCTGGCCTGGCACAAACTCGCACCAGTGGCATGTACAGGGAGACCGCGAGCAATACTCGCTCTTCAGGAAGACAATATCGAACCCGAGGGCCGGTTCCAGATTTAGCCCTCTTCTGTCTCTAATTTTTGCCAGCTGGCTCCTGTTATTGCTGTTGGGATTATGGCACCTGATTCTCCAGTATCAATATATCCATTATCCGCAACACAACCCGCATGCATATTAGGGTGGATTAGGTATAGTGCGGATTAACTCAAAGCCAATTCTATGTCTAACCTAGCGGTTTCCTCTGGTTACGGCCTGCTGAGCAGTAGTCGACGTTGCTATTCATATCATTCCGGCCTTAATGTCTATATTTAGGCCTGAAGCATTAAGTGCCGATTCGGGATTGGATCCTCATTCGCATAAGCCTCTCCGGGTGCCCAATTAATAGACTGTATGATTGGACGCCTAAAGACTAGTCATTGACCAAGCCTCGAAAGGGCCTAACTTAGTTTGCATTGGATTGGCGACACAGCCTTGAGCTCCATTGATCCGACGCTTGGGAGGCCTAAAAGAGTTCCGACATCCAACCATAGCTAAGAGATTTCAATTCGCATATTTTGTTCTAAGACAGCAAGTAGACTGGACTGTCTATGTCCTATTCAGCCACTGCTTTGAAATTCTATTAAGATAAAATATAAATGCACGTCAATCCCCAGAGTTGAACGCCATCATTATCAAACAATTCAGCTCAACTATCTATCAATCAATCCGTCCTCACTTTATAAACCGTTTCCATATCATACAAAATGAAGGCCATTACAATCTGCTCTCTTCTCCTGTCTGTCGGCTCTGCTATAGCTGCCCCTGCTAAGCGGACTGAGCAAGCCATTACTATCAGCGGCCTCTCTGCATCTCAAACCGCCCAGGAAGGATATATCACCTTCACCCTAAAGGACCCCAACTACGACGCCTCCACCGGTGCTAATGTAATCTGGTATATATATATCTAGCTTCTTCATTTAATAAAAAACCTAACAAATATGACAGGAACCGCCCCGGCAGCCCCAATGCCGGCGCTCGCACTAGCGACGGTGCCTACTATGTGAGATTCCCGGGAGGTGTGAACGACATTGCGGTCTTTACCTTGGAGGTTCAGCGGGTCAAGGGCGCCGAGAGAGTCTCTGTCACTCTCAATGACAATGGAAACGGCAGTGCTCCGGGCACAAAGTGGTCGTGCACCTCGACCAATGACTCTGTTGCGGGGATAATTGAGAAGTGTACCTATGATGGTGACATCACATTGACTCCTTTCAATTCCTGAGCTTCACTGGCTTGTGATAGCATCTGCCATTCTGCCTGCATAGAATTAGTGCACCATAGAAGTTATTATATACATTTTTTATTCGCGTTGCATTCACGATTTCCCGGAAATAATAGGAGCATTGCGCATCGATTCTGTGTTATTAGGGCGGTTATCAAATTAGAAGAGCCTCTTCTATTATTCACTTTTCTTTTTCACTGGGGCCCGTGTGGATCCCTCGTGGGATTTTGTAATTTCCTTTACTCAGATCCGCGTTCTTCTTGAGCTTTCCGTAAGAATTGGCCCGATTACCTGTAGGATCAGGCGTGCCATCGAGCCGATCTTCGCGGGAGACCCAATGAAGGGCCACAAACCGGTGAAATATTTATAAAATAACACAGCCAGGATCAGATTTTATGATTAGAGTTATGAACTAGGCATCAGAGCTTGGGCACATACTTTATGTGGGAGAACCTGACGGGGAGCAGAGCATAAATACCACCCTCGCTCCAGCCTTGAAGTACATATTAAGAGACTTTCATCGAAAGGACTTGACTCTTTATCCTTCATGATGAAGTCTTCAAGGTTCATTCTGCTTCCTTCTTTTGCTCTTCTCAGTTGGTCTTATGCACTACCTTCCCACCCGACACGCTCTATGGTAAACGACTGGGCATCTGTGAGCAATCCGCCACTGTATGCGGCACTAAAGTTGAACTGACGCACAATTAGATTGAACCATCTCCAGATCTACAGTGGACTCCTTGCTTTGACAACTTCACATGCGCACGGCTCCAAGTTCCCTTGGATTACGGGGATCCATCACGGGGAACTACAGCAATTGCCTTTATTAAGCTCGCTGCTACGAATGTAACACAAAACACACAGAATCTACTAATTAACCAAGGCAGCCCTGGAGGGCCTGGTGTTGCACTCGTCCTCCAGGGAGGACCTAGTCTGGCTCAAGCTCTGGGAGGGCAGCATAACATTGTCGGCTTCGACCCCCGAAGAGTCGGGCAAAGCGGTCCTGTCGTGGACTGCTGGCCGAACCACCCTGAGAAACGCGCCCAGTTTGGGAAACTTTTCTACCCAGAAGTCTCTCATGCTTCATCGACCGCGCTGGACACACAGTACTACGCCGCTGAAATTTTTGGCACGGCGTGTACCGAAAATGCGGGAGGACCTAATGGGAATGCCTCGTTCGTCAGCACGCCTGCCGTGGCTCATGACCTATTCACCTACATCAACGCAGAGCAGAAGTTGGCTGGAAAGCCGTTGAATGAGTCCAAGATATAATACTTTGCTGTGAGCTACGGGACCGTGCTGGGTGCCACATTCGCGTCTCTCTACCCTGACCATGTGGGCAAGATGGTTCTCGATGGTGTGGTTGACGCAGCGGACTACTATGATCTAGGCTGGAGGACCAATCTCTATGACGTGGATAAAGCCCTCGACTCGTTCAGCGAATACTGCTTCCAGGGCGGTGCTACAAATTGTTCATTCTGGGGCCCATCTGTTCAAAACATCACCAACCGCTTGAACGGGCTACTGGCCAAGCTGAAATACCATCCCGTGCCTATTCCCAGCTCGGAAGCTTGCGATATCCCTTTGATGGCAACACATTCGGATTTGAAAGAGTACACTCTTGGTGCACTATATGCTCCGCTATCAGGTTTTCCAGTCCTCGCAGATGTTCTTTCAGGTTTGGAACGAGGGAACACTTCGACATATGTCACTGCAGTCACGGATGGCTTTTTACCGGCAAACCCGTGCAATAACGAAAGTGGAAAGAATGGGACAACAGATGTGAACACATTGATCAAATGCGTGGATGGTTATGCTGGGCAGAAGTTCGAGAACCTGACTGATTATCGAAACTATGTCGACACATTGACCTCGCAAAGCCTTTTCTTTGGTGAGGTGTGGCCCAACAACGCGAATGGAATCCTATGTAGATCTTTTGAAGCGAAGCCACCAAAGTCCGGACGGCTCCCAGGTATGCCAGATGCAAGAGATTATAATATTGGAGTCAGTTCTAACATCGACTAGGCTCCATCATGGAAACTCGACAGACCTCGTTCCCCATCTTATTTGTCACCGCTGAGACTGATCCTGTCGCTCCAAAGAGAGGGTGGGTATTTGGCTATTGGATCGTCCAGCAGCCAAGCTGATCATGTTACAGTGCATACAAAATGTCGTCAGTCTTTCCGGGATCTGTTGTTTTGACACAGGCATCAGTTGGCGTAAGTTAATCGACCATTCCTGCAGGGCTAGAACGCTAATGGACTCTTTACCAGCACACTGCCATTGCCAGTCTCTCATCGTGCTATCTGAAGAATGTTCAGATGTATCTCAATGGCCAGCTTCCCGCAGCGAACACGACCTGCCCGCCGGATGTGTTGCCATTTCAGGGTTCAGCTTCATTTTCTTTCGGACGATAAACTCCTACTTAGTATTCCTGAGACTGCTAGCTAAGGCAAATTTAAATTGGAGATTATTGCAAAACCAATTTTTTCCTGTTTACACCCACTACTCATTGTTCCAGCGGCGGCGTGTCTGAGAAGAGAGTAGCCATCACGCTATACGACCGGTCAGCACTCTATGGAAAGAAGCATAAGAACAAAAGAATAAATACTTACGCAGCAGGATACGGAGTACCTTCGATCTCCACCATCTCCGCCAGAGTTTTAATTTCTTGCACTTCTTGGTCGCTCAACTGTAGCAGTGCAGCCGCCGCATTTTCGTCCATTCTGGCGGCCGATTTCGTACCCGGAATTGGGATGATATCTGGTCCTGTCGCCAGCAGCCACGCAAGAGCGACCTGTGCAGGGGTGCTTCCATGGGCGTTGGCCACATCTTTCAATACCTGTACCAGTTTCAAGATTTGCGGGAAGTTTTCCTCCGCGTACTTGGGGTACATGCGGCGCAAGTCGCCCTCGGGGATATCTTCGCGAGATTGAAATTGGCCCGTCAATATACCCCGTCCGATTGGGCTAAAGGCCACAATAGCCACGCCTAGTTCGCGGCAAGTCTCGAGGATCTCCGACGCTGGGGATTCGATGTCTAGTGTAAACAGGCTATATTCCACCTGTAAGGCGGTAATAGGGTGAACAGCATGCGCGCGACGTAACGTGGCTGCTGAGACGTCCGATAGGCCAAGATAGTGAATTTTTCCTTGGCTAGACATTGAAGGTTAACCCTCGCTTACGTTATATTAAATCGATGTCGAGGCTGTATGACCTACTTCTTCAGCTCCACCATAGCTTCAACGGTCTTTTCAATCGGCGTGACTCCATCCACCCTGTGACAGTAGTAAAGATCGATGGTGTCGATCCCGAGTCTCTGGAGGCTTCGTTCGCATGCAGCCTTGACATACTCGGGATCGGACCGGAAAGTGTGCCTTCCATTAGGCTGCCTCTGAAGCCCAAACTTCGTAGCCAGGAAGACGTCATTGCGCTTGCCAGAGCCTCTGATCCATTCGCCCACGACGTCCTCGCTGTCACCGTAGATGTCGGCCATATCCCAAAAGCGCAATCCTTTGGCATGTGCATGCTCCAAGAGGGCCACTCTGTCGTCAAGAGTACCAGCTGGTCCGTAGAATCCGCCAATGCTCCCGAAACCGAGACCGATTGCAGAGACGGAGGGCCCATCTCGGCCCAGTGTACGTAGTGGAAGAGACATTTGGAAATTTAAGGGGCTCGGAAAGAAGACGAGGGGAGGATAAACCTGTTAAGAACAAAGCAATTCCCGATTTTATACTCCAGATGGTCCTTGACGAGCTTTACCCGTTCGGGTACCCGACTCGCCTTGATCGACACACTAGTCCTCCGCGGGCGGCCTAATTAAAATAAGGCGACCAGCGCAATGATATTTGAGTTTCCTGCAGCCCACGTAATTAACTATGCAACGACTCTGGTTTCAGTAGACAGACAATTGTGGTCGACATGAAAAAGGTGCCTGATTCCGAAACTGACGCAAGCACTGTCGAGGAGTGTCCAGATATAGCACAAAGTATAAGGGCTAAGGATGTGCCTGGACCTGTGTCAGTAAAACAGGAACTCAAAGATATTTGGAATGAGTTCAAGGACAAGAATGGCCAACAGCGATGGATGAAGGGGCCCTCTATTTTGAGTAGACTGACAGATAGGTGGATTGGATGCCTTCTAGACACAGCCGGTGCTCCTTTCAGCGTCAATATCCATTTTGTCCAGATTCATATATATCTTTCTTCGCCATTCGGCTGCAAGATGTTTGCGTTCGTTCTATCCCAGTGGAAACAATGTTAGAGATCTGCTCTCAAATCTCCTCTGTGTCCCTCCCTGAATGATTGTATCGAATAGCTATATCAGTTACCGAGACTGGACACATCACAACTTGGGACTTGGTACTTGACGTCGGTTTGATACTCGTCATTATGGAGATTGTAAGGGAAGATCGGTTGTAGGCGTAGAGATTCTTGGAAGACTGTCAACGTCTATAGCCTGATGAGAGACTGAGAACTGACTTCTTATCTCAAGCATGAAACCACGCTAGCATCTGCTGGGAAGGTCGAGTAGAGATGATGACTTAGACATGGGATTGATGTCGGTACTGCCCTGTTCTCTTGCCCCTCATCCGAAGGAAGTGAGACACTCCGTTTGAGGTGATAAACGAGGAGCTCGTGCTGGGAATTACGGTTGCCTGGTTCGTTTAGAACCGACTAGCTTGCGCCGTCTGCTTGGCCGTTTCATTTGAGACGCTAGTAAAATGTCAGACTCGTTTAAGGATTCTACCTCATAGGAACTTGATGTATCCGGTACGAACATAAAGTATGGAGCAACCGGATGGGAGACAGGCTTCAGGCTTTCTAGGCAAGGTGACCATTTATACATGGTGTAGAAATGGTCAATGAACAACACCATCCACCGCTTAATGCGCCATAAGCCCCACTATTATGGCGGATCAACGGTTCAGCAACGGCGAGTCGGGGCAACGCCATGATTGGCCACTCGATTTATTCCTTGCGCCAGCAATTGCGACGCTGACAGGACGCCGCTACACAGATCCCTGTTTGGTCTTCTAGTGCGTCAGAGGGTAATATGTCCCGCATATAAGGGGCGATCTCCCCTGTCATCCCCTCCTTTGTCCGCCAAATCGCCCCGCGAAAATGACAGCCGAGGCAGAAACCATCACCGTTGACTCGGGCGATGACTTGGCTTCAACTTACACAGCGACAGACTCGGAAGTAACATCCCTCCGCAGCAGTGTCTTTGATTATATCTACGAAAATGGGCGACGGTACCACGCCTACCACGCCGGTGCGTATTGGGGGTCGAACGATGAAAAGGCGATAGATGCGATGGATATCTGCCACTTTTTGTACGGTCTCCTTCTCCACGGCGAATTGCATCTCGCTCCATTACAGAATCCGAAACGAGTTCTGGATGTCGGGACTGGGACGGGGGCCTGGGCCGTTGAGTTTGCGGATATGTATCCCACAGCCACGGTCATCGGAACTGATCTCTCGCCTATCCAGCCGCGGATGGTACCGCCGAACCTGAGCTTTGAGGTCGACGATTGCTGTGACGAGTGGATGTACGGGGAGCCGTTCGATTACGTTCATGTGCGGGGTTTGTATGGTTCCGTGGCCGACTGGGATAGGTTTTACCAACAGGCCCTGAAGTACGCCGTCGCCGATTCTGGGGTGGTCTAGTGTGCTAATGAAGGTGGTGGAAGACACCTAGTACCGGGCGGGTATATCGAACAAGTCGAGATGGGTGTTGTGCCTACGTCCGACGACGGAAGTCACATTGGAACCGTCTACGAGAAATGGGGCAAAGCTAGCCTGGAGAGTGGTGATCGATTTGGAAAGACCCTTCGCATTGTCGATGAGTCCAAGCAGCGCATGATCGACGCCGGATTCATCGAAGTGGTCGAGCGACGATACAAACTACCGATTGGGCCGTGGCCGAAGGATAAGCACCTGAAGACGCTGGGGAAATACTTTCGGTTGGTGATCGAAGAGAGTATGGAGATGTGGGTGATGTACTTGTGGACTAATGTGCTGGGAGTGAGTGCTTGTCACCCTCAATCCTTTCCAAGCGGGTACTGACTCGTTCGCAGTTTTCTAGAGCCGAGGTTGAAATGACAATCGCCGAGATGAGAAAGGCAGTCCGCGATCCCAGCATCCACGGTTATATCCATGTCTCGGTGGTGTACGGTCGCAAACCGGACAAGTAGCATTTCAACGCCAGTCAACGACACAGGTTACGAATTGAATCTCGTCGTATCTGGATACAATATGAGAGGACGCCGTCGTGGAAGGAACTTCTCAGTCTATATGAGCACACAGACCCTATTTAATCCACGTGGATGACAATCTCTCCCTCCCCAACCGGCCGTTCAAAGCCACTAAGACACTGTTCCAACACATCCTCTGTTAGATAGAATGCCGAGTCTCCATCTTTCTCAAGAAATGCATTCCTAGCTGCTACTGGATATGATCTGTGCATGTCATTGCGCTGCAAGGGCTCTCACCTCGCTAAGAACTGGGTCGTCCATAGACACATAAGACAGTAGGTAAATGGTAAATTAAGACAGATAGCACAAATAACCTGAAAAGATATTGGCAGCCAAGGCAGTTGGTATACGACAGAAAGCTGCAAAATCATAACTGTCCGAATTGAATTCGGATAGTACACAACCACACTGAGTCTCACAACTAGTGAGAAGTCTCTCAGGTCAACTTACACTGCATCTGCGCACAGCAGCTGATTGACTATCAATAGGTGTCCACCTTCGGCGGCGCCGTGAAGGGCTGTGGACATCCATTTATGTGTCGCGTTGAACGTTGACGTCAAAGTCGTTCAGCAAGCAGCGGGAAACACTAACGAGGCCGGCTTCTGCGGCAAATGAAGGATGGTGCATCCACTGGTGTCACAGCAGCTAGGGATAATCCGATTGTTGAGAGCAGCAACAGGTAGCCTCGCCTGCCGGGCCTGGATGGCGCCATTTAACGGCGTCTGACCGTAGACGTCCGGGATTTTCACGTCGGTGCGGCTGTCGGCGAGCAGAAGACGGACAATCTGGATGTGGTTCCGCGTAGCCGCAATTGGTAGAAGTGTTCGTTGTTTTTTCGCGTCCTGAATGTTGACTTCGACATAGTCTTGACGAAGGGCTATGGTCATTTTCTGGTGTGGCCATGAACCTGTAAAACAACAGCTCCATTGCGCCCTTGCGGCAAACTTCTGTTCACCCCACGCTTCGCCGCTATGGCCATGTCAATGCATGCTTTGAATTCGGTGTTGATGAGCTATTGATTTAGGCACAGCCCATTGTTGTTCTCACATGTCCCTGGCTTGGACGCCGCTGTCCGTTATGACACACAAAAATTTAGTGGCTGCATTAGCTTTTTCTTCTTGGTCTTTCTATCTTACTTTCATCCTCTCTCGGGCTTCAATAAGCCTTGTGTTCTCTCCCCCTCGCACATTTTACTCCATCTCACACAGCACGGCTGGCATCCTCCAACGGACACCGGGAAGGGATTCTGAGGTTGTTACTAGAGGACGTCGACGTGAATGTGGTAGACTGCAGCGGGTTATGACCTCTGCACCATGCTACAAGAAACAGACATCTGCCATTAACGGAACTGCTCCTCGAACGCTCAGAGCTTGATATTAACAAAACCGATCTATGCGGCCGGACGGCCCTCTGGTTGGCAGCAGAGGCAGGTGACGTGCAGATGATGGCAGCATTTTGCACGACTCTCGGTGGAAATGATAAACTAAAACCGTAGTCAGGGGCCCATACATATTACGAGGATCAGAGGCGACGCTAACCGTCCAGCTCCTTCAAGCCAGGAGGGCTCGGGCTTGTCTTGCAGATATGTTCTACATATTTTATCGTCAGAACTAATAGGTAGGGTAGGAGCAAATTTCCTTGAGATCGTTTTTGAGTTATGGCCTAATGGTCCGGTTGAATACAGATTAGTTTCTATATTTAGATATGTATATAGATAGTAACGTCGGCAGAGGTAGACTTAGCAGACATGGATAAGACGCAGGTATGAGACGCAAACAATGGCTTCTCAGCCGATCTGGGAAGGCTGATACAGCCGTAGAATCGTGACAGAGCCGGGCAATTGGGGGGCGCGCTCATACTGTCGTTCGCTCAGGAAGCGACGTGCGGTAAGTCAGATACCGAGAAAACATCCATTACTGCATCGTTTCCGTTCACTTGCTCTACCCCCAAATCAATGATTTCAGGGGCCAGAGCATCGACGGGTTAGAGTGCTCAACCAAAATGCCGAACCATCCCACCAGGTCACAGAGCGAAGTGTACTACTCTGCCTCTTCCTTTGGGGATCATGATGTTCAAAGACACCTTAACCACTTCATAATTGCTGGCGTCAAGACCGCAGAGCAAGGTGGCAATGTAGCTAACTTGCTTTTATGCTATACCTGACCTTCTGTGATGGCCTAGCCAGTTGCAGCACCTTTCTGCATTTCAGGATTTTCATGTACTAACTTCTCATTTTACGTACATGTTTCAGGGCATGATAACGACAGCCATCGCGAAACACACGTTGTTTGTACCTCAAATGAATGGATAAAGCGCGGCCTAATAGTCTGTTACTGAGGTGTTGAAGCCCGCCTCCCTTTCACAGTCGAATGCTGCAAGCAGGTGGTTTCAGTAGTCAGTCGTAGACAGGAACTGCAGGTGTTTGGCCTTGGGCTCTCCCTGAATCAACGGTAGTGGCTTACAAAGAATTGACAAAGAGATAAAATTGTTTATTGTTAATTAGTAGATTAAAATAACTCTAAATAATGTGTATATTATCACCCCTCAGCAGGGATGCATGCAGCGGGGAATAATCATACTGTAGATTAGGAAGGAAAGAAGGGTAAAGAAGGTAACTCAATTCCATTAGTTTATAGGTGCTCGCCCTTCAGGATCTAGACTACTAAACACCCCTGCACCAACACCTCTGGATACCTTATACACTGACTGAAGAAGTCTAATCCGGCCCCTAGGGAAATTCTCAAGCCCATTATTGATAAGGTGATCTGCTTTGAATAGAGAGGGTTGTTTTGTGGTGAAAGGTTTGGCTGGTCCAAATATCCTGACTTAGAGAAGGCCATTAACCAAGAAGGCCATCAACAATCTGGTTCAAAAGGCCTCCAAGGTTCAAAGCGCCCGAGCGCCCATCAACAGTCAAGGATGCAAGAGTGCTGCATGCCTATACTATGATTTAGTGTTGTCCACCCTTAGCAGTGTGCTAGAGGAATAAGTTACTTACCTGCTCACGCTGGTCACAGCAGATTAGGACATCCCCAGTAACACATCTGCCATCCTCGGCAGCGCGGCCGCAATTGCCAGTATTGAGAGTGGTGGTAAGTGCAGGGCAGCAGTAGCATGCTGAGGATGCACTGCCTGGGTGGAAACCAGGATCAGTACTGATTGGTCCCATTGGTCCAGGAGCAGCAATAACAAGGCTAAGGAAGCCGAAGGCAAGTGTGGTAGTGGTGAAATGCATTTTAAGATAAAGGATTCCTGGAGATCTGGAATAGTATTGAATCTCACTGTATTGAATGTTGCTGTATAAGTTGATTTGCTTGCTCAGGATGGCTGGGAGGGAAAGTAGGCTGATGTTAAAGTAGATAGCAGGTAGCATGTGTAGTTATATAGTATTCCTCCTAGGGGTTAAAACTTACTAGTATCTATATAGATTTTTAACTAAGGCTTAACTCCCTAATTAGATATGTAAAGGCCATGCTAAGGCATGTAAATCATCTATGGCTCCTGCTATAAACAAGTATTCTATAAGGATCAAGGAATGCTCCTTATACCTCTACATACCCATTATGAATAGCTTGAATAGTGGCGCTCCCATACTCTATAACTTGAATTTTGTAAGTTCAGTACGAGGTGGCAGTATAGGTATTTAGTAAGTGAGATTATAAGATGCTATAAAAGCTGTTTACTATGGCTAGAAGGTAAACCTAACCTCAAGAGCTATTAGGGACATTGTTAGGAGGGATCCTGGCCATATACCTTGTCATCTAATTTTATAAAATAGTAGCATCTTCATATTCTATAATACAATAGGTCCTTAGTGCAAGTAGTAGGGAAAACTGAATTACTCTATGCTATGGCCATTTCCAGGCATTCAGTGCATCCCTCCCTGAAGTAGCCAGCAAATATAAATACTCTATG